AGCTACCTTGGTCTCTGGGGAGGGACGGGTAAGCAGGATGCTCTCTCTCCTTCCCATCCTAAGGATTTGCCACAGACAGCACTCTTGAGGTGAGTGTGGAGGCAGCCTATTTGAGAGCCCCTGGTGTGACTGGCCTACCCAGCTGGCAAGGCCTATTCCTTACAAGAAGGCTGAAATGAAAGCCATGTAGGCTCTTAGGGGATGCTAGTGCTCCACATCCAGGCAGTATTGGCCACCTCACATTTCATTCCCCCCCCCAACTGACACCTGGCCACCCCCAAGATGAACATATGTGGTTTAATCCTTCTCCATAAATCACCCCCCACCCAAACTCCTGGCAGAAACCAGCTTGTCTGCCCCATGTCTCCTTGGCACTGGGATGTACTGCTTGGATGGGGTGTGGCTGACGCCAGCTCTAATTTCAATTCCCCCTTCCCTTCCCCCTGCTCATAACTCGCCCTTTGCCACATATTGAAGTCTCAGCTTTCCACAACCCAGCAGACAAGAGGGTGGCCCATGGCTCCCAAGCCCCAGACCTTTTTGGAACTTAGAAGCTGCCTTTATACTGAATTAGACCATTGGGCTAGATGATACTGAACTATCATCTAGCCCAGTATAGATGATCAGACACTTTCAGATGGTAAAGTAGCAGCTTGCAAGTCTGCTGAAGTCCATACTGGACAATGCAATTAATTCCAAGAAACCAAGTCAAAGTCTCCCTTCATGTTCTCAGTATGTTAAATTCTGTACTTGCAATTAAACTATTTTTTCTTTAGTCTGTAGGTCAGATTGGCCTCCATGGCCTGAACATTTGCAAAGGTTCTCATATAATTAAACAAGTACAAGAGTGTGCCATCATCCAGTAGCTTATGCATGCAGAGCAACGGCGCTCAGTAACATCACAGACAGTTCTTATTCTGCCACTCAATCACCAGCCAGCACTGTCATGCATAAATCATAGTGAGAGCTGCAGCAGACGCAAATTACCACCCATCAACAGTATCTCCCTTGCTTTAGTTACATCTCTTTTGCGTCCAAGGGCTCCATTTATGAAAAACACAAGGGAACAAGATTGCTTGTAACTATATAAGGATGCATTTTATTCTAAAGCAAGCAATAAAAACCCCCATCCTTTCTTCAGCTCCCACGTCTTTAACTAGAACCCGAGCTGGCAGGTCTTCTGAAGGATCCATTTTGTTGTCAAAAGCCGTATTAAAAACAGTGTCAGTACACTATCTGGTCATTCAGCCCTATAATTCCTTATTAGGGGGCCTTGTGTTTTGGAGGCTAGAAGTGGGAAGGAGAGGAGAGGAAGGGTTAGGAAGGGAGCAAGAAGAGGTCAAGGCTGGAAAAAGGCTATGGAGGAGGAGGCAGGCATCATGGATGAATGGGAAGGAGGAGGGGAGAGGGAGGGTGAACGGTGGTTGCTTTGGAGCCTGTGCTTTGTTTTCTTCTCCATCCCCATTATTTCCACCTCCCGCACAGCTTTGGGATGAGACAATCCCCATCTGGAAATACCTTCCCTTTTACAGTCAGGCAAGAAGACGCAGGCTGCAGCAGTGGGATGAGCCCCAGACTTACCCTCTCCTTGGAGGTGCTCCATTTGTGAGGGAGTGGAGGAAGGGAGATCCAGGATGTGAGGAGGCACTGGCAGTCGCAGAGAGGGTCATTGCCTCCAGGGCCACAGCTCCAGGGATGGGGGAAGAATGTGAACCATGCTACCAAGCTCAGGCTGATGCACAGCAGCTTCTCTCTAGACTGCTCTCCTCCTTGTGAAAACGGCAACTTGCAAGACAGAAATGATGGCTGCTCCACCATTGACTGTTCCACTATTACAGTCCATTCCCTTTCCCTCTCACTTCTGATTGTTAGTTTTATTGGGCAGGGCAGCATGCTTATTGGTTTTATTGGGCAGGGCAGCATGCTTATCCACTTCCTCTGGTCCCGCTGCTTTCCCCTAGGGAAATCTGCTCTTTGGTGCTCAATTGGAGCAAATGGCAATTGTATCAGCTTGTGATTATTCCATAGTCAATGTGACAGAGATATTTTTTGTAGTCCATTGAGATATTTTTTGTAGTCCATTTGTTTTCAAAAATTGGTCTAACTCTGTTTCTTTCACTGGCCCCTGAGTATATAGTCTTTTAAAATACTTCTGGAAACAACTTCTAATCTCCGCAGGGTTCTGTATATTCCTTCCTTCCACTTCTAAATTCCTGGTGTATGTACTCTTTCTTAAGAGCATGGGGGCCTTGCTGGATCAAGCCAAAGTGAACCTCATCTAATTTTCTTTCCAAGAATCCCAGCAACCAGAAATCGAGCAGTGGACCAAGCTCTACCTTTTGCTTAACCCTGGTCCACCATACCTCTTGCAGCATAGGATGTGGACTGTGGCTGGCCTTGCTAATCTGTTTCCATCCACTCCCTAAACACATGCAAAGGGCTTCTCCATCCCAGGCATCCCCTCTCCAATTGCAAGTATTTGGATTCTCATGAGCTTCCTGCTGTGCCAAGTACTGGAATGCACTGTGATGTCATTGAGGGGAGAAGGAGTGTAACACAAAGGTAGAACTGAGTTTGGAAAGACAATTAAATATTACGCTGTCACTTGGGTAAAGGAGGGTGATCACCCAGAAAGGAAATCAGGGCCCCTACAGTGGTTCAGAATACTGCAGAGGTAGCATTGCACTGTGTGGAAACCTGAACAACACAGTTGGATCCTTGTCCATTGATGTCAGATGATTGTAGGTTTAGTGGGTATGTAAGGAACTGCTTTTCAAGTGTATGTGTGAAACACACACACACACACATTTTAGTGTTACAGTGGTACCTCGGGATGCGAATGGGATCCGTTCCGGAGCCCCGTTCGCATCCTGAACAGAACGTAAGACGCGACAGCGCATCTGCGCTTGCGCGGGTTGCGTTTTGCCACTTCCGCACATGCACGTGATGTCATTTTGACCGTCTGCGCATGCACAAGCGGCGAAACCCAGAAGTAACGCACGCCGTTACTTCAAGGTCGCCATGGAGCGCAACCCGAAAGCGCTCAACCTGAAGCGTATTTATCCCGAGGTATGACTGTATTCTGACTCTTCATGCTTCTCTCTCATATGAATTTCTTTGCATGTTAAACTTTGGGCTCGTCCACATTGCCACTTGTTCTGTGCCTAGAAAGCATGGGTCCAAGCGGTTATATGACATTGTGTCAAGCAAATGTTCTCCTCTATTTTTTCTAGTGCATTTCCCCATCACTTTCCTTATTGTAAAAAGTCCTGTCCTTTGGGAGGGTAAAACAGGTTTGTTGAGCAAAAGCACCAAATCAGCTTTAATGGCACAACCTGAATCAGCTGGCATGTGATTGCATCTCACCTGAAGATGGCAATGCCATAGATATGAGTCACATGGGAGAAGGCTATTGGGCTTATGTCCTCTTTGTGGATTTTCCATATGTATCTGGTTAGCCATTGTAGGAAACAGGATGCTAGACTAGATTAGGGCTTTGGCCTGGCCCAGCAGGACTCTTCTAATACTCTTATGTCTGCAGGGGCAGAAAGGGTTAATTTCACTTTCACCAGCCCCTCCTCTTCCCCCTGGCTCTGAATAGCACTCTGACAGGCAGGCAGCATAGCAGCAGGGCTATTTAGGTTTAGTGGCTGCCACCTGGGGAATGCAAAGGGGGAGGAGATTCAGGGAGCATAGGCTCTGACATCACTGGCTGGCTCCATTCTGGGCACATGGACAAACAGGGTGATTCACTGCAGGCTGGTATTATCTTGCAAGGAGGTTGCCAGTGACTCAGCCCCCAAAGTGGGAGGCAAAGGAGTACGGGCCAGGATACCCCAGTCTTGTTGGGCATATAGCTTGTTTTTGGTTTCATAATCTAAGCCCAGGAGATTGCAATGCCCTTTGGGTTTTTAGTTTTGGTTTCAAAATCTAAGCCTAGGAGACCGTAATTCCCTTTGGGTTTTGTATGAGGTGAGATGAAGGGCACTAGAAGCCTGTGGACATTACAGGCAGTACTTTTTTTTCTGGGGGTGCACATACACCTAAAAATTCTGTGAATCTTTGTACTTTTGTCCATTTGTTCCCGATTTGAACTATAAAATGGTGGTTTTCTTGAGTCAAAATGAGAGTATCGCTAAACATTTTTAGGAAAAAAAGCAAACAGGTTTATTGACTCCCCTCACTCTCCCCAGCTTGGAACTTGCCTGAGGAAATATATAAAGACTAATCCCTGGCACGATAACTGGCTGCACTAAAACCCATAAGTAGGAAATGGTATCCAGAACCCATCTAGTCCTTTAGCTAGGAATAAATATCAGGTTAAATATGCTTCAACTACTCTGGGAAAGATTCCTTTTTGCCTCTTTTTGCAAGTTATTTGGCTTCATTCCAAGAACTTGCTTCTCTGCCAAAACCTTTAGGGTTGTGTGTGTCTGTGTGTGGTTTTGTACTGAATGTTTGTTTTGTTATGTTTCTCATTGTGATGGGATTTCAATGTCCTAATATAGCGTTTGCTTCTTTCCCCCTATTCCCAGACCATGGTCCTGGCATAGCTGTTTACATATCCGAAAGTTTTCCCCCCGTCATCAAGCCTGACCTATTCTTTCAGTGATCTCACATCCCCTTTCACTTTCCAAAGCTGGTACTTTCCACTTCACCCCCTCCTTCACAGTATCCCTTGACCATCGTCTTCATGGCCCACGGGCATGATCTGGGCCCACTCCCAGATGAGGCCTAGCCGTTGCCTAGCAGAACGGAACTGTTGCATCCCATGACTGGCTTGTTCCCGCCCCACAAGAGATTTCTCACTGACAAGAGGAATCCACAGCTGTTCCAAAATGGGAGCTGGAGGAGGGCAAGGGGGAAACGGGGAGGGAACAGTGGGATGATGTCAACGCTCAGGGATACAAATAGCCAGAGCTCAGATCCCCGTCCCGACTCTGACTTGCTCACCCAGAGCAGCTGTTCTCTCTCTGCCTCCGTCCTGTCCAGCCGCCACCATGAGCCAATCCTACTCCTCCAGCCAGAGACTCTCCTCATACCGCCGCACCTTTGGTGCTGGCTCAGCCTCACCTTCCTTCCCACGCGCCTCCTTCGGTAGCAAGGGCTCTTCTTCCAGCTCCGTCTCCTCTCGGGTCTACCAAGTGTCCCGCAGCGCTGCGCCACCCAGCCTGTCCAGCTTCCGAGCCAGCTACTCGGCCCCACTGCGCTCAGCCTACCAGGGTGCCGGCGAGCTCCTTGACTTCTCCCTGGCCGATGCCATGAACCAGGAGTTCCTGCAGACGCGCACCAACGAGAAGGTGGAGCTGCAGGAGCTCAACGACCGCTTCGCCAACTACATTGAGAAGGTGCGTTACCTGGAGCAGCAGAATGCGCTCATGGTGGCCGAAGTCAACCGGCTCAAGGGCAAGGAACCCACGAGGGTGGCCGAGATCTACGAAGAGGAGCTGCGGGAGCTGCGGCGCCAGGTGGAGATGCTGACCAACCAGAGAGCACGTGTTGATGTGGAGAGGGACAATCTGCTGGATGACCTCCAGAAGCTGAAGCAGAGGTGAGATTAAGGTGCCAGCAGCCCTTGCTGCCATGGGCTGGTTGCTAAGCTCATCCCCTCCCCTCCCCATGCTTGCTTGAGTAGCTGGGGCTCTTTCCTTGTCCTGAGCAAGAGGCCTTCCTTGACCAGAAGCAGAGTGAACAGGGCAAGGCAGGGCATATTGACTTTGCGGTTGTTATCATCTCCCATCCCTGGCCTTTCAAAAAGAAATACAGAGGCTCGGCTACCTTTTGCCACCCTTGACCAGGGCCTTGGCCATTGAGAGTGCCTTGCCTATGCGCTGGGCATCCTTCACCCTGATGCTGTCCTTTTCTCCAAACTACCCTACTCTGGCCCAAACTGCCACCAACACTCACCCCAGTCCTTGCCCAAGACTCCAATCCCTTTCATGGAAGGTATCTAGGTGTTCTTCTTCTTTGTAGAAAGTTGATCTTAAAGGCCTTGACACCCGAGGGCTTCTAGATAACTGATGCCCCAGGACTGTGCTATATCTCAGACAAGTGGGTCATTCTCCTAAGGCACAGCAAAAACATGCATCTCTTCCCCATATAGGCTCCAAGACCCCATGCCAAGTTGCTTATTCTTAGAACAGGGTTCAGGGTGTGTCCAGTGATGGTACAGACTCCTCTGCCGCACCAGCCCTGCCTCTCACTTTTAAGCTTCTTTTAAATCTTTATAAACATAAGAAGCCCAGATGGTTTGGTAAAACGTAGTCATTTGTTGTAAAGAGGCACAATCAGGTTTAAGTGCATCTATTTCTGTCTAAGGGTCTTCAGAAATTTTTACACTAGTTTAGAGAGTTATATATTTTAAAGACACAGTGTGCTGATGAGACTGTGCTATCTGTCCCCCAAGCCAAGAAACCCCACCACTGCTTTTATTGAGCTAAGAAACCCCACCACTGCTTTTATTGAGCTATTGTGTTCATTAAACACTCTTGTTTTGATTTGGAAGATGTGGATAACTGAGCACATGTATGCCTGTACCAGATGCACACACATGCAGGTAGTGTTTAATGCTTCAGTATTAGACACTGAGGTTTGTTCTCTCATGAGAATAAATCTTGCCTGAATTCCCAACCAAAAGTGACTGTTATGCCCTCACTATTTGAGACGAAAACCATTTGACACTTGGCCTGCAAACAGCTGCTTACACTTCTTATCAGATCACCTCTTGTCCTCTCTTTTGATAAGCTGAAAAGACTGAGCACCTTACTCCTAAGATTATCTCTCATTCCTAAAGTCACTCTTAAGCCTTTTCTCTGTCTGTTGCAAACTGTTCATTTACATCCCAGCTCCAGACAGGATCTACCAATCACAGGCCTATAAAATGGCCATAATAGTAGCCTACCTCAAAGGATTGGTGTAAGGACTAATTGAGATAAGAAAACATTGCAACCTTTACCCTGGTCCTTAGGAATAGGGTAGGCTTTAAAAATAACCAACTCCAAGCTACGTGCCCCAAACATGTGCACAGATATTTGTGGGATGGTCATAAGATCTTGTTTCCAGATTTTGCTCTCGTCCTTCAATTAATATGCTGATGAGCTGCAGCAGGTACAGTGGTGAGGATGCTAACTTACCCAGCACATCATTAATTGTCTAATCCAGGGATGGAAAACCTGTAGCCCCCCAAATGAGTTTTTTCTTTCATAGAATTGTAGAGTTGGAAGGTACCACAAGGGTCATCTAGTCCAACTCCCTGCAAGACAGGGATATTTTGCCCCACATGGGGCTTGAACCCACAACCCTGAGGTTAAGAGTCTCATGTTGTACACCCTGAGCTATATGGGTTGTTGGACTCCAGTTTCTCAGTCAGTATGGCCCATGATAAGGAGTGATGGGAGAATTTCAACAACATCCAGAGGACCACAGGTCTTCATCCGGTGCCAATCCTGATTTATTTCCTTCTCAGCAATCTCTCCCCTAGCTCTTCAGTGGCAAAGCATTACCAGTTATTGGGAAGGGCACCGTTCCCTGCAGCTCATCCTATTTATTCGGCCTAGTTCCCATCCGTACCAGCCCCCAATACCAAGGGTTGGCTATGCAAGTACAGGAGCAGCTGCCCCTGGTGGGACTTCCACCTTTTCCTCCTGAGGGAAGCTCCATGCCAGCATTCACCAACACCTTTCAGATGTTTGGACTACAATTCCCATCTGCCCCAGGGAGGGCAGCCATGCTGGCTGCGCCTGATAGGAGTTGTAGTTCAAAATTTCTGGTGAAGGTTGCACGGTTTAATTCAAGACCTCTGGTGAAGGTTGCACTATATCTTTAGCAGCTACATAGGACACAAGAAATGCAGCTGTTTCGGTGAAGTGATGCAATCACTTAGAAAGCCAGACTTGCTCAGTTTCTCCTGCCATGCCGGTTTTACACTGTTGCAACCACAAACCATAAATTCCAGGTCAGGGCAAGAAGAAGTATATAGATCACTAGGTACAGGACTTCTGAGCATGAGTCAAAATGAAGAAGAATAAAGTCAACTTCAGGCCTGCAAGTGAGTCACAAGCAGCACCAAACAGTGAAGCAAGGACTCCTTCAACACTGCCCCCCTCCATTAAAGCAGCCTTCTAGGTAGCAATGGATTCTGGGTAATGCTGGGTAATAATTCAGGGCCTGGGGTGAGAAAGTTTAAACAGCCTCTTAGAAATGTAGGCCCTTGAGGGGGAAGCATCTTAGTATCTTCCTTTCATGAAAGATGAGGCCTAGTCCCCCAAAACCATGGCCAGCTTGAGGGAATCGGACACTCTAGATTTTCTCCTCCTGATTTAGCTCCCTTATGACAGACAGGGCACAACTGGGCACAGCCGGAAACAGGGAATGCTGAGCCATCAAGGCTGGGCACGTTGACAGGAAATCCTGGCATTTCAGAAGGATAAAGAAAGGAGAAATCATGATAGAGGGTCCCGGGGAGCAAAGACCTCTCCCAGGCCGCACTGGGGGAAGTCTGCATGACAAAGCTACGCCTGCTGATCTGCTCTCTTCTGCGCAACTTTGAAAGTTGCAGGAGCCCTGCTCGTTTTGGTCCCCAGTTGTGGTCACATCCACACATATTTAGAGCACACTTATACCACTTTTAACAGTCATGACTTCCCCCAAAGAATCCTGGGAACTGTCAAGGGTGCTGGGAACTGCACGTCTGTGAGGAGGTCTCTTAACTCTCAGCACCCTTAGCAAACTACAGTTGGGGGAAGTCAGACCTGCTAAAGTAGTATGAGAGTGCTTTAAATGTATGTTGCAGGCGTGGCCTGCGATGGAGCACTTTTGCAGTGAACTGTGAACTCCATGGCCCTTTGTAACCACAGGGAAGAAGCTGGTCCCTCTGCTTGAGGGTTAAATGCTCTAACAGAGCACCCACTCTAGTTGGAAGTATAGTAAATCAGCCACATTAGGATAGTACTACACAAACAAGAGTGCTACTTACCAAGAGTACTACACAAACACTGATGCTGTAGTAGTCTTTGGTAGCTTTTTCCAGTCTGGTCCTGGATGTCAGAAGCTTAGAACAGTCTGGGACCAGGGCCTTGCAGCCGCCACTGTAAAGTATGTGGGGGCTTAGTGTGTGGAGTTCAATAGTAAAGGGATCAGTATTTGCCAAAAAGTGGATCCCAGTGCTGTCTGTGATCAGAGTTTCAGATGCCCACAGCCTGCCCTTAGTGTCCAAATTCCCCCCCCCACCAGGTGATGTCACGCATCTTCCATGTCAAAACGCCTGGAAGACCATCCCTGGCATTCTGGCACCTCAATGGCATTCCACCTGTCCCCATATCTTTATAGCTCATGCCATGCCTTTGCCATTTCCCAGTACCCCAGGCTGGGGGTCCACATTATTCCCTGGAATCCCAGTCTGGAGACCCCTCCCCTCTCAGCACTTGTTCCATGATTCTTCTTTGTAGTCTCTGCCCTGTCCCATGCTCCAGGCCCGCCTCTGTGCAGCCAAGCACTGCTACCCTAAAAGGGAAGGGGGAGTGAGCATTATCCACAAGTGAGCTCATGCCTTTTGTGCCTGGGCCTTTGACTATAACAGGCAATGAGAGGACATGTTCCAGCTCCCATCCCTGCCTGGCTCCCAGCCAGATCCCACTCCACCCCCTGGAATGCAAGAGAATCGCTCATTCCAGACGCACACATTACTCCTGCTGCTTGGATGGAGTCACAGGTCACGGGCTCCAGGGGAGCCACACACAGGCTTTAGCCCCCTGGGATGTGTGTGTGCAATGCAGTGTTATATATCCAGGCCTTGGAGGGCCTGGTTCATCTGTCAGTCTGACACCCCTCCTTTCTGCCTCACTCTCCCAGGCTGCAGGAGGAGATTCATCTCAAGGAAGAAGCGGAGAACAACTTGGCTGCTTTCCGAGCTGTAAGTCCAGACCTTACCTGGGTTGCCTCTGGTGTGGTCAGTTGGGGGGTGGGTAAGTGGGTGTGAAGGAGAAAAATGCTCATGAAATAACAGGGCAAGTCTTGCTCCATCGAAAGTCAATGGTCCCACTGTCTGACAGAGGCTGTTTGGGCACCATATTCCAAACAGCAAAGTTTTCCTTGTCGGAGCATTCACAAGGTCTGGGAAGAATGTATTGTTTCTCTCGCCCCTTCTGCTCAGCTTCTTCCTAAAGTTTAGTGCCACCCTTAAATTAATGCAGCGCCCTCTACTGTTTTACATTCTCTCTCTCTCTCACTGTATAGTGCAACATCAGTTAACAATCCAACATGTATAACCTTTGGGTGTGAAGTTTTGTTCTGGACTGAAGTTTTCAGTCATTCTGGGGTACCTATAGCAAAATGGGTGTTGAGGGGCTCCCTCATGGGTACAGATCTTCAGATTAAGGGAGATATACAAATAATAATAATAATAATAATAATAATAATAATACATGTATCAGCTCCCTTTAAGTGGTGTTCAGCAGGGTCAGGCATGAGTGCCAGAAAATGAGTGTCCTGCTCCTAGTTCAGGGATTGTGGATTGGCCCTGAGGGACAGCTCATCCCACGCATTTCCTAAACTTACGATTGGCTAAATTCCCAGATGTTGTTAGTTAGCGATCGGAGGGGCAGCTTCATGGTCTTTTCATAAGCAAATAGTTAAACATAAGCATCTTTTCTCCTTAACATATTTGTGCCACGCTAACAGTGAAAAATGACCATGAAACTGGGAAAGTATCACTGAGAGGAAGGAACTCCAAGTGCTTGAATAAAGATTTATTTCAAGCTCAACACATTTTGGAATAATCCTTTTGGAGATTTGCACTCCTGATCAAGTACATAAACCACTTTAATAACTTGTATTGGAAAAAAGCATCCAAAATGACATCTACACAAACTACTAGAACCAGTAGCCTTTGCAGTTGGATGTTGCTTCTATGCAGGCACCTGACTGCACAGGCAACTGGTTCTAGTTTATAAAAAGATGCTTTTTTGAAGTTACTATGGTGGTTTGATGCACTTCATCGGATTTGCTATTCAGAATGTGCCTCCAAATAAGCATTATTCCAAAACATGTCAGGCCTGAAATAAATGTTTCTTCAAGGACCTGGAGTTCCTTCCTCTCCACCTCACCCCCTAAAATAGTGGCCAGCCTCTACTGCATTTATTACCCTTGAAACCAAGTCTCCTTTTTTCTGCCATCACAGGATGTTGATGCAGCCACTCTGGCCCGCATTGACTTGGAGAGACGTATTGAGTCACTGCAGGAAGAAATTGCATTCCTCAAAAAGGTGCACGAAGAGGTAAGTGTGTATCTTTGTAAGTGCCCTTGCAGCTCCTTCCTTAAAATGACGGCTGCCATAAGGGGAGTGGCAGATGGAAAGAGGGGGAGTCATTGACGGGGATGGTGACTAAGTAGGAGTGGAGATGGAGGTTTAGCTATAGGGATGTGGGTGGAACATGTTACTATGCTATAAGACTTATCAGTCTAGCCCTACTTGCACTGGTCCTGATCTTCTGCTGCCATTGGTTCCTCCAGGAAATCAGAGAGCTGCAATCACAGCTACAAGAGCAGCAAGTCCAGGTGGAGATGGATGTGTCCAAGCCAGACCTGACAGCAGCACTGCGTGATATCCGTGCCCAGTATGAGACCATTGCTGCAAAGAATATCTCTGAAGCTGAGGAATGGTACAAGTCCAAGGTATGGGACACCCACTCTCCTAGGAAACAAGTTGCATTGGCAGTGGGGTCAGGGGAGCTTTGTGCGGGCTGTTGCTTATGGTATGGTAAAGGTTTGTTTCTTATATTAATCTGCACACACACCTTATCTTATCCCTTCTCTCTGCATATAGGTGTCTGACCTGACCCAGGCAGCAAATAAGAACAATGATGCCCTGCGCCAAGCCAAGCAGGAGATGATGGAATATCGGCACCAGATACAGTCATACACCTGTGAGATTGACGCACTCAAGGGCACGGTGAGGTGCCATGCCAAGTTGATGGCAGAGTCAGATCACGTATTCAAGTATTTCCCATTGAGCAACATTTGCCCCCACGTCAATTGATGTTAATCACTTTTTACTAATGTCACTAATTAGTGATAGTGAGGCGTAAGAGACCTGTGCAAGACACAAAAAGGACTTTTGATTTTACCAGGCTGCATTTCTGTGTTGATGGCTGATGTGACTGCCATTCGCAGCCCTTTTGAGAGGGCCTGTAGCTCAATGATCAAACACATACTATGCACAACTGAGGTCCCAGCTTCAATCTCGGGCATCTACAGCTAAAGGATCTCATGTGGAAGGACTAGTAAACACCTCTGGATGAGATACTAAAGTCCCTGCCAGTCAAAATAGAGATCAGGGTAGCCAATATGGTGCCCTCCAGATGTTGGAATCTACCTCCCATGGCCAGTGGGATATGTCATCTCACAAAATCTGGAGGGTCTGTTTTGCACTTCCTTGAAATTCAGCATACTGGAGGTGGAACAGAGTTGTTCTTTTCTGGGCTTTTGTGGAAGCTCTGGCTTCTTGAGTCCTGCCTCCTTTCTTGATTGCCAGTCCTGTCCTCCCACTCTGCAATTTCCCCTCATTCATCAAGTTTAGTTCTTACTCCTCTAAAATGCTGTAACCCATCCTCATCCTGCTGCTATGATTTTCATCAGATAACTGCAGCTAGAGAACAAAGAATCTGAGACGTGACTATTGTTCTCCTACGCAGACACATACAGAGGTTCTGAAGTGCTTATTTCCCCATTTTATGCTTCCAGAACGACTCCTTGATGAGACAGATGAGGGAGATGGAGGAACGTTTTGCTGGCGAGGCTGGCACTTATCAGGACACCATCCAGAGGCTTGAAGAGGAGATCCGACACTTGAAGGATGAGATGGCAAGGCACCTGCGCGAGTACCAGGACCTGCTCAATGTCAAGATGGCCCTTGATGTTGAGATTGCCACTTACCGCAAGCTGCTGGAGGGTGAAGAAAGCAGGTGAGTGCTGCCCCCCACCTGCAATTTTTCAGGCCTGGGACATGCATTTGGGCACTGTCTGATAGTTTAATCCCAGATATATTTGCTCTGAGGAACTGCAAGCAGCAGATTTTGAGCAGCTGACCCTGCGGTCCTAGTGTGGTGGTGAGGCACAAAGGCCCATTATATTCCTTGTGTTTCCTAACAGCAAAGAGGGACTGTAGTTGGGAAGAAAATTTGCTCTTCTATGGTGACATATGATTTAATGCTCACCCAGACTTCTACTTGTCCCACCACGTCCCCTGGGAAAACTTGATCTTTACTGTTGAATCAAAGCAAACGTCAGTTGGGTTTTCCTCTGATTCAATGCCAAAGAGCAGGTATTCCTGGAGAAAGCTGTGGGGCAAACAGAAAACCATTCGGACCTGTGTTTTCTAGGCATGGGGCAAGTGGACGTGTGGACAAGCCATAAGTTAACCTTCAGCTGTGAAAGAAAGAGGCTAGCTAATATCTCAAAGGTCAAATTGCACCTTGTTTTCCCCCCTTTTGCTAAATATGTTGGTGTACTGACGACCATGTTTTAGAATGAAGCTGGATGATGTGAGAAGGAGCAGGTTTAGAAATCATGATGAGAGAACTGGAAACGATCTTCCAGTAAATGAGCAAAAGGCACACAGTCTGTTCATAAAGAGAAGTGGAAAGTGGAGCATAGTGATTGTTGGTTCAGGGCTGTTAGACCAAAGGGAGTCTGAGTAGGAAGAAGTCCGTGGCTGAACTGACTCTCCTCCTCTCCTTTTCTGTGTAGAATTTCACTGCCCATTCAGACTTTTTCTGCAATCAACTTCCGAGGTAAGTTACATAATGCCTGTGCGCATTATGCATTTGGTAAAAGAAAGAGGGGGACGGGGAATGTTAATGTGTTCACTTAAAAAGAAAAAAGAGAAGAGCAGCAGTTGAAGAGTCAGGCCCAATTTAGGGAGCATCAAATGGTGGTGAGTTACATGCTAAATATCCCTGCTAGCACCAGCATATGCAAGGGAATGGAGCCATTTGGAGGGCAAAGTGGGGAGGGAGGGGTGTTTTTCTGTTAAAAAGTGTGCCTCTCCCAACATGCCCCCCCCCCAAGTTCCAGACATGCATTTGCAAGGGTAATTGTGGCTGAAAGTACCCAGTAGATGGACTGAAAGTAGTACCTTGGTTAAGGCTAGGGGTTAAGTTTCAGCGGAAGAGAAGGAGGTGGAGGAAGGATGAAGCATTTCCTTCCACCCTCCACTTCTGGATTTCAAATCCACCTCCAAAACGGATTTGCCCTACAGCTGAAAATCCTACAACTAACACTTGGTGTTCTGTTACATGCATTTGTACACAACAAGTAGTTCTACCTGGAGATGTTCTGACTGCCTCCTGAGCTGAACAGACCCCATCTCTCCCTCTGAGCGCCCCCAGTGTCCTTCTGACGCATTTGTTCTGCACTGACATCATGAGCTGATGCCAGCAGAGATGACCACTGCTTTTCAAATAATATATCAAAGCAACAACAACTCCCCATGTATAAAACTAAATTATAAAGGCTGAAATTCAATGCAATACAATATTTACTCAATACCATGACATGTTATTTTAGCTATGTAACAAACCGTTGCAAGTCCATCACATATCATCATCCAATTCTGTGTTCTGAGACTTCTGCTCTTCACCCAAATGCATGTTCCCTTAGAAGATTATTCAATCAATAATAGGTTATTCAAACAGTTCATTTGGCAAAAGTTCAAAGCCAAATCAGTATCATTGTTGTTGTTTCCAATTCTGACTCCGACCTTGGCTTGGAGCTGCTGCTGCAGCTGAGCCAGCAAGCTGGGTTTGGAGATGGCTTGCATTGCCACAAGTGGGTAGTGTTATATTTGGTTGGGAAGGGAAAGAGGAGGTACACGATGTGGGGGTGACTTACGTTCATGCCAGATTTTTGGACAGTCATGACTTACCCCTTGATTGGATGATGCCAGAGCCACCTTCCTCAACTTGTGGGCTGGACTACAACTCCCATCACCTCTGATTGTATGCCATGCTAGCTGGAGTTTATGGGAGCTGCAGTCCCAGACTTCTGGAGAGGACATCCTTGGGGAAGACTGTGCTAGAGCAATGCCAAAGGTGGTCTGTGGTTAAATGAATAAATGCACTGCGTGCCAAGGTGGCAAAAGAGTGTTTGCATCAGTGCGTGTGCATCCATAAGATGAAGCTGGGAGAGAAGGAAAGGGACTCCTTTTTGTTCTGCAATTTCCATAATGTCTTCTAAGTTAATATACAGTAGTACCTTTGTTCTCAAACGTAATCCATTCCGGGAGTCTGTTCGACTCCTGAAACTGTTCAAAACCCAAGGTGTAGCTTCCAATTGGATGCAAGAGCTTCCTGCACTCAAGCAGAAGCCATGTTGGACATTCGGCTTCCAAAAAACGTTTGCAAACCAGAACACTTACTTCCGGGTTTGCAGCATTCAGGAGTCGATTTGTTCGGCAACCAAGCCGTTTGGGAACCAAGGTTTGACTGTACGGGATAAGTGAAAACAAAGGCAGGGTTAAATGGGGGAATATGCACAGTGGTTGTGGGGTGCTCACAACTGAATGTGTCTATGCCTACAGAGGCATGTGCCCATGTGGACCGGAGGAAGGTGTGCCTCTCTTAGTGACTTTTGAAACCACAGCGGGAGATGGAACTTGTAGAAAGCTGAGCTGGTCAAGGGATGGAAGCCGATACTACCGCCAGGAAGAGGAGGCTTGTGCAAGGACTGGCATGTTATGAAAGAGGGAAAGGTGTTCTAGGAGGAAGAGGCTCTCAGCCACAGCCTGACGCTTTTTATTGACCTTGCTCCATCTTCATACACCAACCTGAGCACAACCACCAGCAGCTGATGTCTCTTTTCTCTCCTATGTACAGAGACCAGCCCAGAGCAGCGAGGCTCTGAGGTCCACACCAAAAAAACAGTGACCATCAAAACCATTGAGACACGCGATGGGGAGGTGAGTGGGCAGAACTGGAAAAGCCAGGGAGGTAGAATGGGGGAGACATGCAAACCGATGGTCAAAATGGGCTTGCGTTCTGGTTCTCTCTTCCTCCTCCCTCTGGAATTGGGACAGCTGAAGTGAAATCTGCTGAGGGTGCAATATAGGGTAGGGATGGAGAACATATGGCCCTCCATAGGGTGTTGGACTCCCAATACCCATTAGTGCCCTCAGCCAGCATGGCCTGTTCTTAGGAATGCTGCTGCAGTTCAGCAACATATAGCCATTCCCAAAATAGGGAGATATGGGAGTTAGCAGGGACATACCTCTAGCTAGCTTTCTCTTTCCCCAGGAGCTATGGATGCCTAGGCTTGCAGGGAGAGGGAGGTCTGTATGCCAAGGACTCGTGGGGGGAGGAGTGGGCTCAGGACCTAACTGACATGTGAGGTAGCCAGGCTTTTCCTTTGGGCAGATCCACACCATACATTTAAGGCACACCCAGTGCACATTTAAAGTGCACGACTTCCCCTAAAGAATCCTGGGAACTGTAGTTTAAGGATGCAGGGAACTGCAACCCTGTTAGGGGAATACTACAGTTCTCAGGATTCCTTGGGGTAAGTCGCGTTGAATGTGTTTTAAAGATATGATGTGCATCAGGACTGAATCCCTCTCTCTGTCTTTCTCTTCCTTTGTCTAGGTGGTGAGCGAAGCCCTCCAGCAGCAACACGAAATGCTGTAGATCTTTTTGTCCCCAGAGAGGCAACTGGCCCATCTCAAAACCCTCTCCCCTACCGCGTGCAAAGGCCCGGGGTTGCTAGCTCCCACGCAGTCTCCCATTCACCCATTCTGTGACGGCACCACTTAGAAAACCTCACACACCCAGGCGCACACATACACATGTGTGTGTGTGTATGGCTCTCCCTGCACCCTGTTTCCCAACGCCTCTCTCTTTCTGCTCCCCTTGTTTTTCCTGTCCCAGAAGCTGCAGGTGGATGTGGTTAGGAAGACTGAAAGAGAGGGGCAGCTGTGTATGTGTGTGTGCATCAATGCGTATGTTCCTGTGCCCTTCCTGTGTTGGGGGTGGGGAGGCTTCCTGCTACAATAGGGTCTGAAGCTCCGGCCGCCGCCTGCAGTGTCGATCTCTCACCCATGCACCATTGCAGGCACTGACTCCCCACCGACATGCCCAGACGACAGCCATGTGTGAAGCTTCACCCCCAGCCTGAGTGCCGCCACAGGCCCCCTGTCCCCTCAAGGCCCGTCTGCTGCAGCGGAAATGTGCCTGGTCTGCAGGCTATGAGGGGACAGGGGAAGGAGGCAGGGGAAGCTGGCACAGCCCAGAGGACGGAGATGAGCCAATTGCCCAGCCTTGCCTCCGAGACCAAAGCCACAGTGCGCCTCTCCTCACCCCACCTCCTGCAGTGGAGCAGGACTCCTTGCCTGGAGGGTTGTGGGGAGGGGCTTGTTATCTCTAGCTTCAGTGAATGTCAGTCCCTCCAAGGAAGCAGCTCTCCTGATATGCTTAGCTTGCAGTTTTGGCTTCAGACAAGCGCTTACCCTCCCACCCATGCTGGGATTTCCTGCCAGGGCAGTGGGCAGATGGTTGGTAGGGTTGGGCCCCCTTAAAGGAGGAAGTGAGTGGGGCTGCTTAGGGTAAATGAACCCAAACCTGCTGCAAAGCAAAGCTCCTAGACTTGGGGTGTGAGCTATGGGAAACACCAAGGAGGGGAAGAACAGCGCCGACGGGTGCCAGCTAGAGGCATCCCTGTCTTGAGTGTTATCCCCATCCTAGATCCCAATCTCTCTTGTAGGGGCTGCTGCACACAAGGGGCCATTTACAGGAGCTGGAGAAGAGAAGAGAAGGAACTGGCAGGTGATGGATTTGGGGGGAGAGAGAGTGAGAGTGTGAAAAAAATGGTGGGTGTGTGAGTGAAAGAGGAGGGAGGAGATGGAGAGATGCTGTGTGCCCCTGACCCTCCCACCCCAGCACGCCCCTGGCTCTGCCAAGTGATTAATAAACCATGGAGCACAAAACTGGTGGTCTGTGTCTTTTCCCGTCCTGTTGCATGCCTTTGGTTGGGCGAGTCTTATCCCATGTGATCACACACACACTTCTTTATCAATAATGATGATAAAAGCCTTGCCTGGTCAATGTTCAATCAAAACTGGGCTTCTGTGTCTTCGAGAACTGGGTGACACACAATGGCTCGATCGAACCATCTCCTCCGTTGGTGGTGCTACAGAGATGGGAGAAGCAGCACCCAGCTAGACTTCTCTCTGCCATGCAGCTGTTACAAGCACATGGATGTGCCTCAAAGTCAAACAGGAGCAACCGTACAGGAACCTACACTCTGTACTGCAGCCCAAGGTCTCCTGGATATCCCCATGCTCAGGAAGAAATGGGTCCATCCCCCCATGAGCCCCACAATACTGGCTTACTTTACAGCAGGGATGGGGAGCCTGTGGTCCTCCAGGTGTTGTTGGACTCCAGCTCCCATCAGCCCCAGCCAGCAGGGCCAATGGTTAGGGGAGATGGGAGTTGCAGTCCAGGAACCTAGGGAGGGCCACAGTCTCCCCATCCTTGCTTTACAAGGCTGTTAGAAGGATTGCTGCTAAGATAATGCATGGGAAGCACTTCCATGCTTCAAAGTGCTATGCAAATCTTAAGGGCTGTTATTTATAACTTCAGGTTTGAGGGTGCTTCATGGCATTCCTGAAATGGGCTCTCCTGTGTGACAAAAGGAATACTTGGAATACTTCTGTGCATAAAAGATGAATCTAGATGTAACCCTTCCCCTCCTGAGTAGTCTATTTGCTGATTTTAAAATATGAATGCAGCCCAAGCAGTGGGAGATTTGACTTATATCTGCAAACAAAAGAAAAGTGGGCTTCACCAAAAGCAGGGAAAACACAACAGGCAAAGCCAATGGGTGCAGTTACAATGTAATGAAATAATTCCCAGGCTGCTTTGAACATCTTTGTAAGACATATGTATTGACAACCATATAATTAAAAAAAACAACCTTCCAGCATTAATCATCAACAATAAAAGCACCAAATACTTATCATACTGTAGTATCGCTACATTCCTGTAACAAACATGTTCGTTTCTGAAATTGGTCTTGCAACCAACAAGTTACCCTTTCACGACTAACACATAAATATACATCTGTGACAGAAGGCTGTCTCTGCAAGAAATTGCCTTCCTAAGTATTTAGGCAGTACAAAAATTTATTTTGACAGTTGAAATATTATCAGTTGCCACTCGGAGAATATTAATAACATGTAATGTTTGTTGATGCATAATATAGTTGCAAAAACTAATGTGACTTTACCTTTAGTGACACTATTATGGAAATTCAAGAGCAAACTACAAACTTGTCCACTGGCCTGTTGCAGGCCAATAATTCACGGAAGGCGGCCGTCATTGACCATGAGCTGAAAATACTCAACAAGTATATGTACATGTATGTGTTTATGCATATATACGGTGTATGGAAACATGTGTATGCATATGCTCTCTATCACACACACACACACACACACACACACACACACACACCCAGCATGGGGCCAGAAGAGTCACAGTTTTAAAATCAATAGATCACCTGGATTTTGAATCAATAAGAGTCCTTGAATCCATAACTCTCATGTCCTGGATCAACATTAATTTGATTATATGAAATACTACAGATGTCGGGATGCTGCATGGGCTGAGCAGGTAATGTTTAATAAGCTCTCATATTCTTTATTAAAATGGGTGTATCTTTTGATGAAGCTTTCTTCCGTCCACTTAATAAGTACTTTATACATCCACTATGTACATGAACTAATATATGTACTGACAGCTGTGTTGTCTTCTGAATTGCTAAGCACAAAACGTCCACTTTGTACCCAGGAATTCTACATCTCCCCTCCCAGTCCAATGTTGTACACAAAGATGTACCACCGGCAATTGTCGGGTGAATTACACAACCGCATTGGTACCCAAGGAAGAATTCTGAGTTCACACACTTGATATTTGGTGAATTACACAACCGAATTGTGTAAAGAAGAAATCTGAGTTCACACACTTGATATTTGCCTTCCCTGCTCTCTTTTGTTCTCTGAGTATGCCAGCTTTCCGTGAATGAACTGCCCCACGCTCTGGGGATTTTCACTAGCATCCGTTAAGATGGCAATGGCTCTCTAGGGGTTCAGGCAAGGAGTTTTCCCCAGCCCTACTTGAGATGGGTACAGACTGAGCCAGGGATGCAAAGCAGAAGATCCACCACTGAGCGATGACCCTTCTCCATACACCGATGGGCTTTGTCTGCAATGAGAGAAGTGTTGGGGAAATGCACCAGAAGTATGAAATGATACTGCTTTGGTGCAAAGTCAATTAACCTCCCCACAAACAAATCAGAGTGAATGCTAATTAAATAGCTCACATTTTCTAATATACCTGCAAGCAAATCAGAACGAACGCTCAATAAACAGCTTGTCGGGAAGGGCTGATGTTCTGTGGATTCCCTGTAAACAAAAGGAATGAACCACAGAGAAAGGCTATAAAAGGTCCATCTGGCGACACCCTTAGGCACATTGATCTTTTATGCTGCTGCTTTTCTGTAAGAGAAGATTTGTCATTCTTCCCAGAATTGTTGGTTTATAAGATTAAACACACACACACCCATTTATACTTCTATACTTCTGCACACTGCCTGCATGGGAGAATACTGGGTAATGACACAAACTTTTGTGTGCCTCACACTATGCATAGGTGTCTTTCTTATGAGCATGTGTGGAAGTGTGGCTTCCTTTCAGAGTAACTGTATCATGTGAACCAGCACGTGGTTCATTGCTCAGGGCTAAAAAAGAATATTTGGCAGTTTTTCGTCCATGATAGAATTGCAGAGAAATAAGAATTGTAGAGTTGGCAGGGTCCCTGAGAGTCATCAAGTCCACCCCCTGCAATCATAGGATCGCTTTATTAGCTAAGCTTCCTTCGCTGGTGCAATAACAGCCCCACCAAACACAAACTCTCATTAGCCCCGCATGTAAGCCCATGATTTCTATCATCTTTATCTAATTTGCCAGAAGGCTCTTTTTCCTCATGTGGAATATCAGCTGCTCTCTGTTAAGAAAAAATAGGAGGGGTGGCTTTGCTCTTAGCATTTCTTGTGGGGGTGTTTGGAATTCTGAAGCCCTGTTCAGTTTCACCAGGGTTCCCTGGGCCCTACATAGAACTAGAGATGGAGAAATGCATTCATCATTATATTATTCCTTGCTCTCTCTCTTTTTATTTGCTACACCATCTTCAAAGGCTTAAAGCCCCTGAGATGTGCTCATTTCCTTGACAAGGCTCAATAACAACTTCATTATATAGCACCTTTTGAGTGTTCAAAGCCCTTCACATACATTAGCTCAGAAATCCTTACAAGTCTACAAGGTAGGGTCCTATTGTTGGCATCCGTCTGTTTCAAGAGACAATGGAAGAGTGAGCCATCAAGGGTAAAGTCAAACTGCTGGAGAGTTACAGCGCCTGCTGTGGAGACCAATATGGGAGAGACATGTTTTATCACAGGTAGAGCAGACGAAGGTTTCACTGCTACAGATGCACCCAGGACATTTCTTCATTCTGTGCTCCTCCCAGCAGTCCTTCCTCCTCTGGCCACTGCTGTGGACGCACAATCTGACTGTCTCAAGGCGCTGTGGTTGTCTGAAAGGGATGATGTCAGCCTTCATGCCATGTTTGCAGACATCTTTGTAATGCAGAGTTGGTCTGCCAGCTCAGCTCCCTGTAAAGCACCTCCCCATTACTTGTTAAAGTTTTTGTTAGCCTACTGTACAAAAGTAAAATTCACCCTTTGCTTGTGGCCCTGCTCGCCACAGGCATGTGGCCCCCAGAAGGTTGCCCAGGTCAGAATGTGGCCCTTGGGCTGAGAAATGTTCCTTGCTCCTGCCCTAAATAGATTGCAGGAAGGGCTTTCACCAAGAACAGAGATGGGAAGTCATTCTGCCCCCCCCCCGCAAGTCTTTTTGGCAGAGACAAGGTTCTTTTTGGGCCCAAGTGAATAACTTTTAATGCAAAAGGAGTGCAACATATTCAAAGGATCTGCTTGATCCAATGCAGCACATCCTTTTTCCTTCTTTCATGAGATCAACTGAACTACCTGGCACTCTACTTTGCAGTGAAAAAGGCAACCGATATCCAGCAGGTGGCAGCATAGTTCAACCCTTCCTGGCACCAGGCTATGCAACAGTTCTCCACAATGGGTTGAATCCCAGAGCAGGAGGGGCCTTATTTTGATCCTTTGCTTTCATTGCGTTTTATGATTGTTGATTATTGTTATCCATCAATTTCTCTCAGGCTGGTTTTTTACAATTATCCTACATAAGGCTGTGGGCTGCTCCTGGCTCCTCCACCTGTCAGAGCCTTCTGTAGCAAATCATGTAGCTGGAACCTACACTGATTTTACCACTCTGCCAATGTTCCTCCAGTGCAGAGTTTATCCTTCCTGTTTTCTTGGCCCTGGGCTCCCAGATTTAGCAGATGTCCCCAAATCCTTGAGCCAGCACTATCTGGCTCTATGCCTCCCCTATTCTGTCTCTCTCCCTGCCTCCTTTTTCTTGCACTCTCAGGTCTCTGATCTGGCTTCATCGGCCTGTACATCCATAACCTTCCTCTTCCTCCCTCCCTCCCCCCTCTCTTCCCATCCATCTTTACCAGCTCTTGCCAGCCTCCCTCTCTTAACTCATTACGTTTATGTCATGCCCTTCCTCCAAGGAGCTCATAGTGATGTGCATTGTTTTGCCCCCTCCAATTTAATCTGAACAAAAACCTTTTCAGCTAGGCTGAAAGATGACAGCTGCCCCAGGTGAGCATTATGGCTGAGTGGGGACTTGCACCTCTCCATTCCTTCTCCAACACCCTAATTCTTTTTTTTATCTTCCCCGGCTGTGTTTCTTATTTCTCCTCTACCCACCCACTCCACAAACACAAAACCAGTGCTATCTTCCTTTCTGCCTCCTGCTACAAACCAAATCATATTACCTCCCACTTTCGCTTCTGGCAGTAGTGTAGTAGTACATGCTGACGTGCAAGAGTCCTGAGTCATTTGTAAACCACCTTGCGATTTCTGGATGAACGGTGGTATAGAAGTTTAATAAATAATAACAATATCAGTAATGACGAGGATGATGATAATGACAGACCCCTCCATAGCCACCTACATCCTCAAGAAGAACCCCAAAATGCAGAGAGATGTGTTGCGCAATTATTATGGGTGTATATAATCACACACACACACACACACACAAAGAGCAGCAGCACACAGCATGATGCTCAGTTTATTAGGATCAGCATGGTTGCACTCAAATGCATAGTTTCCTAGGAGTAAGGAACCCAATGGTACTTATTTCTGATGGCAGAGGTTCACCTCTTAAAACATACTGAGCTTTGACAAAAAACTGTCAGCCACAGCCAACTAAAATGCAATTTTGCAAGGACAATAAGTGTTACTGTTTAAACTGCTAGTGTGAAGTAGGAACCCTGTCTAAGAAAAGGAAGACCAAGTCTAGCATCTAATTTTGTTCTGCATTCACTTTCTTCTTCTGTGCTAATCTGTTACAAAACTCTAACACCCTGTGTCCACCCATCATCCAGGCACTCTTACATCATTGCCTTGGATTTTGAATAACTTTACAGACAGCTTTTGGAATATTTCAGTGATATCCCTTACAATATCAAATAAGAATTTAAAGACAATGTGAATGATAAATCCTACTGTTTATGTAGTATGTTTTTAGTGAGATAGTTCATTGGTGTTTCAACTTAATTCACTGGGAGACTCATTATAGATTGATAAAAACCATATTATTGATGTTATGTTATGTTATAACATTGTGCAATAAAAAATTCAATATACAGGGAAGTGCAATCTATGGAATTAATGGGCAGAATTCAACATTGCACTGTGATGGACGTTCTCTCTGTGCAAGCATTGCAGCTTGCAAGCTGGAACGATCATCTCTCTCTTCCCCCTGTGCTTTGTTTGTGGGGTCCCCCTACCCCGCAGCCAATTTTGGGGAGCATGAGGGTGTGGAGGGGAGAAGTGGGAAGCCCTGTTGCATGGTACTCATTAGCTAGGGTTGCCATATTTCACAAAGTTAAAATCAGGACACCCCAAAGATTGTTGATTTTGGGGGTATATAACTATGTCTAAATAGTAGTGGGTTATATAGATTAAGAAGAGTGCTATGCATACACGGTTAAGTAAGTATGAAGCGTTATTAAATGTAGATATGGATTCTGCAGAGGATGTGAAAAAACTGTTACCAAAGGGTTTTCTATTTTGGGGAGTGTGGGTGGATAGTGGGGGTGGATAATGTTTTGAAATATCTGTACTTCAATATTCTTGTGGCCACTGGGCTACATGGGGAAACCACACTTCCAAATTGTCACTATTTTGGGGGTGGGATCCCACCATATATCAGAAATCAGGTTGCACCATTAGAGTGAATGGGGAGCTCTAGCACCACAAACCCATTTCCCCCAAAGACTGGACTTTTTTTACAGCAGAGAAAGTGGCTGGGGGAAATGCACTGGAACACGTGTGGGATCAAATGCCAGTGATAGCCATCAACCTAGATGGTTTTAAAAGAAGAATAGACAAATTCAGGGAGGAAAGCGCTACTGAGGGCTGCCAGCCACGACGGCTATGTTGTGCCTCCACTAGCTTCCAAATGCTAGTTGCTGGAGACCACAGCGGAGGAGAGAGTGCTCCTGCGCTCGGATCCTGCTTGCACTTTCACCACAAGCATCTGGTCGGCCACTGTGAGAACAGGAAGCTGAACCAGGTGGGTCACTGGCCTGATCCAGCCAGGCTCTGTTATGTTCTTAAATCAGGACAAATGCTCAAGGAGCAGGCTGGGCCTGGAAGCTCCCATTGTCTCCCCAGCCAGTCTTCCAGGTGTCCCCAGCACGGTTTGCATAGGGACAGGTAAGGGAGGGCTGGGCCTGAGAAGCCCCCAAAGCCTTAATATGGAAAGCCCCATCCTCCCATGTCTATCTTTGCGAGGAAAGCTAAGCCACCCCAGTCATGCGCTCTGCTCTTCTCAGCTTGGGTCAAGGAATGTGACACATCAGATGGCAGCTGTTATTTGGGAGGAGGAGAAGCAGGGGAAGACGGGGGGGGGGGGCATGTTGGAAACTGCTTTGGGGCTGGGGACTCATTGGTCCTGGGCTCCACAGAAAAGAAAAAATAGGGGGATCTTTCGGATGGGGGAGGCACCAAATTTGCTAAGAGGTAGGGAAAGTTTTAGGAGTTGTGGGTTGGGGAGAAGTGAGTGCTGGTGAGCAAACTCAGGAGGGCCGTCTCCGCCTGCACCAACCAGCCCGGCTCCCTTGAAGTGCTGGGATGGGCTGGCTGCAACCTGAGAGCATCCTAAAAATAACCCCCTGCCTGGCAGAGGAATGACCTTCTGGGACTTTGTCCGGCTGGGTGGGCAGGCACCTGGGGCTGCAGCGTCCATGCCCCCTGGCAGGTACCCAGCAGCCGGGGGTGGGAGGTCACATGCGCGCAGAGGGTGAACATCAAGCAAGGGGGACGGCTGCTTGGGGAGCGCTGCCAGGGCCCAGGTGGCCGGTGGGATTCCCAGCCTGCTAGAAGAGGGGCTTTTGTTATGGACTAGATCTGCAAGCCCAGGCAGTACTCGACGTGACAGGGTGTGCAGGCCCCACCGAGCCATGCAGAGATCTCAGGGGCAGAGCAACCTCCATCCGGCTGGGGGGATGGGACGGGGCTCAGGGAGAGCCCCCCCGAGCCCTGCCATCCCTCCCAAAAGAGCCAAAGTTGCGACGACTGAGCAGGGAAGCCCTGCTGCTGCTGCGCCGGTCTTCCTGCAGGAGCTGACGGACACAACGGTCAGCATCGGCCACAGCATCCTGCTGAAGGTTGTGGTGGCAGGCAGCCCCCAGCCGCACCTGAGCTGGTACAAGGAGAAAGTGCCCATTGCATCCACCAAGGAGCAGGATGGCCAAGAGGAGGAGTATGGCAGCCTCCGGATCTGCAGCTGCAAAGCAGCCGACGCCGGGGTCTACAAATGCATGGCCAAGAATGAACATGGCGAAGCAGTCAGCAGCGCCACCGTGACTGTCGCAGATATGGAAGGTACGGGCAAAGTGAAAGGTGGTGGTGGCGGTGGGCAAAGCTGCTCTGCCTGATCTCTGCACCGGCAGCAAGAAGCTTTCTGAAAGGATCAATGATTGCTGCTCTTCTCAGAGATGGGTGGCTCCAGGTCTTCAGACCTGTTGAGGGTTGAACCACAGCTAGAGCTTCTCCCTCTTTCCAGCACAGCCCTAGAAGTGGTGAAATTATGCCTCAAACCATTCACAGAGTGAGTCAACACAGCAGTTTCCAAGGAATGCCTCTGGGATTAGTGGTGCAAGGGGTCCACTCTGGTTGTTGGCTCTTGGGCAGGCTTGAGCCCCTGCACCTCTTTAGAAGTGTATCAGAGGCATGGAACAGCCCTCTGCCGCAGGTAGAGGCATTGCAGGAAGAATGGGGGCTTCCTGCAGGCCGTGTTGAAGACTTGTCACCCCGTAAGCATCTGGGCCTTTTTCCTTGGATAGAACTGGGCAAAGCAGTGCTGTAGCAGCAGCAGCTATTAGATAGATAGATAGATAGATAGATAGATAGATAGATAGATAGATGATAGATAGATAGATAGATAGATGATAGATAGATAGATAGATAGACAGACAGACAGATATTAGGACTAAATTGGAAGCAGGAGCCCCAGAATCTGTGCACTCCCCATACTTTTTGTCATTGCTGGGGTGCAAATTAAACATAAGGAAGTGAGTGTCTTTGAGCACATACAGAGCGGCAATCCCTATTTACAGAAGGGCCGTAGCTCAGTGGAACTGCACTTGCTTTGCATGCATAAGGTATCTCCATGTAGGAAAGCCCAGCCTGAAATCCCGAAGAGCTGCTGCCAATCAGTGTAGACAATACTGAGCAAGATAGACCACTGGCCTGACTTGTTATAAGGCAGCTCCATGTCGTTCCTAATAACCACAGCTTTCTCTTACATGTCTGCGATAAGACTTCCCAGCAGCTCTGAATCTGGCTGCTGGTGGAATTTTGATGTTGAAATTAGGTAGCAGACCCCTGGAGGACCTATTAGGGTGCTTTGAAACCTTGCAGGAGAATTCAGCTTGTGGCGCAGATAGTATCAAAGGCTGTGTTTTTAACTGCAACACAAACCTGGCAAAGATAAGGGGCTCTAGACAGGCACATCCTTCCTACCCACTACGTGAGCACAGCAATCCGTAGCATCTGAAATCTGAGTCCTTTCAGGAAATTAAAAATGCCTCACACTCTGCCGGCACCCTGCCACGTAGGTTGCTTCTGGCACCATCTTCTGAATCATCCTTCCCTCCCAGCATCCTCCATAAACTTAATATGATCTGTGGTTCTGCAGTGGTGCTGGGTGCGCAATAGAAGCTGAAGCTTACCAACCGAAGATTCCTTCATCGCGGCTTGCGTCAGAGATAGGGGAAGGTGGTGGTTTGGGTTAAAGTGGGCCCACTGGGAAGGTGGCGGCAGTACATAGGCCAGGACTGGCGTGTGCAGAGGCGATACATCCTGTTTTTGCATCGCAGTTCTGTGATCTCTGCTCAGATTTAGGGTTAAAGTTGGGGTTCCTGGGTTAGAAAACACAGAGAAAACACCCTTTTCCCTTTAACAGTATTAAGAGAGGCATAGAAGGGAAAACACTGCTAGGTGTGGTTTGTTTTTCTGAATCGGCGTCAAGGACAGGAGAGGCAGAGAACAACCCTTTCAGGCTTGGCAACTCTACTGTTGATGTGTTAGGGAGGCCCCTGCCATCTTTGCAGCCTTGGGGTCCCCTCATTCCTGAAAAATCCCGTATTTGTGTTACAAACACATTTGGCGCCATCTCTGGGTTGTGTTCTCTGAGCATCGTCCAAACCACCAGAGAATCACATGGCAGCTGTTCCTCTTGGGGAATTGTTGGCACCGGCACCCATTTTGTCAGGGAGGTGAAGGTCATAACCTGGATGGATACAGATACATCTGGGCCAGGGGAAAAACAACCCTGGCCCTAATATGGCCCAAAAGTTTCACGGGGAATGTGTGGACGGGAGCTTTGTAAATTTACCCCCCTCCCCCTGTCCCTTGTCCTGTATCACATTCAGTGTCTGCAGAGGAAACAAGTATGTTCAAATCCTCAAGCTTTGTATAATTTAAACAGTCTGGGGAGGCCTACCTTCTTCCTGGGCCTCCTTTGCTAGACACAGGGCCAGAATGAGCATCTGGAACACTTGGGTAAATGCCAAGCTAAAAAGGCCATGGTAGGATCTGCCCATGCTGAGGCAGATGCCCCTTCAGCCCACTTGCTTGCCTGTTTCCTCCTCTGTGAGCTTCCCTGAGTCTGGGAAGCCACCGGCCATGTTAAACTGCCCAAAATGCACCAGCCCACTCCAAGGCATTGTGGGAAATTCAATATGGCAAGAGATTCCTCAGAGCCAGGTAAGCTACAGTTTAAGGAGACGACTGACCAGGGGTGGGGATGATGGCACCCAACTTCGCAGCTGGCCTGGATAGGTGAGTAGCAAATGTTTTGTAACAAGGCCTAACGGTTTCGGTTCCAGAGATACTGGTAACAGAGAAGAAACATAGAGGAGTTCAGTCCTACCTGGTTGAGGCAGCCATTTTTGTTATGCTGTAGGGTTCCTCACTCACCACCATATAATATGATGTGAGGCTAACCGAGCATAATGTTGCTTTCCTCCATGTAAGAGGGAAGGATCGCATGGATTAGGCCTCGGGGTGGAAGGCTCATCTCTAATGTTACCTTATGTGCTTGGTGATGAAGGGTATGAAACCTTTTCCTCCCTCACAGGGAGACAACTCCTGCCCACAAAGTTGCTGCTCCTCTGGCTCCCACCCATTATGTTCATTTGTTTGTGAACTTGAATGCAGTGTGCAAGGAACAAATGAATGGTTCTTATGGGGAAGAACCTACAGCAGGGAAGGGGAACCTGTCGTCCTCCAGACACTGTGACTATTTCCCATCAGTCCTAGCCAGTACAGCCAATGCCCAGGGTTAACGGGAATTGTAGGCTAGCAGCCTCTTGGAGGGCTATAGATCCGCCCCCCCCCCCCAAGTCACTGTTTCTCTTAACGCAATGTAGGTTTGCAATGAAGATTTAAGGCTGCTCTGCTGCCACTGGAGGAAGGAATTTACTTTGCTTACAGGACAGCTGGGCACACTGCAGACCCCAGGGCTGGTGAGATTCTGCCCACCCACCATCCACATCTCTACATACAATTTGGCATATAGGTGTTGGTTGTTGTTTGCAAATGTGTGTCATGGGCCTGTGCCCTGAGTCTTTTAAATACCGCCTAGCAATGCCCCTGCTTTCAATGTTGCTTAGCAATTATCCCATTCAGGTGTTTTCTGTGTGTAGAGAACCTACACACAGAGGAAGAGAGCAACAGGACTGCACTGCTGGCCTCAGCCCCAACATATTGCGTGGCTCTGGCCATGCCCTCTGGGTACTCGTGCATGGGCTGTCTGCATGGGGAAAGTTCCACACCGTAAGAAACCCTGCGCAACCAGGATCTCTGATCACGTGGGAGCCTATGTGTGAACAGCTGTTTGCACATAGGCTTTCCGTAGGCAGGTGTCTGGACTTCCAAGACACATAGAAGGTGCCACATGGATGCTGGGCGTGAGGTCAGCAATGTTGTCATGCTCTGACCCCCACATATATGCTCCTGCATGCAGGCTTCCTGTAGGCATCTGGTTGGCCACTGTGAGCCTTTGGCCTGATCCGGCAGGGCTCTTCTTAAGCACACACAATGTCTGAGTGGGGACAAGAAAAAGGAAAGTGTTGTTGTTGCTGTTAGTATGTGGGCCAATTCAATTACCACCTCATGCACAATCCTCCCAGGACTGGCCCTGGACATCTTGCCAGTTGCAAGTTGCATGAGGTGGAGTGCATGAAGTGAAGGCAGTGCTGCCACTCGGCAGGACCAAGGTGGGGTGGGGTGAGGTGGATTGATGGTGGTGGCAGGCATAAGTGTGCACACACCTGGACCCACAGCTGTCAACTTGGGACATGCCTACCCCTGCTGCTGCCCTGCCACATCCTGGTCCCAGCAAGCAGCATAGAATCATAGAATTGGAAGGGTCATCTTGTTCAATTCTCTGCAATGCAGGAAGATTTTGCCCAACACGGCGTTCAAACCCACAACCCTGAGCTTCTCATGTTCTACCAGTTGAGCTATTCCAGTGGCCCATTCCATTTCATTACCACAAGCCAACAAGACTGGCAGCTTGATCTTACTTCAGTCCTCACAGCACCCTCCCCTGCACCGCAGGGCATCAGGCAGGCAGTGGTGGCTGCTGTCTATTGGGACTGGTAAGGTGTAATGCAGGAGGCCTGCAGTAGGTGGAGCTAGAGCCAATGACAGGCAGAGCCAGTTAATTCTGTTTTGGACTCCACCTGCTGATTTCTACAAGGGGCAACCATAAGACCAGTGAAGAGGATGGCGATAGCCAGACCCCTGGACTGGTTGCAAGTAAACGCAGGTGAGTGCGAGCTCGATAAGGGCAGGCTGAAGTTGGTGGGGGCAGTTGCCCATTTGACCTAATCATGGACCGGCTTCCACTGGCACCAGGCTAGCTTTTGGGTGCAGGGCAGGATGCAAGGTACACACAGCTCTAATACTTAACCTCTGCTCCATGCCCTCAGCATCCACTGCTTGGGTAAACCACCCCACTCTGCCCACATCTGATTCGCAAAGTTAGAAGTTGCCCTTTCCTGCCTATTTTCCTTAAGAACTATCATTGTTCAGTGTAGAAGTAGTAATGTAGACCTAGGTGGTGTGGCACAATAGGTCTGTGCATCTGGCTATTAACCAGAAGGCTGGCAGTTCAAGCCCACCCAGGGATGGCTGTGGGCTGGATTCCAGCATTGCAGGGGGTTGGACCAAATAATGACCCTGAGAATCCCTTCCAACTCTATGATTCTATGATACTAATCCAGGGCTTATACTAAGAGTATCCCACGGTATTAGGTAGGGGTCTGGTTGGTACTGATAAAACAAGAGTCTTCTGGGGGTGGGGGGAATCCTACTGCTGATGTCAATTAGACCACCTTTATCCAAAATGTATGAGTTACCTTTCTGGATCAGAACCTTTTTCGTTCCTAACCATGACCAGCCAGATGCTATGGATTGTAATAGTCTGAGGAAGAAGAGGATGGGCATCTCATTTTGTTTATGCCACCAACCCCACCCCATTTTCAACCCAGAGGCAGGACCCAAGTATGAGGAGGAAAGAAGCACTTTATTGGGGATCAGAGATCCTGCGGACCCCAGCCCAGGTTGCCAGGAAGCTGAAGCTAAATTGTAGATAAGGCTTGGCAATGTTTGTGCAAGCTGATTTCCCTGTAGCTGTGCACCTACTGTCCAGATCTTTTGGGGTTTTTTTCTGGAGCCAATCAAAAGCAGTGCTAGAGCAAAACAAGTACTGTAATATTCTGAACAGCGAGTCATGGCCCCATCCCTTCTTTAGAACCGAATGTGTGCTTGTGCAGTTAAACTACGAATTCTCATTTGAGAGACAGAGAGATCTGTGCCCTGTGTGAAATGCGCTCCCAGGGACTCCCAGCCCCAGAATTTCTTGTTTATCAGCAGAAGGAAGGTGCAGCAGAAAGGAAAGACCAACAGCTATCATGATCAGGGACTACATTGGTCACATTCGCACCGTACAGTTTAGGGACACTAATAATTCCACATTTGAAGTGATACAATTAAGCTTCTTCATCATGATTTGGGCTGGGTGGGAATGAGTTTTCATCTAATCTGCCCGCTTGAAAACCTCCCACAAAATACTGACAGTCTGGAGGCAGCCCCTGTTTTCCCAAAACACAATGCCTCCCCCCCAATGCACTTGTTCTGCAGTACAGTGGGCTAGAAGAAGAAAATTATCTGATGGCCACCATGTGCTCTTTACCCAGAATGCCACAGAATGACAAAACACTTGGGGATCGCGATTTAGGAAAATTGCTATGGTGGCTGCCATTGTAGGTGCAGAAACAAAGGTACTCTTGGGCCTTGGCTGGCATCATTTCCTGTGATGTGGTGTCTCCAGGTGGAGAGAGATGGTGGCTTAGGGAGACATAGGAAGCTGCCTTCGACCAGGGCAGGCTATTTGTCCACCCAGCCTGTCTATGTCTGATAATGACTCAGGGTCTCAGATGGAGGCCCTTCCACCACTACCTACCCCCGAGCCTTTCCAATGGCGATGACAGTGCCTGGACCTAGGACCTTCTGCATGCAAGCCAGGTGTCCTGCCATGGAGCTGTGAGGCCTCCTCTTGATTCAAGCCACCTAAACAAGATCACTGCCTGCATTGAAATTCAAGCCATGGCCTGCTTGGCTCCAGCTGACACTCCTCACCACACTGCTATGCCACCTCTATTCAACGTGGCCAATACCTTATTGGAGTTTTCAGCCAAAGTCCCTCTCTGGAGCCTGGTTTTAATTTTTATTTTAAGCCAGCCCTTTGTGTCCTTGCTATGTGCACCTTTCTCCTTCGGCCCCTTCCCTTTGGCAGCCGTCAACAGTGCTCTCATTCCACCGCCCTTCGCTCTCCTCCTGCAGCCTTTCCGCACTAACTCCTCATTTGCCAAGGACTCACCTGGTCCTTTTCATCTCTCTCTCTCTCTTTCTGACTTGGTGCCCAGCCTTTTTGTATCCATGCTGCAGTGCCATCCTTGGGGACAAACCTTGCAAGAACACCTAGTCCTCTGCTCTGCTCTGCCTTGCCAACCTTCACAGGTGCTGACTTCAGGGCTGATTAGCTTAACAAGGGCGGCAGGGAGGGGTTGGCATGCTGGCACGACTGTCCCCTTCATAATTATGGGATTGAGGGCCCACTTCCAGTGCCCCCATACGTGGGACAAGACTGCATCATGGCTCTGCAGGAGCAGAGAAGAAAACGTAGCAGCGAGCAACATTGCTGGTGAGGCTCAGAGTTTCTGTGCCAGGTGATGATTGATCTCCTGGTACCTTTGCCATTGTCCTACGTAGTTATACTGGGTGGGTGGAGATCCCGCATCTGAGATAGTTACTCTTTTAAGGAGGGTGACATGGGGGCCTGAAGTTTTCAGGTGTCAGCACTGGGAGAATATTTTTTGGGAGCACAGCATCATAGACAAGTCATTTGCCTGCCTCAAGAGGCTCTACGGAAAGAAGAGGTTTGAAACTGGACAGCTGCCAGGCTGTGGACCACAGCCAGCACAATAAACTGTGCAGGTATTTGCCTGGAAGCAAAGGATCAAAACCACAATGCTTTAACATACCCATATGCACATTTGCAAATCCATACATATCTATGCACTTGTATTTTCTGGCTAGCCATCTTTATTTGTTCAAATGTACATGTGAAAACAGGGACAGAAGTGCAGAAAAGGGGCCTTAGGTTGCATTAGAACAGGTGCCAAGTTCTCATTTGGAAAAAAGTGCCTCTGCCTTTCAGTGTTCTGAGGCACCAAAACAGGATGCAGCTGCAGGGCCTTCTGCCCTTTTCCCTCCGCGATCCACATTGCCTATGCCCTGCTCTTCCCTTTCTTGATGTGAGGTAGAATTAGGGTTGAAGCAAATGTGGAAGATCTGTGTGACTAGGTTTCTCATGCTTTCCCTTTAAAGCAAATGTGTATGTACAGGGTATGTACACATGCATACATGCATAGTCTGACTGGAGCAGTTTTAATGCTCCCCCTCCCACTGTTTCCCCAGCCTAATGACTCCTCAAAACCCGTAATTGACTCTACAGGGTAGGGGAGGCACCCAACTGACCAGGGATTGCTGTAGCAGATTTTCTACATTGGCAGGGGTTGGACCTTTGATGTCCCTGCCAACTCCATGATTCCATCATACAGGTACTTGCCTTGTTTCCTTCTGTAGCAAGGGAGGGGGGGTGAGGTACATATGGGAAATAAGACAAGGGAAGAGCTTAAAGATCCCCACCACTGCACTGATTGAAAACAGTCCCCCACTTAGCTGTTTTAAAGAGGGTGTGTGTGAAGTGGGAGATCCAATTTCAGATCCTTCTCGCCACAGGTGAGAAGATGATCAGTAGGGGAATCCTGTGAGAGGTACCATGGTTGGCACCTGTCTCAAGCATCTTAAGGCAAGTTTTCTGGTCAAATGGAAGCTGGTTTGAGGAAAAAGTGCTTTGAGGATTCCTAGGGCTTGTGGCTAAGGTCTTCTAAGTGCAGTTTCACAAACTAGCAGTCGGAGTACAATGGAGGCAGAGTAATATTAACATGCTCTCAGAAAGGAGGAGAAGGAGCTGGATCTTCAGAGAGTTGGGCCAAGACATTTGCTGAAAAGATGAGACAAGGGGCTCACCCACACATTTGCTTCACCTGTATTTTGACTGTATTGTGTATTGATCACTTCTCCCAGCTCGGAGCGCGTTTCTCAATGTTCTGAAGCTATGCTTTGTGAAAATCCAATCTTGCCCGCTGAAGTGGATCTTATCAGATGCATAGAAAATCTGAAGATTTTGCTTAACTGAGCTTCAGTTCAGCAGCTAAGATAGGATTTTAACAAGGAACAGCTGTGGAAAAATGAGAAAAGCTTTTATACCTGGGAGAATTGATCAGTACACAAGGTAGTCAATATATGTGTCAAGTGATAGTGTGAATAAGTCAGATCATAAGGGGGGTGGGGGTGGGAGAGAGATAAGAGTACCATATAGTGAATATGAGGCTAGCATGGCTAAGGAGTGAAGTCTATAAGGTGCAAGAAGTCCTCAGATCCTTGGCTTTGAGTTCTCCACACCTGCTTGTTCTGAGGCTTTGACATGAATCACTCACCCACTCTCTCTGCAACAAGAGAGCTGCTAATTGTGAGGAGAAAGTTGAGATTTGCAGGTTTCTGAAAAGATAGGTCTATTCCATGGTAGGCATGGTGTGCTTTTCTAAGCAGAGACCCCCTCAATTAACACCAGAATAATGAAAACAATGGAATAATCCAGTCTAATTAGTGTTTCAGTCAAAAGTTAGGTGCTGATACAGATCATGATAAAAGTGTTGTAGGCGCCAGCACAAAATGACTGCCAGAAGCAGGGGGGCGGGGGAGTGGCAGCCTTCACAGAAAAGCATTGAGTTTAATACAGTGTAGGTCATGCCTTCTTTAGGGCAAACTGAGACAGTGGGCCTCTCTCTTCAGAAGGTAATGTAGAATGACCATGTGAAAAAGAGAACAGGACAGTGGCACTCTTTAACATTTAACTTGTCAATCCAGCTATACCTGTTGAAATTCCCTATGCCTATTTAGGGTGCAAGAGCCCCACCCTCTTTTGCATCTGGCCACTCTGGCATCATGTGATGTTGGAAAATCCAATGCTTGCTTTTAAATCCCAGTCTCCTGCTTCTTGATTTGCCCTTATGGATAAACCAACAAGTGTGATTTACAGGGCAATTCTATATATGCGTGTTCTCAGAAGTAAGTTCCTTTGAGTTCAGTGGTGCTTACTCTTGGTTGGGGAGGTATAGGATTGCAAAATATCTGTAATCGGCCGATTTGAGCTCTGCTTTGTGGGTAATAGCACCAGCCACACCATCCATTAAGTTACATTCAGTGGACATTTAAAGCACATGACTATTATTATAAATTTATTGTTTAGGCACCTTCTAAACAACTGTCTCAAGGTGAAATACACTGAAGATAATTAACAACACAAATAAAGGAAATACATTTAAAGCAAAACTAAAACTTCCACCAAAGAATCCTGGGAACTGTAGTTTCGCCCTCAAGGAGCTACAATTCGGCACACCCTTAACAAACTACAGTTCCCAGGATTCTTTGGGGGAAAGCTTTGTTCTTTAAACGTGTATTGAATGTGCTTTAAATGTGTGGTGTGGCTCTGCCTGAGTTCACCCTGTTCCCTTGTTGACAAATAACCCCCACCAAACTGTCACTAGAGAATTAAAAGAGAAAATTGGAGGGGTACGAGGTGACAAACTTTCCTTTTCCATCAGAAGGGCCTATCTAACAGAAAAGTAAAGGTAAAGGGACCCCTGACCATTAGGGTCCAGTTGTGAGCGACTGTGGGGTTGCAGCGCTCATCTCGCTTTATTGGCTGAGCGAGCCGGCATACAGCTTCCAGGTCATGTGGCCAGCATGACTAAGCCGCTTCTGGCGAACCAGAGCAGCGCACAGAAACACTGTTTACCTTCCTGCCGGAGTGGTACCTATTTATCTACTTGCACTTTGGCATGCTTTTGAACTGCTAGGTTGGCAGAACAGCAGATCTCAGTAAATGTGTATCCCAATGGGTGTGTGTTTGTGCATGACCAGGATGTAGGGATCGGGTGGGGGAAGAACATGTGTTTATGTGTGGATATCCTGGCATATGTGCACTGTAATTTTGTGCAAGAGTGAGCAGGTTGTGTGTGCATGTGTTGAAGAAAGGATTAGGTACAATGAAAAAGAGGTGGTGGGTTTGTTGCCGTTTCTGTTACCAAATTTGTGTGTGTGAAGATTCCCATATGTAACATCCTCTGCCCTAGAGGCCATGTTTCCTAATCCTAAATGTGTATGGGCTTGTTATTTAATAGTGAAAGATGCCATATATACTATTTCACATCCCATTGCAGACTGTATTCCAGTGTTGACCCATGCTGGCAGTCTCTACATTCTTCTCGGTTAAATATTTTTTTATTTTATTTTAGTACCCAGGACTAGCTGCCTAGACAGGAGATTAGGGTTAGCTCTTCTTTGATCTGCTTTTCCATGCTACAAACACAGATAGGCTTCCCACACGCCTTAGATTATCATTGATCCTCTCTGCACCTGCTGTGCTTGATCACTTTTCTTTGTTTCATATGGTCCGTACTGTTAAATGCCAACTCAACCTCTGAGCAGTAAGAGACTCCAGGAGTTCCACCACTTATCCAGTGTTCAGTTTCCATGGAATGAAGGTCAACTGTGTGTTTTTAGGCTATATGGTTTTATTTGCACGTAAGTGCAACCTGAGCATAAGATGGAGGAGCTCACAGCATTCACACTTGCTTCTCAATTAGTTACAGCTCTGAATCCAACACAGAGCAAAAACATGTCTCTCTCTCTGCCTCCAGCTCCCAGCTCAGCTCTCACACATTTCTCTGGCTTTTGTTCTTTGTTTATGGCACTTACCGTACCTTGACAAAGGAACTGCATTGGCAAGCTTGCTCTTATACATTCCACCGAATTCCCACACCCAGATCCCAAGATTTGGAAGGAGCCCAGACCGATCCCCCAAACTCCTAATAATATGATTCATTATGTGTTTCCAGCATTGTCCCTACTGATATAATTGGCTCAATTTTGCTTTTGTTGACTAACCAGCATCAGGATGTTTTTCTAGACTGGATGCTCACAAGTGTCAAAACTCCCATTGTGGAGATCTCTACTAATAACATACTGACTTTCATTGAAGGTGGGCAGGAGTATGTATGGGCAAACTACACTAACGCCCCTGCTGCAGATGTAGCCTCACTTCTAATGCCCCACAGGTGTTGCATGTCATGTTGTGTTGAAACAGTTCGCTGTCCTTCTTCTTCCCCGAGAGAAAGGAAGCTCCAACCACAATTGGGTGGTTTTTAACCTGCTTCACAGGTTTTATGTGAGGATAAAATGGGAAAACTCCAAGGTTTCCTTTCTCTTTCTTTTAAAAAAAGAAATCAACTTATTACCAAGATGCACAAGGAAATGACATAACAAGAGTGATGATAGAAAGATAGATAGATGATAGATAGATAGATGTAGACAGACACACGTACACACAAACACGCACCCCTTCCCTCTGAGTGTTGTAGACCATAATAAAATCTGCTATTCCCCCCCCCCTTAGATATCCACAAATTAAAAACAGCAATTTAAATCCTAAACACTTTGGGGAAAGAGTCTGGGTTACTTAGCCCCAGCATTTTGCATTGTGCCCTGGATCTTCTGCCTCTTCCTCCTCTTTTAAAAAGCCAGCGATTCATGTTTTCTCTTTGCTTACAGGGAAGCTGGGTGCACTGTAAAGCACAATGTTGGGGATGCCTGAGCCGACAGATAAATTAGCACATGCAAGTGTTAATGCAAACTTGTGTCCTGGGCCTGTGTCCTAAGTCCTGCTTAGGACTGCTGAAATACAAATGCAAATATGTGGCTAATAAACTAAATAGTTCCAAAGTGATGCAAAGGTTTTGGATCCATCAAGATTCATAGTTCAAAAGGCACAACCTCTTTCCAAACAAGTCACTGACAGAATTTCTATTCTACAGATGTGCATGACTGCCAGGAAGCTATTAACATAGCTGGGGAACAGAGTTCGGATAGCCTGCTTATTGCATCCTATTGGACACTGAACCCATTTGAGTTCCCACCCTATCAGTTAGGGATCTAAAAGCATGGTTGCACCTCAAGACCAAGATCAGTAAAAAAGCATGTGTTTTACATTATTGCTCTTTCTCTGCTTTTAAAATGTCTTCATGCCATAGTGCAACCCCCATTTCTCCTCCTCATCAGAAGCACAAGCGGATAAGTGGACTAAAATCCGGCATAAGTGGTAGTCAAAATGGTCGCCTTGCCCCCCAGATGTGTCAAGCTGAGTGACTTTGGCGCTGTCCAACTGGAAGCACCCCTGGGCCAAGAACAACCCCTCCACATGCTGCCGGGGGGAGGGGGCGGCACGTCCCAAATGCATTGCTAGTCCCAGTTTCTGTGTGACGGCTCTGTCTGTTGCAGCTGTCCAGTCAGTCAGCCTCTCGCTTGGGGTTTGGTGGCTATTTTTGCGACGGAATGTGCCAGCCCCTCAGATTCTAGCGGTGCAGCCAGAGCTTGTGTTACACACCAGGCAGAGGGCAAGTGCCAGGCCCACAAGGGGAGTAAATATAGTGCTTACACTAGAACATTGCACTGAACCCTCCTCAGGCATCTAGGCTTTTCTCTGAGTGTTGCCGTCTCATGCCTGAGAACATGGCCGGCTTCTTCTCTCTCCCCACTCCCACTGGCTCCTGACATGTTTCACCACCTTTAGGGCAAGGAGTGGGGGAAAGATGAGGAAGGGTGTCTCCACCAAACACACCCAGTGAAGCTGGCAATACTCACCCAGAGCCAGTTGTTATTATTATTATTATTATTATTATTAGTCAACTTTCACACGAGTCTCAAGGCGACTTACAAACATGCAATAAAAACAATTCAGTGCACTTTGAATGGGATTTCAATCACATGTTGGCAAATCCAGGTTGCACAATTCTAGTTGATTGAGAGGCCTTGACCCAGAAATCCGCTTGCCCTAAAGATGACTTTTTCCGTCAGGAAAATTGTGGGGGGAAGCCCTGGAAAGTGTTGTGTATCCCTTGTTTTGATGCAGAGTTGCCTAACTTCCCTGCAAACAAATTTTAATGAATGTTTATTAAATGGCCAACATTGCCTAATATGCCTGCAAACAAATCAGGATGTATGCTCAATAAACAGGTTGTCTGAAAGTGCCTTTAAAATGGTTTTTAAAACTATGCAAAAAGCATAGATAAGTTTAAAAACAATGCAAAATGAACACCTTAGACCGAGAACTTTTCATGAAAACGCTGTGCAGTCAATTGACAGGGTAAAATAAAGTTACATCTCTTGAGTTTCTGAATAGGAGAATCTGGAGAGATTTTGAATAGCAGACAGGGAAAGTGAGAGCTGAATGAGATTCTTGTTATAACTAATTATACTCAGAGCATTTCAGAAGTGCAGCACAGCACTCTGGGGATAATCTTTCCCATTCTGCTCTCCAACTCCAAGGTTAGAAAGGTTTTGGTGCTTTGCTTCCTGGGAATGGAAAAAAAGGCTTCCTCTCTGGCTCAGAAAAGAAAAATATTGGGGCTTGTAATTCTGGTTCACAAAGCATATTAGAAGCAGAGCAACCAGATGTGGAAGGGGAAGGTGCTCCTGCACCTTTAGTAGTTGTGTGGAAGAGGAAAATTCAGCAGCACCAGTCAAGGTGCAGGAGCCCTGTCCTATTTTTCCATCCAGGGCCAGTCCAAGACATTTTGCTGCCTGAGGCAAAGGCAAGATGGTTCCAACTGCCCAGTCACAGCTGACTCATAGCAGCCTGGCATTGAATTCTACCTCAGCACTGGTGATGAGAGACCGTCCTTCACTGCTCCTGAGAGCAACAGGCTAGTTTCTGGGCCGTGGGGTACACCACATGGCATACATACAGCTTAGCCCTCCGGCATCTTGCCATCATTCTCCCCACTCTCTCAGCATCCACTGCCTGAAATGGCTGCTTTTCTCAGCCTAATGGCAGGGCAGGCACTGCTTCCCACTGGCCACTCTGCTCAGAGGTGGGACTTTCAAATAAGCCCCAGGACTTGAAAGGGAGGTGGGGATTGTCCAGAGGCCCTCTGAGTACCTCCAGGGAAGAGAACAACTGCTAGGAAAGGAAGCTGCAAATGGTCCCTTCATTGGAAATTACACTTCAGAAGGGCAGTATGAGGTCAGGGGCAAGACTCCAACCCTGGGAGGAGGAACAAGGTCCTTGCAGCCAGACATTTTGACTAGGTAACAAAGCAAGTCAAAATTTGCCCACTGGGGTCGCCCCTACAAAGGTAGCAGAAGTGAGTTGGGGGCATTGAAAATCTATTGACAGGAAAGCAAATATCACTTCAAGTTGCTCCATGCTTATATTCCATATGCAACCAGTGCTGTTATTCTACATAAGTCCAAAAAAGAGAGGAAAGACTACAGAATGTGGAATTGATCGAAAAGCATATTGAGGGCCACAGGTTCCCCTTCCCTTTACTAAGGAAAACCTTCCCTCAGCCTTAGGTCAGATGCAACAAAGAAGGACAGGGTCCCTGCGCCTTTAATAATTGTGCAGAAGAGAGAATTCAGTAGATGTAAGCTTCCACGACAAACCATGGCCACTGAAATTTCATCTTCTATACCACTATTAAAGGTGCAGGAACACTGTATTTCTTTTTTTGAACAGAGTTTTAGGGATCACGGAAAAGTGGTATGAGGGCAAGGCTTCATTAAGAGATGGCCTCGAAGTAACAACCAGTAATATATAAGAAATGAAGAGGTGTGGCTAGCAGTAGAAAACAAGTTGAAAAGATAACTCAGATGCAGTAGTCTTGCAGTACATCAAGGGTGGGGAACTTTTTCAGTTTGAGGGCTGCATTCCTTTCTGAATGACCTTTCAAGGGGCCACATGTCACTGGTGGGCAGGGCCCGAGGCAAAAGTGGGTGGACCAATATTATTAATTTTTTTACCTTTGTATAGTAGGCTACTTTCAACACACACTTGCCTGCCCTGCTCTGCCCAAGCAAGTAAGAGTATATTCAGTCTTCAAAGATGCATGACAGCCAGGCAAAAACACACACCAAGGATGTGCCGCAAGGCTGGTGAGGGGTGTGTCTTGTGGAAGGGGGGTATGGCTGGAGAAGGGGCGTGGCCTGGGGAGAGTATCTGTGGCTAGATTGCCTAGAAGAGTGAGTGCAATTAGACCTGAGCCTCTATTTATTTAAGCATTGGCAGAGCTTTTTCCCCTTCAGCCGGAACTCTTCAGAACCCAGTTCTGGCACCTCTCAGGTGGGCGCCATTGCCCTTATAAGAGAACAAGGGAGGCGCTCATGGTAAGTTCTGGCATCGCGTGTTGGTATTCTTCCTTTTAGGGCTAGCTCTGCCAAGGCCACTCCCAGCTTTTGAAGACACCGTTCATTGCAGCAAAAGCAGTAAAACAACAGGAAAGTCTTATAGCAGCAAGGGACGGTGCAAGCGCTAAAGGTCCCCTTCCCTACTGCACCACTTGCTGGGGGGGCGGGTTGCTGTATTGTACCATGATATGGAGCACCAACTCAAAGTAGCTTTGATCCTGAATGTATGGAACAGCCAGTACTATGCTCTCAGGATGGGGGTGGATGGCTGGCATGACCACCTTTTAGGGCTGGGCAGGTCCCACTTGACAGAAAAGGAGAGATGCCACCTAGATGCTCAGCTGTTCTTTTTGCAAGCCTCTGGCATTTTGTGTATTATGTTTCACTGATGTTGTCTTGGTGGTTAGTAATGGTTTGATGATGGTGGGTTTTTTTTGTTTTATTGCTGATATTAACACAATATGCAAAATGGAGGGCATTTCTATGGTGGTTAAACTGCATCGAGCACAGTCAGTGTAGAAAATGGCCTGGATAGTTAAATGCTCCCTAACAAAGAAAAGGAAAAAAATGGCTCTGCACACAGAAAATATGTTTGTTGTTTGGGAAGCAGGCTATAGGCTGAACACTTCTCTCCAGTATTTTCCTTCTCAATGTGCAAAAATTCAAGTATTTTAACAGGAGGTAGTGAGTTATTAAACATGTGATTTCTCCACTTGCACCCTGTATGTTCCTGGAAAAAGAGAGAAAAGATTTACCATTTGATTATGCCGAAATCAAATGTATAAATTGGCCCCAACACAAACCCCATGGCAGTAGTTTGTGGCAGAGGCTGGCTGAGTATGCTCAGGCAGCAATCGGCGCTCCTGCTGGTTTGATTGAGTGAGAGCACTTAGCTTCACATTCAAAATTAATGAATTTTTTAAAAGCCTTTAAAAGCCATTCAGAACTTTGTGTGTGTGGCCTCTGGTAGCTTGAACTGTTTTGTAAGTTGCAGGCTTGCAGCTGATGAAATTGGTCTTGGTTATGGAATAATGGGTGTAGGCCATAATAGATGTAGGCTGGGCACACAGCAAAGAGGACAGGCTGCCTGCACCTTTGTGCATAAAAATCTAGCTGAAATTCACTCTTCTGCACAGAAAATATCTTTTATATGCCTGTTGTCTTTGTCCATGGAGTTTTCTTGGCAGGGATACTGGAGTGGCTTGCCGGTTCCTGCTCCAGATGGATCACGTTTGGTCAGAACTCTCCACTATGACCTGTCCATCTTGGGTGGCCCTGCACGGCATAGTTCATAGCTTCTCTGAGTTATTCAAGCCCCTTCGCCATGGCAAGGCAGTGATCCATGAAGGGGGCACAGTAATTAATGCTGGGGAAATCTTGCCCACTCTTTCACCTGGCCACCCTGTGAGATGTATTGGTCTTTAGTGTGTCGAAAGACAATTTGTTTAGAATGTGTAGTCTTATGTGCACTGTGGCTAATCTTCTGGTTCTAGTGTTTTGTGACTGGTTTGCATATTATATTAAACCATAGTCTAAAACAAACTATGGTTTTATGGGAATAAGGAGCATGATGGTGCATACTGTTCAGAAGCTCCCACGGAGCTCCTTCCCTGCTGTTACTGCTGCAAAGCCATGAATGAAACAGGCCAGAGTCTGCTTTTTTGTGTCATCTGAACCCAGACTCATGGTTTGTTTCTCTCCAAACAAACCATAAGTGGTAACCAAGGTTTGTTCTTCACTTACTGACAGTTGTTTGTTTAGGAGAAACAAACCACGAGCCCAGGTTTGGACGATGTGATGAGCCATATTGTGACTTGTTTCATTCATGGTGTGGCAGCAGCTGGAGTGGGAGAGTAGCGCCATGGGAACTTCTGAGCATCATGTACCAGCATGCTGCTCATTCACATTAAAATTATGGTTCATTTTAAGGTTGCCTCTTGTGCAGGTGTTTGTGGCTGAAGATCATTAGTAAATGATACATGCTGGTATCAGGGCTGTCCAATTTCCCCACCCCTTGTGATTTTTTAACTGCTGCATGACAGCCAGTAAACCAGAAGGTGAAACTTTTTACCTGAAGGGACTGAGCTTTTACTAGCTGAATTTTCACCTACCTGCAGCTGTTAAAGCAGGGATGGGGAGTCCCAACAACAGCTGGAGGGCTTCAAGTTCCCACCCCCGTGTTAAAAGCTCAGGAGCTCTGCCAGAAAAAACACACACAGATGTGAGCATTAGTTGGCACACTCCATCACCTTGTTCTTGTAAAAGCAGCAGGACAGCAGGCTGTTTCTTATAGGCTTGTCTGTTGAACGAAATCTGGTGCCTCCCGGTATTTTTTGTACTTCTACTGTGCTAATGGCTTTCACCTTTTGTTCAGCTTGTGCATATACATGTGTTATGCATGGAGCTTAAGCCTTTCTGGGACTCCGGCTCACTCCTACGCTTCAGTGTTTGACAGATGCAAATATGTACACTTTCTTTTACATTACGCAAACCATGAATGAAGCAGCAAGCAAGTGGCATGAGCAAGTACCTAGGTGGTTCTGGGGTTGCTGCATGCGCTGCATGCTGAGGAAGTTTGGGTACCTTTTCATAATAACATAACCATTTTTGCATTTTTCAAAGCAGCATTCAGACCTTAACACCATAGGCTGTGATTGGAGTAGGAGGTACATTTCAAGGCACACTGTTCATTGTAGGTACACATTTGGTAAATGTACACTAGACATTATTGATATATAGTCTTTAAGTGCAGATAGGAAGTATGCAGACACTTTGCTACACGTGAGGCTTGGGACTCAAAGAGACTCTCCCTTAATGATTGTTGTTGTTGCGTCGTTTATTGACTTATATACTGCTTATATCCCAAAATGGCTTCTAAGTGGTTTACAGCTATAAACTCAATACATAATTAAAATGCACAATTACAAAGCCATTGGGGGTATTAAAGCTTCCTCAGTTAAAATATAGAATAAAACAAACAATTGAAAAGCATAACAGTTAAAGAGACAAAACAATAAAGTCAGGAGCTTGCTGCAGCTCCCCTTCCATGTTATTGTTAAACTGCGGCTGGGAAAATGCCAGGCCAGGCCCGTGTCCCTTGAAGGTCATGGCACTGCAGGAGGAGAAGAGGCTGTGCTGTGAATGACACAGCCTATCTTAAGCAACTTAGCCTTGTGGACAGACACCCAGAGAGCTAAACAAGGGGGGTCAGGTTGCAGTTTGGTCGCTCCCTTCTCCCCTCAAGGCTTCCTAGGCACAAATAAAGCTGGTGATGTCATAGTCAGCACCCTGGCCGGATCTTTCTCCCCAAGGTGCAGGCCTGGGTACAAGGTGGGACAGGCCACAGCCAGTCTGGGGTCCTTGCCATGATGATGATATCAAAGGAAATCCTGGTGAAGGGAGTGATCTCCCTGACACTAGTACTCTCTGCATTAGGCCCTTTTAAAATTCCTGTCAGCTTAGAAAATGTCAGCTGCTTCCTTTTTTAGATGAAAAAAACATGTTCCCCAAAATGTGGAAGAGTGGAGGAAATGAATATATGCATCCTGTGCACGAATGTGTGAAATATACAGCAAATGTTCCAACTGTTCTTATTTATCAAGAGCAATCTCTGTTTTCAGGTCCCTGGTAAATCATTGTCACTATTTTGACTGTTTTAGGAGACTGAAGGCTGTTTCCCCCCCCTTAAGAATTGAATAAAGGGGTTTGTGACTAACAGGTTTATTATGGCACCAGCCTTCATGGATCGGAGCCCACGTTTGACAGCTGTATAAAATATCTATGTTTATAGACGGGGGTGGGGAGTGGGGAGGAGTCTTGTGAACAGCACAATCAGTGGGGTAATAAAATACAAAAAGTACAATCTATGTAAAGCTTAAGTTATGCAAAGTGACCACATTCACAACTGCCATGACAGGGGATAATTCCATCATCATAGCCGAAGAATAAAAATGTAGTCCATGTACGTTGGCCTACTTTCCATTCTGTAGGGTTCAGCTCTCCTCAGGTCACTGAAGGTTAAGCTCTGGCTACATACACACTCTACATTTAAAGTGCATTACTTTCTCCAAAGAATCCTGCCCATGTACGTGGGGCTGCCCTTGAAGACGACTCAGAAACTTGAGTTGGTCCACAGTGCAGCAGCCAGATGCTGGCTGGGGGTCCTTCCAGATGCTGTGTTTTAAAACAGCTGCATTGGTTGCTGGTTCATTTCCAGGCCCGCTTCAAGGTGCTAATGTTGGTGTTGAAAGCCCTAAATGACTCAGGCTCCAAATAATCTGATATTAACTGTTAAAAGCGTTTGCACCCATAGATCCTGGGGTTCGATTAAAAAACCCAAAGTGGTTCCAGAAAGTCTGGCATCTGCCCACCCCGACTCTAGGGGGAAGGAGTGCCATTGATGGGGTGCCACCACAGATAAGGCCCTTCCCCACATCACTACTCCATGCGCTATGCTTGGTGATGGGATCATGAAGAGGGCTTCCTCTGCAGGCTGCAGCTAATAGAGGAGAGTTTTAAGTGTTTGGGACCAAAGTCATTCAGGGATTTGTAAGTGAGTGACAAAAACCTTGAACTGGTCCCAGTAGCATATTGGCAAACCAGTGCAGTTTGAACAGGACCACTCACAAAAGTGGCAGCCACCTTCCACGCTAGCTGCAGGTAGCCCTGCATGGAATGTGTTGCAGCCATCCAAATATGAGGTTACCAGAGCACAGGTAACTGTTGCTGAGCTATTCTAATCCAAGAATGCTGGAATGGTGCTGGAATGCTGACTGAGCATTGAAGGAGAAACAAAACTGGGGAGATGAGAAATGGAATGGCTGGAATGCCAAACAGGAAAATCTCCAGGCTGCACCATTTTGTTGTACTTGTTAACCCACAAAATGCCAGTACGCTTATTTCTTTCCACACCCAGCCTCCGCAACTGGGTAGCAAATGTGTCCGGATGTGCTGCTGCTATTCTATAAATTCAACCAGACTTATTCTGAAACTTAATATTTCATTCCAACCTCTTTCAGTTTTCAAAACTATTTCTGGTTACATACTACAGCATATAAAATCTTCTGGCTGGTTTAGTTTCTTATTTTCTGTGGCTTCTCTTTACTGGATAACCTGGAATCTTTCTTTTTTCTTTGGTGTGCTATATAACGTTGCTCCATTTGGTACTGCATCGTGGTTATTATTGTGGGAGGGGTTCTTTTGTCGAATTTGTGATGTTGCATAACCTGCAAGAAGAAAAGCGATCAAATGAAAATAAAATGAGAAACTATTTATAGTCAGTAAACTCTTACAATTGGGAAACTATTGTGTTCAGTTTCTGAAGCTCATGCTCTGCTTCAAAAACCAGTACCAGGAAGGTGTCTTCAGGGTAAATGAGTCCAGCAAGTCAATGTGTAATGGGGGGAGCACGGAGGGGGGGCTGTGAGAAGAGAGGTGCTCCTGCCTTCCTCTGTGAAATACTGGGTATTACAAAACAGGGCAAATGAGGGTTGCTTGGATCTGACACTGCGCCCATATTGACGTCTGTGTGGAATTGAAGTGAGCAAGGAGTAGCACAGAGAGGAACTAATGGGGTCTAGACAAACATTGATCATTTGGCTTTATCCCCTTTCCAATTAGTCTGAAAGTGTTGCGTCTTCAGCCCCACTGAGCATTCTCTTGACGCTAGTTTCATCCAGCCCACATTTCTCTTGTGAACATATAAAAATGTCTTATGCAAATGGTCCCCTAAAAGCTTTTCAGCCTGCACCGTTGCTTTCGCCTTCTCCAGTATACTAACCGCCCACAGTTAGGAAAAAACAATGAGTGCGAAAAGGATTAGTTTTGCGGATGTTTTCTTTTTAACAAGTCCGTAGGGATTCCACTGTATGTTATGCTATCTCCTTCCACCCCCATTGCTCCTTAAGAATGCTTCTAGCATCAAGACACTGGCCCAATAGCAAACCAACATGGAGATTTTTCTGAGACATTTACTGTTATCTTTAAAAGGCAGCAGCAACTGCAAATTTAGCTTCCCAGAAAAGAAAAATCACCCACAACCTAGTCTTAACTAGAAGATTGGTGAGCATTACTGCCCCTGGCATTTCCTGGTTTCCTTTAGTTTGGGATGAACTTGAGTTGGGTAGCAATCCACTTGCTAGATTTGTGTGAGTGTGTGCCCCCGTTTTTTGCAGTTCTTTTTATTTTTAATAAACCAAAATTGGCCCAGGCATCTGCTGTCATTGTGCAAATGACAGCTTCATTGAATAATAATTTGGGTGCATGGTAGTGGTGGGGGCAGATGGAGAAATAAACCAGGTCATGATGTGTACAGCAATTTAAAAATGCTACTTCAAACGCAAAGGGTGGGAAGGGGGAACCAACTGCTGTGTTTTAAGCTGCAAATCTGTATATGCCTTGAGCCTAATGAGAAGGAAGCTGGCAGGCAGTGCCCCCACCCCCTGGTCTGGCTGTAGGCAAGGAGGCAAGCAGGTGGGGGCTGGCTGAGAGCAGACTGAGGTTGGTGGGGCAGTGCCCCAGCTGCCCTAATAGAGCAGACACCACTGGGAATGCACTTGGATTTAGAGGCTTCATCAGCTCATAAATGACCTCTTTTAAAAAGGGTCACTTTCAGACCTTGGAGTGGATCCATTGTTAATGGACCAGTTATGAATTGGACCCTGGGGAGCCTATGCAGCCATTGGTTTTCCCCACCTCTGCTTATTCCCATTTCTAGCTTCAGAAATGCATGTTTTATATGAATTTCCTGCGTGCTTCCATGAAATATTTTTAAAGAAATGCATATCCATTTAAATTATAGTATTTTTTCCTAGCTTTGCATCTCTCTCTATAAATGAGCATATGCAAAATGTATGCAAATCTGCCCCTCCTTTCTCTATTTTTTGTGATGCAGTTCCACTCTTTTGGTGTTTGCAGAGCTGAAATTCCCTCTTCAGTGCAACTATTAAAGGGGCAGGAGTTCTGTCCTCTCTTTTTCTGGTGCTAGAAAGGCTCAGAAAGTATGTTTTTAGCTAGATCTTGGCCTATTTTATATCTTGCCAACATGACACCTTCAGATAGGGATCCCATGTGTCCAGGCTCTGGACTGATGTGAAATAACTGTTCCTTCTTTTCTTTTGGAAAGTACAAATTCCTTTTCATTCCCTTTGAGGACTGCACAATCAGCTTATCAAAAGCTTGAAGCTGTCGCTGTCTGTCTGCACAAAAGTATCTGAAACGAGGAAGATATGTTTACCCCCCTGTGTGAAATGACGCAGTCAGCCCTCAGATTCTCATATCCCACAGAGTGAGGCCTTGTTTATATTTTCAAGTACAATTTCCACCTTAAGTGTGCACCGTTTGATCCATTTCAAACTAATGTTCCTTTTCTTTATCTGCTAGTATCCAGTTCACACTATTTATTTATTTTTTACTGATGATAGGAACCATGTTGTGTGACTATGTGCAGCAGGCATATTGTTTCATGCAGACTGCCACTCGCTCCATGCAATTTCAACCCCCCACATCTAATTATGGCCTGCTTTGGTCCTGCAAATCTACAAGAATATTTATTTATATGAAGCTCCCAGAATGTCTTAGTAAGGCCACCCCTTGCCCTCGGGCTTATGAGACCCAGTGTGGTATAGTGGTTAGAGTGCTGGACCAGGGAGACCAGGGTTCAAATTCCTACTCAGCCATGAAGCCTAACTCACAGGGTTGTTGTGAAGATAAAATGGGGAGGAGGAAGAATCTGCACATCACCACCGCCTCTCTTTAAAGCAAATACATCTAAGCGGATCCATTTTTGGAAGCAGCCTTTCACATACTTGCAACATGCTAAATATGTGACTGAGGACACACATTAGATGTGTGTAAAGAATACATTTCAGCGTAGAAGTGGTCTATCCACATTACCTTGCCTTCAAAAGTGCAAACAACAAAGAGTCTTGAGGCATCTTAAAGACGACGGTAACTTTTGTAGTCTTCTTGTAGACCATTGTCCACTTCATCAGATGCAGGAATCTTTGCTGTTTTTGAAATGTTGAGAGAAAGAGAGTCATTTGAGGGAAAAGTAAGTTGTTTGGTAGGCTAGAGGGACAACCGAAGGAGAATGAGATGAATGTGACACTTGAGTATACGGTACTTATAAGAGAGTTGATACTTGTTAGATAAGCTAGAGTGGACACACTGGCCACATTCACACCATTCATTTAAAAGCACTAATATACCACTACAAACATCCATGGTTCCCTCCCAAAGAATCCTATGAACTGTAATCTTTTAAGAGTGCTGAGTGTTAAGGGACACCCCCCCACTCCCACAATCCCCAGATTTCCATCCAGAAATCAATCCAGAAGAATGATTGATTGTTTAACCACTTTGGGATGACCCATAGCTCAGTGATCCATGCCTTGCACAGACAGATCACAGGTTCAGCATCTCCAGGAAGAGCTAGGAAAGAAACCTTGGAGAGCGACTGTTAGCCCATGCAAGCAATTCCAAGCTAGATTGACGAATGGTCTGATTCAGCACAAGGCATGACAACCAGAGATTCAATCTCTTCATTCAGGGGAGCTCACAGGTTGGGTATTGCCATTCTGTATTGCTTGTAAGCTTATAAACTTCTCATCTGGAGTCTGTCATTGCACAAGGCAAAATGCTGACCAAGGTGAACCAGCATGAAGTAGTCTGAGTCAGCATGGTGATCCTTCTGTAACAATCCAGAAGTGCTCCCATTTCTCCCTAAGTTTATGCATCTTATGCTGGAGTTAGAGTGTCCTGATTTGACCTTCTTTGCACTGTTTGAGCTGAGCGGCTGTGTTGGTAAAGCCTATCGCTGCAAAGAGGGCCAGGAGTGTCAGCAGAATTCTGTGTGGTTCTGCTGGGCCCCCGAAGAGGTTGCACGAAATACCCTCTATGGTGGGATCTTGGTCAGTTATGTTTGGTTCACCATTTCTGTTTGGAGGGATTCCTAGGAATGAATGGTTTGGTAGATATGAGGAGCACAATTGATTGAAAGTGGAGATTCAAGGTGTGGAAATTTTGGGCAGGAGGCAGTGAGAGGAGGCATTGTTTGTGAAGCTGGTAGCCTTATATTAGTTGCCATCTGATAGTTAGCCTCTAACCCACACAATGGCAAACTAAAGGCAAGGGGCTGTGTACAGCCCCCAGCCCCATTTTATGTGCTCCCCACTCCATGTCTTCTGAAACTGTTACTCTTCCACTCCATCACAGATGCAATCTTCCTATTCATTTCCTTCTTATCTTTCCTGGATTGTTAAAGGGTCAGTACAGTGGTACCTCAGGTTAAGTACTTAATTCGTTCTGGAGGTCTGTTCTTAACCTGAAACTGTTCTTAACCTGAAGCACCACTTTAGCTAATGGGGCCTCCTGCTGCTGCCGTGCTGCTGGAGCACGATTTCTGTTCTCATCCTGAAGCAAAGTTCTTAACCCGAGGTATTATTTCTGGGTTAGTGGAGTGTGTAACCTGAAGCGTATGTAACCCGAGGTATCACTGTATTTTATTTGATAAGCTACTTGCTTTCTCCCCTTGATGCATACCTTGGAGGAAAGAAGGTTTCTCCTACCCCTTCCAGATGTCAAAGAACAAATTTGTAGTCTTCTGTTCTATGTATCAAACCTTGTGGGGTTTACTTCTGCATAAACCTGCACAGGATTGAGCATTTTATTTTGAGGTAGCCATTGTGAAAATTGAAAAGGGTGTTTTCTTGATTCTAGAGTAACACCTTTGTCTCTGGCTCATGAGGGCTCCAACTGATGACCCCTCCACCAAGGGAATGCAGCCCTTGCCCGCAACCTGCTTTAGCCCTTCTACCCATAAGTATTTTGTGTGTGTGCGTGCACTGCACACAAACACACCTTCCTGGTCTTTCCCACTTAACCTAAATTGAGCAGGAGTTTTGCTTTTTCTGTGTTGTTCTGTGCTGCACCTAGAGCAAAACTTTTACTACACACACCCACAAAGTGGGGAAGCGTAGTCCTGCTCAGGGTAGTGGGCAGTGTAGTGTGTTTGCATGTGAATGTCACGCTGTGTACTGGTAGATTTTATCCATGGATGGGGAAGGGAGAGAGGGGATGTTGAACCTCACAACTTCAGACAGGAGGAAACAAGGACTGCCTTGTAGAACAGAGGAAAACTGCATCTGGTCCAGCATCCTGCTTTCAACACTGGTTAACCGGATGTCTGTGGGAAGCTCTCAAGCAGGGCAGGAACAAGGCAACAGCATTTCCTTGTTACCTGTCCCTCGCCCTCCCCCCCACTTCCTCACTGGGGGTATGCTGCCTTTGAACGTGGAGGTTCTCTTTAGGTACCGTGGGAAACCCCTGTCGAGAGACGCCTCCCTCTGCAAGGGGCTTTCCTCGTGGTGCTCTTGGGATGCAGCCGGGAAGCACCGGGGCAGTGCCAGCGGCAGTGCCAATGCCCACTAGACGGGACCCACGTCCCGATGCCGAGCCTTGGCTTTGCACCGCGGCGCCCTTTCGCCCGTCCCTGCCTCGATCCTTCCCACGAGGCCACCTCGCCATCTTCCAAGATGGGCAAAAACCTCTCGCCTACCTCCAAGCCCTCCATGGCAACCGTGGATTGATGGGCGCTGTCGAGGGTGGCTCTGGGAGGGGTAAGCTCCCCACCCCGCCAGGTTTAGAGGGGAGGCAGCCCTTCTGCGGGGTGGGGGGGCCACCCCCTCTCATTTCTCTCCCCCCCAGCTCCTCCCTCCAACCCCTCCCACCCTCCGGCCCCTCCTTCCTCCTGGCCCCCCCCCCCGCCTCCCCGCCTGCGCTGTCATTGTCTCGGGCGGGCGGCGGGCGAGGCTCCGGGCTGGCTGGCAGCTCTGCCAGCGCAGGCGAGGCAACGAGCGGAGAGAGGCCGGCGCCCGCTTCCCGCGGAGGGATGCTCCTTCTGCCCCGGCCGCCCGTGCGCTCCGAGCCCGGCCCCGCCGCATCGCGCTGACCGCCGGGGGGTGGGGTGGGGTGGAGGGCGCCCAGGGGGCGACGGAGGGGCGGACATGAAGAAGATCTGGGTGAAGAAGCGTCTGCAGGTAACGGGTCCGGGCGTGGGACGGGGGGAGGGGAGGGACGGGGTGCCCAGGCGGGGTGCCCAGCAGGCATCATCAGGGCGTTGTGGGCGCCGGAGGGGAAACTGAGGACGCGCACCCCTCGCGGAGCCCCACCCGGCTTTCCCGGAGTAGGATTCCCTTCCGTTGGTCTCGGGATGTGTGCCACCTTGTTGCCGGGGTGGGGTTGGCCACGCCAGGGTGGTGGTTGTAGATCGGTGGTCCTCTGCGCTCACCTTCCAAGCCCCTCGGCTCGAGGTGATGATGAGCAAGGTGCTGTGTGGGGCTTTAAAGAAATGCCCGGGATGGGATGGGGGGCGATTAGAAGAGCCGTGCCTCTTCTTCCCCTAAGATGCCCGAGGCGATGGATCCTGGGGGGTCGTGGCTCTTTTTACTCTACATCCCCAAGCCCGGTGGCCACGGAGGCTGAGCGCCTCTGCGTCATGATCCGGCACTGCGCGTCAGCACCTGGCAGGAGCGCAGCTCCTCGTGGCCTGGACGTCACTCGGGGGCCTCCAAGCAGGGATGATGGAAAGGGGGGGGGGGAGGCTCCCCGGTTCAACTAATAGGGAGACGGGAATCATTCACAGCAGGCATAGCTAGGGCATGTCATCACCCCACCACTGCCTGCTCCAGTAATAACGTATCCCACCACTTTTCCACCCCATTCCAACCTACGCCCCAGCGCTGATCTTCCAGCCAGGATGCCCCACCAGCTTTCCTCTCTGCAGGGGAGAGACTGGGAAGCAAGGGCACCAGATGAAATATGGAAGGGGGGTGGGGCGGGGGGTTGTCATCCTTCGTGCTTGGTAGCTGTCTAGAAGCATTTGTCTGGGCATCCTTGGAAACAGGATGCTTCATCTTTGATCAGATGTCTCAAGGCTCTCCTCCTCTGTTTCTACAGAGGCCTGCGGCCTTGGCAGCCTGAGGGGAGATGAGCTTTCTAGACCTGAGGACAGGGATGCCAGTCTCTCACCTCTGCAGAGCAGAGAGCTGTTGCATCCCAAACCAGGCAGGCAGGAAACAGATTGACACACCTGGTGGAGTGGGGAGCATACAGCCATCCAAAACATCTCTTCCTCTCCTATATGCAGTTAAGAATGGAGAGCGGCAGAGAAAGAAGGACCCTGGCTGGTAAAGAAGGCTGGAGTCCGGTTTGGCCATACAACCTAGTCAAGGCTATTGTATCCCCATTCATTGCCAAGGCAACAAATCCCCATTGCTAAGAAGGGATTTGCCTCCTGGCAGCCTCCAGCTGCAACACCTTTCTTGCTTGGTACTTACCTCTTTGTCCAAATGCCATTTTCCCTTTTTCCTACCATCCTAGTGCAACTCATATTGAGCAGGATGTCCAGCAAGGTGGCCACCTTAAATTTTGGGCTGCTTGTGCTATTGGCCACGGAGCAGGGATGCACTTTGCCTGCCCAGATGCCTCTTTGCCCAATGTGCCACAGTAGGAAGCTGCTGGGTATGTGATCCTGGAGCCAGGGCTTGCCCATTGCCATGTGCCGGACAGGGGGGATGCCAGCCAGGTATCCATTACTGCCGTTTTATTGCATTTCCGTTTTCTTAATGGGGGAATTATCCACCAACAGCATAGCTAATCTATTCATACATCTTTCTGGCCTGGCACATGGGCTGCCCGCCAGCGCCAGTCTTGTTTGGGCAAGCTGGCTTGGCTGGAATACAAATCCACCTGGATCAGTTGCTGTTGGGAGCATTTGTTTCTTCTGGCTGGAGTTTATGCCTCTGATACCTCCCACCTCAATGATGTCCAGTACAAAAGAGAAAAGGCCAAACTGGGTGGGGTGGGTGTGTACATCACCCTCTCTCTTGTGCCAGCACCCTGCATCACCACATCTCTTACTTATCACAGAATGATCCTGTCACCTCCATTTATTGCTGCACAAGGTGTTTCACCTCACCATTAGCACTGTGGAAATCTAGCTGGAAGAGCAAATTTTCTGGGAGATGGGACAGCAGGAAATCTGGGAGCGAGGAGTGGGCGACTTTGTGCATCAGATGCTGTGTGTGTGTGCGTGCACGCGCACACACACGCACGTATCAGTTTACACACATACACAAGTGCATCTGTTTCACTGGTCCTGAATTCAGAGAGCTGTCCTTCCCTGATGGATGGCATGATTGGCCTGTTCTTGGGCAACCTGTCACCTAGGAAGCCAGTTGTAGCTGGATGCATGTGCCAGGAATGATTTCCCACGTGGATCCCGTAAGTCTTGATAGCTGCTCGGAACCACATAGAAGAGCATAATGGAGAAGAGAGAGTGAGCAGAGGGGAATTGCCAGTGGCAGCACTTCAGCCTGTTACTGTTAGGTTGGTGTGCCTGCGCATTTGGGGCAACTGGACTGGATCCTCATCTGTGATGAAATGCGCAAGATGTGCCTCTTCTGAGGGGACTCACCAAATGTTGCAGACTCCCAGCTGCTCAGGGCTCACCAGAGGGCAGCAAGATGAGAATTTAAACAGTGGAACGCTTATCATTGGGTGGAGGGCAATCTCTCTGAGGATTTCCTCCCAGGAAAGGGGCAGAAAGTCAGCCTCTTCTTTCTTCTGATCTGCCTGGATCACCACAAGCACTCAGGCTCCTGTCCTCCTGACTTTTCCCGACTTTTGGTGGAGCCGGCAGCACATGACCTTCGGTCGCACCCACGCCATATGTTTAATGTACATTGCTTCCTCCAGAGACTCCTGAAATCTGCAGTCTACCTCTCAGAGTGCTACAGTTCCCAGTACCCTGATCAAACTACAGTTCCCAGGAGCCATGCACACTAATTGTATGGTGTGGATGTGACCATTGTGCTTGGCTCTGGTGGATCCCATGCCTTGCAAGGCTTGGTGTAGATGGTACGGTAGGGGCTTTTTCCCTGGTGGCAAGTTCAGGAGTAGGTGGAAGGCCTTTCCCCTGGCCTCCTGCTGGGGTTCTGGTCTTTGTGGTGACTGATGGCTATATCCCGTGAGCACAGCCCTGTTACCATATTTCCACTATCTCCCTCTCTCCATCTCAATCGGAGGTAATGCTTTTTCCTTTTCTTTTTCCTTTGCAGAAAGGTGGCCACTCGCGGCGTTTTGGGCGCTTCACGCATGGTGCGTTGTATTACTTCTGCCCCTTCCTGCCAGAGGCTTTCCTGATATGTTGGGGGCTGGGGGGGGGGAGGGAAGAGAACAGGCAAATAGAAAAAGACTCTAGCTGGGGTTGAGGGGTGTATGACTAGCCTATCCCAGGTGTGGGGAACCTTTGGCCCTACAGATGTGTTGAACTACAGCTCCCGTTATCAATGGCCTAGGGCTGATGGGAGTTGTAGTTCAGCTGCATCTGGCGGGCCAAAGATTCCCTACGCCTGTCCATAGCAACCTCCTCCTGCACCCACTTTGGGAGGTAGATTGCGGGGGTGCGATGAGCTTAGCTGATAGAAGTTAGAGCTCAGTTTGTAGACCTTGGGAGCCGTACATATTCTACAAAGGTAAAGGCTTCTGTTCCGTTAACAAGCGATACTTTATATGTATAGTTTCTCCTACAAGGTTGCAATGATGGGAGAAACTACACCTTCGCAAAGTTGACCTGTCTCAGATCTCTACAAGGGATAGAAGCCCTGCCCTTTTCAGAATAAGGAGGCAACATTGCCAAAAGGGGGGATCCAAAGGGAAGCTGTGCACTGTGATATGGTGGCATGTTGTGTGTGTTTTATATAAGGAAGGACCAAAAGACAGATATTTCAGACAGATCGAATTGCTTTGTGCAGAATCACATTTATGACATTTATGACATTTGGATTACCCTGTCTCAGCTGAATCCTATCTCTTGCTCACACACGCAGCCCCTTGGCTCCTCCCTTTATGTTTGAGCAAACAAGCTCTCTACTTAAAGCATTGTTTCCTATTTCGTCCAAACCAGGAAAAAATGGTTACCAGCTTTGGAACAAGTCAGGATATTAAACCATAGTTTGAAATTGGTTTAATCGCCTGCATTGTTCTGAAGCTGGAAACTAGATGCCACTCATTGGTAATATATTTAGGACAGGCAAGATGATGTCCATATAGAATTCCCTAGGATGGTACATAGTGCTGGTCTGTAGCTTAGGTGGCTTTAAGATGCATTCAATAAATTCAGAGAGGGTAGGCCTATCTGTTGCTATTAACTGTAATAACTAAATATAAAACGTGCTTGTTCAGAGGCAGTGTAGCTTTTATTACCAGATGCTAGGGACAAAATACAGAGGTTGGCCCTCAGGTTAATGTCCTGATTGTGAGTTTGCTGGGGGTGGGTGTTGGAAGGGGGGGGATTTGTAGTTAGCTACCATTTGGAAACCGTAAATGCTGGAGTAGGTGGATCTTGATCATGCAAGTTAAGCTCTATATAGTCACATAATAGGGGGCTTTTGTTGCCACCCAGCAAGGTTTCCTTTCATCAGCTGGCACTTCAGCTGCTGTGACTTATAGGTGGAGGCTGCAGCTTGGGGGAAAGGGAATGAGAGGGTCGTGGCTTGGGGGAGTGGAGAAGATACTACTGGTGCTGGGCGTTTTGAACCCGGGTCTTGAAACATGTGGGGATTATTAGAGAAATGGCTGTTGCAACCCCACCCACCCCAGCCCAAGTTTTTAACTTAGTTTCCTGCTAGATTTCACTCCCCAGGCAGGTCCTTCTGAGTTTCAATGGCAGAGCGGCACCTTCTACCATTTAGGTTATGTCCATATGCCTTGCCTTCTTATCCACTTTCCCTGCACATGTATTCTCCCAAATTTCAATGGGTTTCATGGGCCAGAAGCTATAAATCTCCCCTTCCATCACATGTTGGAATATTTGAGGGCCTGGGCTGATTTGGGCGGTAACGCTTTGTTGACGTGTGTCTCTCTTTCTTGCTGCCCCTATGGAAGCGAAGTTTTCCGCTCCTGCAGAAAGCAAAGTTACGGTAGGAAATTGTGCTGCCTCATGCTTTTCTCTTCCCGAGCTGCGTTTCATCCCACACCCCCTCCCAGCCTACCCTCCTGGCTCTCTCCATGCCCTGTCTTCATCCTGCTGTTGCTGCTCTCTTCCTTTGCGGGGCTCATCCTATTCTAGCAGAATTTGGTGGGCATCCTTTTGCTTCGCTGTATGACTGGCCTGAGCATCTTCCCTTCCCACGCTGCCGCCAGCCCTTCCCTGCACTACTAGTACATGGCGGAAGGTTCTCTCTGTCTCTCCCTGCGAATCTTGCTATTATGCGCTGACTCGATTTCCCATGGCGATGGACATGCAACGCTGTACATGGATCCCCTCCTGCCCCCAACATTCTCTCTTTTTAACCGAAAACAGACTTTGAGGAGGTGCGGTTGTGGGAGCAGCTTGACACATTCCCTTCCAGCTATTATTCTGCTAAAATAAAAATAAAATAAATCTCACAGACGCACCAGCACTTCAAGTCCTCTCCCCAAAAGGAGCAGGGCTCTCAAAGGCCCAATTTTTTTGTTTGACTTCCATTCACCTGGCATGGCTGTGTTGTTGGCCTTTCTTCAACCTGCCAGTCGATTTGCTGCCACACTGATCTGTCAAGCGTCACTCACGACTCTCCCTGTGGTTTTCTTAGCTGTGGGGTAAAGGCTCCTACGGAGAGCTGCAGCTGCCAGAAACATGAACTTCTCTCTCTCTCTCTCTCTCTCCCTCTCTCCCTTTCCTTTCCTTTTTTTATGGAGGAGCCACCATGCCCAAGAGGGGCAGACTCCTGGGCTCTCAGTATTTAACTCCAAAGACTTAATAATTTATGTATATTTTTATCCAGTCCTTCTTTGGGGATGTGCAATCCAGGCTGTACTTGGGAGCAATCTGTCATGCTTCCGTGGAATCTCTCTGAGGTTGCTGTTGAACCAAGGGGGGCAGAATGATAACCTACATGTTAATATGTAGTGGCATGTAACTTTTTCAGATTTATATATATTTAAAAAGCAATTTCAGGAGGCTGTAATTGGGCGTAAAGGAATGGTGGCTTGGGAAGGCTTAAGGTATTCCCACCAGCGTGTTTTCCCACTCAGATTAGTTCCCATTAAACTACTCTTTCCACCTGCAGGGAAGAAGCTACAGCCCCCCTCCCATATCTTTCTCCCTGTGGAGAGGAAAGCAGCAGGGGGAGGGGAAAGGCAATTATAAGCAGAAAAATGGCTGCCGGGGAAAAGCACCTCCTTCCCACCCACAGGTCTTCTGATCCAGATTGCAGCCTGACTTTCATTTTTTAAAAGAGAGAATATGTCTATAATATGAGGTTTTGCCATGAAAGCCCATTTTCCCTTGCAAAGTGTGACTTCTGAGGCAGTAATTTGCATCTAAGGAGATGCAAGAAGAAAGGGAGGGGACCCCCCCCTTCCACTTACCTCTTCCAATGTTCAGGGCCCTTGTTTACCTAGCAGACAAAGTTCTGGAATTCCACAGAGGTAGAATTACAGAGATACAAATCACCTCCTCCCTTGGGCTCTTTTCAAGGGAGAAGGAATGGGCCTTCCAGGCTTCCTTACTTGCGGCTTTGGTATTTGTTTTCCTCTAGGCACTATGGCAGCCCTGAGTATCTAGATCCTGAGAGGGTGGCAAATTATTGAGAGTTGAAACCTGCACTGCAAGGATGCCACTGGTTTTGCAGGGCCCTGGATAATCTGCATATGTTCTTTCACATGGCTGAGTCTGCACAGTTTGCCATTTGATGCCTTTCCCTGAGACTCCAGGTCATTGCTGTTGGGCATATTGCAAATTAGGGGAGCCCTGAAAGAAAATGGAAACTCCACAAAGAGAATGCTTCTTAGAATCAGATTCATTTCATTGTATTTAGTGACCAGCCATCATGTCTTTCATTACATTCAGAGCATTCAAAATGATCCGTGATAAGCCTTAGCCCAAAATAAAACTATACTAATGTATAAAATGACCTAGAATGCCACAAATACAACCCTAAAACAAATATTGTTCAATGCTTTTCCAATGCTACAACAATAAAACTGTGAGCATAACAGAGCCCTACTCCAGGATTCTCTAAAGCTGGGCATTGACAGTGGTTTAAGAGCATCTCTGCTGGAGCAGCACATCTGAAACCATTTTGTATGTTTTTCCTCTGTGCCCCCCATACTTTAGTAAACACTTATGAAAAAAGAATCACCAAAAATATAGACAATTCTTTCCAATAATGACTAATTATTTTATGCAATTCAATTTTTATATTGTACCTTCTCTTCATAACGGAGTCAATTTTGTCACAATCCGGCCACCCCTTTACTGAGAGCTGAATTTTCAAGATCTTACTTGGGACTTCTGAGTCGCGCAGGATCTGTTTGTGACTCTGCCATACAGTTTTGATGGATGAGTACAAGCACCCAAGGCGAAGGTGTGGACTGACCTGTCGATCAAGGTCCTCCCCTCATCTTCTCTTTTCTCTTGCTTCAGACTCGGAGACGGGAGAAGATGATGCCAGCAGCACACAGGTGACCCAGCGCAGCCAGCTCCAGGATGAGACCACCTATAGCTCCCCGACAGGTGAGGAGAAGGTGGCAGGTGAATGGAGAGGTTTGGCAAACATTCTGAGCAGAATGGGCATGGAACTATATTTCAAACAATGATGTTGCTGCTGGTGCCCCAGCAATTCTGACCCCAAATCCCCTCACAATCCTGAGACTGTAGCCTTCCTGCTGCCTGGCCCTTTCTGAGGCAAGAGTGGTATGTCACATATACCATGCCAACACAAATAGCACCCCCCCCCATGATTTGTTCACCATGAATCCTATGAGCAGGGTCTTTTTCTGTCCCTGAGTGTCCAGCTTTTTTGGATCATTGGCCAAAGAGTTTAACTCTCTCTTCAGGGTTCCTTTTTGCAGGCAGCTACCATTGGAGCATGAGAATTACTGCTCCCCGGAGACATAGCCAACCTGACATCACCTTTTCCTGGAAGAAGGGCACATATTAACCGACGCAGAACATTAATTTAATAAAGAGGGCAACTTTATATCAGAGGAGGACTCATCAAAGCATAAAGGCCATTAGATTCCACAGAAATAAAACTGAAAAATCGCAGGCTTTAACTATAGCCTCCTCATGCTGGGTTCCTTCAGTACCCGGTCACTTCAGACAGTGCTCATGCACCTTCCACAGAATGACTAGGCAAATGGGGCAAGGGGAGATAGAGCCCTTGGTTGATCATGCATCCCACTTAGCAAATTGTGCTTAATGGGGGCTGTATTCTGAATTGAGCAACACTTGGAATCTTTAATGAGCAGGGTTTAAGTGTCGATGGGCATATATATATATATATATATATATATATATATATATATATCGTTCTGCATAACATTATACTGTATAAAAAAGCCAGTCACACTCCCGGGTGACAAAGAAACAGAACTCAGGATGGAGCTGTGCACATGTTTATGCAGATAGGAGCAAGCTGGATTCTCAGAAGTCAGCAGTGTGGGGCGTCAGGTTTATTTCCCTGAGAGCACCCACCTAAGCAGGTGAATAGTTTCCATTCATTCTTTTGAGTAAATGTATGAGATGATTAACCATGCGCTTCTCACTGTTAGCAACCTTCTTTGGCTTTCCAACCTCAGTTTTTCATTAGGCAACTTTTAGCCACCCGTTTGCCTTTCCACAATCTCCTTTAGTTTAAATCGTTCTTTCCTCTCGAAGAGTCTCTTTTAAAAAAATGCAGTCCTATTCTCTCACATTCTTTTTACTGAACAAAAAAACAGGTCCGAGTTTTCCATCACAAAAGAGGTTTCCCATTGTTTTGATCACCCCGGTGCCTCTTTTCTGGTGGTTCCAGGGACAACAACACAAGGCATAAGCTCCCATTTTCAGTTTGGGCAACTTTATCCCCAATGAACTTGTCTTCAGTGCCTGGCACAGAGCACTGCGGTTCTGGCCTTCCATCTCTGCTCTTCCTTCAGTAGGTAGTCTTGGGTAAGCTAGTCTCTAAAAAGTTGGGGGAACGATGATCTACCTTGCAAAGCAGGATAAACAAGCCAATAATTGCAATGCACTGTGCATGTTAAAAGAGCTACATGAATATTCATTTATATCATTGCAATAAGAAATTGTTCGTCTCTCCTTCCTTCACTGCAAATGCCTGACCTTGTGTGTTGCATAATTGTGTTTCCCTTCACTCTGGCCGCACCATCTTGGTGGCTGAGTTGAGTTATTAAGTGACCAACCTGGCCTTGTCTTCTTTTCCTTCTTCGACCCTCTTCTTTGTCCTTTCCAGCTGAGAGAAAAATGCTTATTCTTAGCCCTCAAGAACACGACCTGACGCTAACCCATGATATATGCAGTGGCACTGCACGCTCCAAGAAACTGATACTTTACAGCCTCCTAAATTAAACAATATCGATAGAATCTCGGGTTATCAGGCCCCGATCTGATGCAAGGGAGATGGGGGGCTTCCCAGCCCCCTCGATCAGTCCATGTCTGTCTTTCCTTGCAGGGGAGTCGGACACGCTGGTGGATGCCTCCATGAAGACCACGCCGACCTCAGTGCCAGGCCTGTCCCAGACAGATGAGCACTCCAACTGGTCAGGGAGCCAGACCACGGTGTTGGAGAAGGACCCAGAGGCTGGCCCCACGGTGAGGGGACCCTACCTGCACCCCAGCATTCCAAGGCAAGCACCTGCCGAGGCCCGGCACCTGGGGGTGGAGCCGCTGGTGCGGGCATCACGGGCGGAGCTGATTGGCGTGGCCCCGGGGTCCGAGGACAGCCTGTCTCTGGGGAGCGACCCCTACGGCAGTGCCTTCAGCCTGTACCGGGGCCGTGCCCTCTCCTTGCACGTGTAAGTAGCAGTGGGGCCGTGGAGTGGGGTGCAAGGGCCATTATGCTGGGACCATCTCTTCCCCCCTACTCTCCAGTCATAATCCCTCACTGAACCCTCAACCTCTTAAGTCATTGATTTTGAGGCACCACCGAAACTTTCCTGAGCCCCATCATCACAGTCCCGATCCCTGATGTCATGGCACCCTCCATCCACAGCCCCCACTGCACTCTCTATACCTTCTGAAGCCACCCACACTATCCTGCCATTGTCTCTCCTACTGCTTCCTCTGCTGCAGTATCTTCCCCCTCCCCATCACCTGCTGCCTTCGCTCTCCTAAAATGTTGCTATGAGGACAATGGGCTGCATAGGTAGGTATCCACTGCTGCCCCAGGCTTCCCACTCCCTAACCAGCATAGAGAGCAGAGTCTCCATAGCTTCTCCCCTCCCCGGGGTTTGCTGTCTTCCTTTGGCTTGCAGCTGACCCTGTTTCGCATAAAGCCAATGGCATCAGTAATAGGCCCTCCAACACCAAACTCTGAGAGATGCCCATTTAATTGGGGCATCAATTGTGGCACTTAAAAAAAAAACAACCCAAGCACAGTGGGCTGCACTCACTCTTCTGACGCATGGCAATATTATTTAAATTGTTACTAAAATAATGCCTATATCACCTTTCGTTTCAAAAGGAATACCAGTCCTGGTATGGGCTAGCGAAGAAATTGCCATGACCAAGCGAGTCATTTAAGCCCTCCGAATCCTGGATAACCCAAATCCAAATTTATAACTTATGGGTGCAATTGAGCTAATATTAAGCACTTCTGAGTTCCATTTACTTCAAGGGAAGATTAAGCACCTGCTTAAAATGAATCCTTTTGAGATTAGTGGGACATAAAAGTGCTCTACTGAGGCTTGATTGCGCTTTATGTAAATTAGCCAAACCGCGACAGGACCATTGGATGGGAAATTGCCGTTTCATCTGAATGTTTGATTTCACCCACACACAGAGGAGACCTACTTGGTGTAGGTAAAGGTGGAGACAGTCACAGGAGGTTGTGATTGTCATATAGACAGGGGCCTATACTATTCCCACCAAGGCCTAGATTAATGGGGAGAAATAGCAGGGTTTCGATGCCACCATCCGCGTTTGGGGATTTTAGTTTAGAAAAGTAAAGTAAAGGGAGCGCATCATTCAGGAATATATAATTATGCATGGTGTAGAGTAAGTGGATACAAAGATTTTTTTTTCTCTAGCTGGCTACTGTGGAGACAGAATGCTGGACTAGATAGGCCATTGGTCTGGCCCAGCTGGGGTCTTCATATGTTCTTATATTCACCTATTCCTGAGGTCAGTGCATCTGACTGTTAACCAGAAGATCGGGGGCTCAAGACCTCCCAGGGATGGCTGTGGGCAGGATTCCTGCATTGCAGGGGGTTGGACTAGATGACCCTCAGGATCCTTTCCAACTCTATGATTCTATGATCATTAAACAACTTCAGGCAGGCAAATCTGGAGAAACAATAGAATACAGAAGCACAATCAGAGGTAGGTAGTCATCCTCATCCATAAGGATGATGTGAAAGAGAGACTGGTTGCTGGTGATTAAGGGAATGGTAATTAAGAACCCAACAAATGATGTAATGATGGTGATGTGATTATCTCTTTGGTAGTGATGCTTTTGGCTACACTAATTCAACTTTTGTTAAATTCAACACATTTTAACCCCCCCTCCCCGCTAAGAACTCCTTTTATCCCAGAAATGTAGCGATGCAGGGAGGCAAACGGGGAGAGATGATAAGCCGTGTTGAGTGCCAAATCTCTTCCTCATACCATATATAGATCCATTTCAGTTTCTGAGCCATTAGCAGGCACTGCCCACACATTTTTATTATTCCCCCCTGTAATAATGGGAAACTGGATACCAGCGGTTTTTCTTAAAAGCGAAAGCTGAAACCCGTCATGCTGTGAAAATGGCAGCACACTCCATGTTAACTGCAGAGGCAGTGAGTGTAGTAAGGATCTTTGAGAGGGTGGGTGCAGAGCTACATTAGGTCACTTGAGACTCCCTCATCTCCTTCTTCTTTCCTCCTGAGTTTGCTTTCCCAACTTTATCCTCACGCTTATCATCCTCCGGCTATGGTACCTGACTAAGTATACACTTGCATAATTCTCACTGTGTGCGTGTGTGCATGCAGCTGGACACGCGTGCCCATTTGTTGCAAGGAACTAAGATGGCCTTGGAATGAATGTATGTGTGCCAAGTATGTATCTGTTCGTATGTACACCTGAGTTAGTGTTTGTACCTGTGGGAAACAGCATGTCTGTGTACAGGATGCAGCTTTCTATTCTCCTACCCTCTGCCTTCTGTTGCATTTCTGGCTGCCCCAGGGCCTCCCCTTGTCTTCCCCTGCTTCCTCAAGCCAGGCCAGCCTATACTCACCTACCACTGATGCACAGCCTGATGAACTCCCCCCAATCTCTTCCTTTGCCCTAGTGCAGCATCTGGCATGGCTCATTCAGCAGATAAGACCAAGAGTTGGATCTTGCCAGGAAGAGTGGGTATTTTCCCTGGACTCTTGGCGGAGAATCCCAGTTCACCCATCTGGCCAGTCTTGGAATCAAATATGATGCTGATTTATTTATATATATGCCACCCATCTGACTGGGTTGCCCCCAGCCACTCTGGGCAGCTTCCAACAAATTAAAACACAAGTAAGACATCAAACATTTAAAAAATTCCCACATTTTTATGAGGCAAGACCCATCGCAATGCAATCCAGACCACAGTATGCCACAGCACAGAGCAGGGGCACTGTAGAAAGGTCTAGGTGGGGCAAACAGCTTGAGGAGATTCAGATAGTAAGCCAAGCCACACACTGCTGGAGAAGGCAAAAACAAACACACACACCCTCCTCTGTACACATGCACACACATCTTCATCTAAGGACAGAAGTACACGACTGTTCCTCCTTCTCATTGCCTCACCTCTCTCTTCCATGGCTAATTTAAACCCCAGGTCTGCCATTAGGAGGGGTTGGCCATGTGCTTTTTTATCCAGGGGGGTACTCAAGGGTACGCAGTGCTGGCACCTCTTTTGTTGTGAGGCACTTACTGTAACAACTTCATGGTGAGTACCAGCACCAATTTTTTCTGGAAAAATAGCACTAGTTCTCCATATTTATTTATTTATTTCATAAAAACGTAGCAAGGCGGAGTAGGAGGATAAAATCAACAAAAGGATAAAATCAGCAAATATAAGGATAAAATCAACAAAAGTTCCGTAAAGCAGCATTCAAAACATCAATAAGACATCAGCATAGGCACCTGCTCCCTTGCCGCTCACCTTCTTTTGAGTTTTTCAGGCTGTCCTGCCTTAGCAAACTATGCCATGTCTTGCCTTCCAACTGCAGCAACCTCCCCCATGGTGGGTACCGGAGGGATGATGCCAACAGCAGCAGCAAAACCAGCAAAGATACCCTCCACCCACCAGCACAGAAGCCTCCTCTCCAGCGCCCAGTGTCCCCCAGAGCAGGGCAGTGCCCCGTCCAGCCGCCTGGGGCTGGCCGTGGCCCCACCCCACCTGTGGCTCCCCGCAGGAAGCTGCTGATGCCCCCCGAGTTCCAAGATACGGCATCCGAGGAACTGGACGAAAAGCTGAAGCGCCCCAAGTCATCTGGCTACTCTCAGGCTTGCACAGGAGAGTCCCGGCCCCAGACGCCGCTGAGTGAGGCCTCCAGCCGCGTCTCCGTCCTCCGCCCATCGCCCAAGCTGCCGCGGACGGGCTCCAAGATCTTTGACAAGCTGAAGTTCTTTGAGGAGCGGCGCAAAAGCCTGGAGCAGAACGAGAACCCTTTCGCGGGGCACACGTGGCTGCCGCTACGCAAGACGCGCTCTTTTGACCAGCCCGGCTTTGACGATGCCAGCCCCTTCCTCTCAGCCGTCTCCCACGAGGACCTGCAAGAGGACACCCGCTCCGAGCTGGGCGGCGTGGCGTTCCGGCGCCGGGCCTTCCACCAGAAGGCGGCCTCCTTGGATGAGCGCGGCCGCTTCTCCAGCCGCGTGCACGACATGGAGCACAAGTTCACGGAGGAGCTGGGCCGCATCAAGCGCACCGTGTCTCAGCAGCAGCTGCGGCGGTCGCAAGAGCTCTTCAGGTCACCGTCGCCACGTTCCTCCGCCGAGCCATCTGCTCCCAGGGTCCCGCCACCACGGAAACTCAAGCCCCTCAAGGCTTTGCCCCTGGCAGAGAATGCCCACGGCGTGCAGCAGCTGGTGTTGTCCAGCGTGGTCCTGGTGGGGCCCAGAGATGAGACCAAGGGAACGCAAAAGCCTCTGGCGAGGAGCGTGGCCACAGCTGAGCAGGTGGCAGAGCCCAGCAGGGGTCAGAAGGAAAGCGAGCTGAATGGGCAGGATCTGCGGAGGAAGGTGGAGCAGTGCCCGCTGACTCTGGCAGCCCCCTTGGGAAGGAGAGACCTCCTGCAGGCTGGGCATCCAGAGAGCAATGACTGCATGGATGGAGGGTCTGTGAACGCGGCGAAAGGGAGCTATGAGCCCAAGGGTCCAAGTGCAGCCTCGCATGCCCGGAAACGGGAATCTGGCCAGAACGGACATTCCCTGCCCTGGGCCAAGATGGAGCCAGGAGCAGATAGAAGCAGGGCAGGGACCCACGGTGCAAACAGAGAGTTGGAAAGGAAGACTGGGAAAGTGGCAGAGAAAAAGGACAACGCATTGCAGCCTCAGGAAGGGAAGAGCACTCGGAGCAGAGGCAAAGGGCGCCGGACGCGGCGAACGTCGCCTGAATCAGGTATGGAATCAGGGCAAGTGCTGCTGTCTCCTTGGGGAGGAAGCTGGCAAGCTACGCTGTGCTGTATGCCGTGGGGAGAACTCCACCCAACTTCCCACAGAAATGGAGAGGCCTGTAATGTCCTTTCCTCCACTGTAGGCAAGACCCTTAGGATTCAGGCCAGAGCATCATGCATGCCTGGGATTGTATGAGCTCCTCGAGAGGGTTGGTAAGTGCTCAGTCTTGGCTTGCCCTTATCTGTTCTGACTGCTTCTCACATTTCTGCCCATGTCATCAGCATCTGGGATGTAATCTCAGCCAGGCCTTGCCTGGAAGAGTCATTGGTGCATAAGCTTAGCATAGGGCAGGTGTGGGGATCCTTTAGACCTCCAGATGTTGCTGAACTACAACTCCCATCAGCCCCGGCAAGCATGGGGAAGATGGGAATTGTAGTACAGAAACATCTGGAGGACCAAAGGGTTTCCACACCTGGCATAGGGTGTGGGGAAGAGCAGGTTTTTGCAGGGAAAGCTCTGGAGCAAATACAAACAAATGGTTGGACATGGAGCTTTTAAGCTCAGATCTGTGCCTGGAAAAAGTGGGGCAAAAGCTAAGTGTGGATAAACCCCTCCTCACTATCCTTGGCCCTCTGTCATTTTTGTTCCTTTCCATAAAACAAAGGGACAGCCTCTGATCAATGGAAGTTGGAAAGAGGAGCATGAACTTGAGATCCAGTTTTTGAGGCGGCCGAGTGAGTGTGGCAACTTCATCAGGGCCTTCAAGTAGCTGGCAGATACAAGACACGGTGCAACATTTACAACAGTTAATTAGTTCACAGTTCATTGTGGTTATGTGTATGTTACAGAGAACTGTAGTCTCCTAATGGCTAACACAGGTTTTGTGACAGGATTTTCAGTGCTTCTGAGTCAAGAATGGAAATACGTGCTCTTTGGTGCAGGTTTTGTTCATTTGCTTAGCATTTAGGTACATTCCTCATGCATTCTTGCTACTGCCTTGTAAGGTAAGCAGGCTGGCCTTAGTATCCCCATTTTACAGACTGGAAGTGAGGTTGAGAAATGCACACATCTTGAATGCACAGAAGTAGTGTGTGTACCAAGGGGCTGCTGTACTGGGCCTACCAAATTACTGACAGAAAAATAAGTCCTCCAACTTCCTTCCCAGGTAGCCTGACTCAATAAGTGATCATAAATTTAGACACATTTATGACTAGTGTCAGCTTTGAATGCATTGAGCTGTAACAGTAGTTTTATGAGGGTTCTAAATTTCCCCCCTCTCTAAACAAGTGAAATGAAGCTCATCCTCTTTAGTTATTCTTAGAGACCTGTGAAGGTGGCTATCTGCGTCAAGGCAGAGTGAACTGTGCCACTCAGGAGACTCCTCTAATCCTTTGGACTCAGCTAGGTAGCAATAGATCAAGAATCCACACTGTGCTAGAGAGAGACTTGGGGAGATTAAGGATTTTGAGCAAACTGTAATCATCAGCACATAAAAGGGCTCTCACTCTCTCGGGGCATAACAGAACCAGTGCATGTGAAAAAGAGAGCTAAGATTTAAACACATTCCTTCCCAGAAGGCAGTGGAGAGTTTTATATCCATGCAAGTTGTGGACCTTTTCCCCTCCTCCACACCACCTCTTTTGCAGCTGCTCTTTCTCCCTCTCTCTGCACAGAATCTTCTGATGATTCCTACATCTCGGCGGGTGAGGACCCACTGGAACGCCCCATCTTTGAGATCCCTATCCAGGATGTAACAGTCGTAGCTGGAACAGAAGTGCTGTTCAAATGCATCATCACAGGCAACCCTTCCCCAGAAGGCAAGTGCATGGAGTACCAGGAAGAGTGTGGGATGAGTGATGATGAGCATGCATAGGCAAACCTGTGGGGTGCCCAGTGCAAGTCAGAGTGAGAGGGGCCAGGAGATGGATGGGGGCCATCTACTCTACCTTTGCTGTTGTCTCTTGGATCACACAGGTGTCTTCATTTCCACAGATCTCTAGGGAAAATTGGTTTTATTTGGTTTTGTGTATGTTGCCTAGCTCACATCAGTAAGGATTCTGCTTTGAGTATGGTTCAGAGCCATGTGGTCCTGGTAGCAACACTAGGAGGAAAAACACAAGGCTGGGGGAGAGAAATGGTTGCAATTCCAGCTGCCCAATAGTACCAATTAATGTGACTGGCAAGTAATGTTGCAATTAACTAAAATGGAGAAAAAAATGGCCTAACCAGGTTTTTTGCTTTTGTTGCAAGAAAAACAAAGGGCAATACTATTTTATTTTTAGCTGCAATCCTTTGATAGGCAGGCAACAATCCTGCTAGACTTTCCCTCCCTTCACCTACCAGGTGTTTGGGCTTCATCACCAGCTCTGCTTCCATGCAAATAATTCAACCCTTACCCCCGCACCAGAATGTGCTATTTCAAAAGTTGATAACTTTTACTATGATGCAGTTTTCCAGCAGTAACACCTGTGGTGCTGCCAAACTGTAGTCCTGTATTAGGGCTGGGAAATAACCCAGGGGAAATAACCACCATCCCAGGGCATTACCCTCAGCGGCCCTGCTGCATACCCTCTTCAAGTGTTTTTGCCTGGCTGAAATGTGTCCTTGAATTCTGATCATGCTTCTTATCTGGATGGAGGCCAGAGAGGGGAGTGTGAATGTGTGTAGAAACTAGCCTACTGTACAAAGTGGGGGAGATGCATTTGTTTGTCTGTGGCCCTGCCCACCACTGCCATGTGGCCTCCGGAAGGTTGCTCAGAAGGGAATGTGGCTCTCAGGTTGCAAAAGGTTCCTCACCCCTCCTCTCTGAAAAGGACACAGTTCCAGCAGTCAGTGGATAAAGTGGAAAGTGCCATGTATGGGGGGAGGTGCTGTATGTACAGAAGTGAGATGTCCCCACGTGCTCTGATCTCCTGCCCACTTGCCCCTTCCCCACAGTGTCATGGCGAAAGGATGGCGTCCCCTTTCGGAGCAGCACCACTCGCCCTATCAAAGCAGAGGGAGAACGCCACACCCTGCTGGTCAGGAGTGCCCGTGCGGCTGATGCCGGCCTCTACACAGTTTGTGCCACCAATGAAGTGGGCGAGGCCTGCTGCAGTGCCATCTTGACTGTGCGGCCAGGTAAGTGGCCGGGGAAAGCCAGCCAGATGGGCGGGGTACAAATAATAAATTATTATTATATTATTATAAGTGTGTGATGAATGCAGTGGAGGCAGCCCAGAGAGGACCAGCCGAATCCCTGAAGGCCAAGGGAGGGTTGTAGAGTCATATTCCTTCCCAGGCCAAGTTTGGGGAGAAGCAGTTTCATGCCTTGGGGCTTAGTTAGCATCCTAGGCTAGGTCTTTTTCTGTCAACCTTGTGGTGCCTCAGGCTGCTGCCGCTGCTCCTGCTGAAAGAGAGATGAGGCTGCCTTTACCCTACAAGGCTTGGTTTAGGCCAGCCTGGCTGACAAACAGCCAGCAGCAGTCTTGAATGCGGGGAAGAAGGGAGAGACGGCCTGGACTGCTGGGCTCTCAGCACCAACCCCACGAGGTGGCGGCGGGGGAGGTCGAGCTGGCTGACGGACTGACTCCGATTCCTGATCCGTGTTCCGGACCACAAACTCCGCGGGGAAACCCGTGTCAGCGGCGCCTGCGGTTTGCAAGCCTTCCTGGGCAAGTGCAAATGAATTATCCGAAAGGATGCAAATGAGGTCGCCCGTCTGTTGATCTGAAATGTGAGCCCTGGAGGGGCTGGGGTCGGCGTCTGTCTGGAGCCCCGATGCCTTCCTCGGCTGTGGCTCGAAGGGAAGGCGGTTCCGAAGAGGCTCCTGGATTCTGCCCGGCCTCTGGCGCCTCCGTTGAGGATCCGTTTGCCCACTCGTCTCCTCCGTGTCGGACGCTGTGTTTGATAAGAATCGGGGATTGAGAGAGAGAGATCATCCTCGGGAAATGGCTGTAGAATCCTCTTTGCCGCGCCGATTGCAGGCTCGGGAGGGGCGCGCCGTTTGTTCCCTGCGTTCTTGCGCTGCAATCCTATGCATGTTTACTCGGAAGTAAGTCCCGCTGCGTTCAATGGAACTTAAACCCAGGTAAGTGTGCATAGGATTGCAGCTTTAGTGGGTTTGGAATTGGGAACTCGGCAGGGAGAGGGAACGCAACTTTTCATCTCCTAGGTGGGCGTTTTGAGGGGAACAGAGATGGGTGAAGCGGAGAAGGGAGAGTGTCTCTTGCTCCCATTAACCCTTTGTTTGTACAAGTGAATGGTGTGAAGGGATGAGGACCCTCCAACATCACCACATCTGCCCTATAGGTAGGAAGAAATGGGATTTTGCTTTGGGTGCCCCTCTGGGGGCTGAGAATTTATTGGGCTATAACCTCCCAAAGCAATGGGGCTGCAGAAGGGGAAGCCAGCCTCAAATGCTCTCTGGGCCTCTTACCTCCTTGTCCAGAAACTTGGAGGTGAGAGAGACTCTTATGCTAAGGTGTTTTACCTTGTCTTTGGGGATAGGGGAAAGCAAGGAACTACAAGGCAGGCCATTCCCATCAACACAGGATAATCTTTCCCTGCCTGCAGCAGAGCATGATGGAGGGCTTTGAAAGACTCACCCTTTTGTCTGGATCGGACACACCTCTGCTTCTTCCTCCTATTTTGTGCAAAGGACTAAGAAACCTATCCTGTCTCTTTAGATTTTCTTGTAAACATCCCACCCATCCCTACTCAGCTTGAAGGGCAGCATTGCCATAGAAATTGCCACAAGACTATTTCCACTAACTGGCCCCACAACAAGGCCTGCTCTTCTCACAATGCATACACTGCAAGTTGTAGTCGTCCCAGCTACTAATGTCACCTTGGCCCCTTTCAGGGAGAGCAAGCCAGGAACGATGCTGCCAACAAGAAAAAGAGTAGTGGCGCCCATGATTGGAGTTGCCTGATTCATGACTGTTTAAAGTCTTTCTTTTTACCAGTTGGAGATGACATAGATATATATCAGCAGTGGGCTTCCCTGTATGCCCATGGGACTTGGCAGGGTTACAGGCAGTGTTGGATTTGATATCTTCTAAAGCAGCACTGGGAAAATGACTTGTTGTTTCTGTTTCTTCACTCTGCCTCTTTCTGGGTAAGAGGATTGGATATAGACTAGAGCCTAACTGCAAGAAGCGTTTCATAACCCAGATGATCAAATTATTTACATTTATTTATTATAAACAATGCACTATGCAAATTACACACTAATAGAGATGTTGTTTGTGCAGATTCATATTTGCATATTTGAGGTGCCAAACTTTTCACCTCATGACTTTGCCACAACAGATTTGCACAAAGAGCTGTTTCTCTGAAACGGCCCCATTATACACACATGCATGAAAAGTAGTCAAAGAATTGTAGGTCATTACTACGTTTATTTATTTGTTAATACACTTTAATCTCACCCCTCCTCCAAGGATTTCAGGAAAGCATAATGGTGTCCCCTCACCCCCAATTTTATTTTATTTTATTTTGTCCTCAAAATGACCCTTTGGGGTAGGTAAGACTTGAGAGATAATGACTTGCCCAAGGTGAGCTTCATGGCTGCTGAATATCTGAAAACTAACATTCTTTCTTGAACTGATAGTTGTCATATGGGGGTGAGTTTGGATACAAGCCTCTCCATAGAAAACTGAATTAATAAAATCCTTGCAGAAGGATATTACCATCTCAGTTATGAAGACAAACATAATTCAGAAATGTCACATGGTACAGTCCTACCTCCTCAGAATGCGGGAGGAGGGAAGTTCACATGTTTGTCATTAAAAGAAAAAACAAAACAGCCTCCATGTCTGTGGAAAGCATGTCAGGAAGAAGGACGGTTCTGACTTAGTCTCTCTTACTTTTCTACTTACAGAGATAGTTAATTTAATTAAACGGGTAGCATTCAAACATGTGATCCTTCAACTGCATTTTGAATGATACAGGCCTAGGAGGACTGTATACCATGTGATGTTTCTGATTGTGTGGTTCTGTTCTAAATCAGCCTCTAGGCTCCATTCCACAGAAGCAGCAAAGGTCTATTTGAGATAACAATGTTCATGCTAGGCTAAGTGCAGTGTCCTAATTGCAAAATAGGGCATAGTGGAACAGTTAAGAGGAAGGATGGAAAGAAATAATGGGGTGTTAGTTGGCTTAGGTAGGGGCAGGAAACTGGAAACTTGCATACATAAGAAGGAACAGGGGAAAGCAAAGAATGAAAACGCTCTAACCATTGCACACCCTTAGGGCCAGTGTTTTCGTTTCAGGGCCAGGGCCACTGTTACATTATATGCTTGCCACTTCCCCAAGTTTCCATCTGGGGCTGCTCTAGTAACGTTTGAATGATGAAAATCACGTAGAAAGAGTTGACAATGTGTTACATCCCACATCAGCAGAGTGGGATGGAGCCTGCTAGGAAGCTGGTAGCCATAATGCCCCAGTAAGAGTATCTAAAGATAGCATAAGCAACCAAACATTTCCTGCTGCAATGCATTTCTATTACTATTTTGAAGGAACCAATGTATTCCAATGGTCAATTTGTGTATGTGCCCCCTCTTCATGGGCTATTTTTTTAAAAGCAAAAGCAAATGGAAACCTCATCCCTTAGAATACACTGTAGGTGCACTGGGCTATCATGTAGAAAGCTAGATTATATCATTTACTCTGTGCTTGTGGCTAAACCGTCAACTAAAATCCCTGTGTATGAGCCCTGGCTGCTAGGTGGGCAGCTATGTCCTGGTCCTGCTTTCCCCCTTGAGCTGGAGAGCTTTGCTGCTTCAATGTGCTGTTCACAAGCCATGCCCTAACCCTCTTCTGCCTGTCTAGCTCCCGCAGAGTCCCACAGCCGATTGGTACCCCATCACGAGCTCAGCAGCCCTGTCACATCAGATGAAGAGTACCTGAGCCCCTTGGAAGAGTTCCCTGAGTCTGGCACCCCACGGCATCACCCTGTCATGAAAGTGCAACCCCGATCTGAGATTGGCCCACCCCCAGTGCATGTCGGCATCAACTTCAAGGCTGCCCCTTCCTTTGAGGTGAGCAGGTGGTGAGACTAGCGCAGGAGGGCATGACAGTGGAACCTATGGCTTTTGCATACTTGAATGAGGATTCAGGTTATAAGTCGGCACTTCCTTGGATTGGGGTTGGGGGCCCTGGGCTTTTGACATGCTCAGACCTTTGAGGCAAAAGTAAATTTCAGCTTTTACTCCGTTGAAGGTATTGCACCTAGCAGAGCTTGCCCTGCACTCTGCTTATCCCTGCCCCCTGCCTTAAAGAGAACTTGCTTCCCATCTCCCTTTGCAGTTGGCATGATCCTGACACCCTCTCTTGCAGGTGACACTGAGTGACCAGGAAGTACTGGAGGGGCAGGATGTGGTCCTGCGCATTCGGGTACAGGGAGAGCCAAAGCCCATTGTGCACTGGTGAGTGGGTTTTATGATACAGCATAACTTCACAAGTAGCCATGTTGTCCTGCGATGAGATGGGTGGCGAAGCTTTCCCAGTTTTGCAAAATAAGAATCTCTCTCAGGCAACCAGTAGGGGAACTTGTGTCCATCAAGAAGAGTGTTGGGTTTATTTCATTTTTCCTGTCTGGCCGTCAGTACTCCACAACTGACTAACAACAGTGTGATATGTAGACTGGCAAAATATTAAACAGACAAGGCTGGTCTTTGATTTCCAAAGGGCACAAGACCCATCCAACCTGAGAATGGTTTGTTTTGTATGTAAGTGGTGGGATGGCAAAAAGAAAGCAGGTCCTCGGCCTTCCAGAATGTATCAAGAATCAGACCTGAGACTGATAGGCCTGGATGTAATGGCAAAAAAAAAAGAAAAGGGATCTCTGATCTTATGGCTTGAACTGCCTTGACTATATTATACCAAAAGCTATGTTTGTAGTAGCAACAAGGTTGGGAGAAGGCCAGTGCAGAATTGACCGTCCAGATGAAGTATGTAGCTTCTTCCTGAGGCATGCTGCTGTGGAGGAGGGATGGTGAGATGAGATGACAGAAGAAGCATTTTGTGAAGTTGGATGGAGTTGCAAGCACTGCAGACTCTCAGACCCTCTCCTCTGTCCTCTAGGTTGAAGAACAGGCATCCAATAAAATATGGGCGACGCATTTCTGCTGTGGAGGAGGACGATGGATCTTTCTGCCTACATATCCGCATGGTGGAGTGCACTGATGCTGGCTATTATGCCTGCAAGGCCATCAATGAGTATGGCACCAAGCAGTGTGAGGCCAAGCTTGATGTACAAGGTACCTTTGGAAGCCACAGAGCATGAAGATTAATGCTTGCCTGCCATGGGCTGTCCCCAGAATATCCTGCTTGCATGCCTATTTCCTTGGTTTACTCACTCATGTAAGCATGCTTCTGACTCCCCCCCCCCCCAACATCCTGTGACCTATATCAATCCTCTGCCCACGAGTAGCCTGTGGCTCCATGGCTGCTTGTTTCTGGTTGTATTGTAACTCTGTCTCCTGCCCCTAGAATTCATGACAGCCCTTGACTGAATTTTGCCCTTTTTTCATCATGAGTCTAAGAAATTTAGAGCTCCAGTTTAGAACTTCAGCCTAACACCAGATTATCAAGAGGCACAAGCAATCAGGTTTCTGTGGACTACTATGGTAAATGGGGCAAGGAGAGGAGAGAGGTTCAGCTGAAAGCAAGAAGGTATCATGAGTTCCTGAACATAAATTAGGATATCTTTAACACTTTTTGAATGTTGAAAGCATTTCCGAAATCCTTACAGCAGACTTGTATGGTAGTTATATTATACCCATGTTGCCAAGGTGGGCTTGAGGTTAAGAAGATAGTGGCTTGCTGAGGGCCTCCAGATTAGTGTAGTAAGAGGCAGATTAGAACTGGGGACTTGGCTATTTATTTATTTTATTTAGCAAAACTTACATACAGCTTTATAGCAATAAAACCACAAAGCTGTTTGACAAATAGTAAAAAACATTAAAAGTATAAATAAAAGACAGTTAAACAGGTACTTAGAAAACATTCAAAACTAATTAAAATCAACAGTAAGCTAAACCATTATTCTATGCTACAAGCTTATATTGGTTTTTCTTTCATTTTAAGTGGCATGGACAGGGTGAGGTGTGCCGCCTCTGGTAGCAGCTATTAAGTAATGTTAAAAAGCAACAAATTAATTAATCAATAGATTTGGATTTCCTGCCTCAGGCACCAAAATGTTTTGGACTGTCACTATTCATGACTTTCATTAGAGAATCCTGGGAATTTTACTTGCCTCCTTAGAACTGGGGACCCCTGGAAGGAGGGAATGGGGCCAAGCTAGTTGAGATACTTCATTTTGGAATAGTGGATGCTTATGCTGGGATTGAGATCAGCCTTTAATGCTGGGATTAGGGGTGCTCCCAGTCTATTTTTGGGTGGGATTCAGTCACATACTGAGAAATTCATGTTGCACAATTATAGTTGGTTGGGAGGTCTCTACACACCCCAGATAGGACTCTTTCCAATAAGGAAAGTGATGGGAAAACACACTGGATAGTATAGGGTAACACTTACTTAAATGATGCAACATCATTTAACCTCCCACAAACAAATCAGGATGAATGTTCATTAAATAGCCAACATCCTCTAATCTTCCTGTAAACAAATGAGGGTGAATGCTAATTAGCACCAGTCATCTGAAAGCACCCTAGTAAGAGCAGCAACGGGAAGGGGATTCTTCTCCATTCCATTTATTTGTACACTCAAAATTTCACCCACCCATGGGTGGGAAAGCTGTGGGTGGGGACTGTGTGTGTGAATAAACAAAGAGGAAAGGGCTAAGTGGGCCACCCACTTCACTACTCTTCAGCTCTCAAATGCAACCATTAGAAAGTTCAAGTTCACGACTGTAGTGTGGGCATGCTCTGAGCCACTAGCCACTAGCGCAGTCCAACACAAGGCCATTTTTTTGCAATCCTCAGCAACATTTGACACCCTCTCACCCTTCCAGCCCTTGCACTGCCTTCCCAAAGGCTCTGGGGTTTGGGAAGGAGGTGTGAGGGCTCTGACAGGGTCAGAAAGTTAGCTCTTTCTCAGCTCTGAGAAGAAGCTGGAAGGGCCTTAGGACACTGCCCAAAGCATTGCACCTCCTTCCCAAAGCCCAGGCAGCATGAGGTTGCGGGGTGAGGTGTCAAATTTTGGCCTCTCGCTCTCCCCCACCCTGGCGCAACAAGGCAGCGTGTGGCCCACGGGTTCCGTATTGAAGTAGGTAGGAAAAGTTGGACCGTCCCTGCACTAGGCTAGGCTCGTTCTCCTGGGGAGCCCTCCATAGGTAGCTGCCTTCTCCTGAGCATGGCAAGTGCAACTGCCTTGAGACCCTTTGGATGCCTGTTCCAGATGGGAAGAAGAGCATTCAGCTGTTGCTTAGCAACCGAGCACCAACTGCCTGTGTTCTCCCAATCCTCCCCCGTCCCACCTTGAGCTGAAACAGTGGCAGCTGCTGTGGAATTTTGGAGAAAGGAACCATGAGCCTCTGCTCAGAAAGGAAAGAGATGAGAGAGATAGCCCACTGAGGGGGCCTGATGGCTGTGTATACCAATGTACTGCTCCCACATTCCCATAAAGACAACCATTGGGGCAATGAGCAGCAGCAAGTTTTACCGCCAGCTCTCAGTACACTCCTCCCTGACCCCTCAATCCTACTATCCTTTTTTTTCTTGGCTTGGTTCTGCCTTTCCCCCCACCCTGTGGTACCCAGAACTGGGTCCCAGTGGTGGTCTGCCACCTTCTTTCCAGTTCATTTCCAGCAGAAACTAGGGCCCATCTGCATTATACATTCAAAACACTTTAAACAGCCATGGCTTCCCTCAGAGTTTCCTTGGAACTGTAGTTTGTCAAGGTTGCTGCAAGGTATTTGGAAACTCTTACTCTCCTCAAGAGAGCTACGATTCCCAGAGTTTGCGGGAAGAGGACTCAATTGTTAAGCCACTCTGGGAACTGTTGCTTTGTGAGGGGAATAGAGGTAACAATTCTTAGCACCCTTAATAAATGACACTTCCCGGGATCTTGTTTAGGGAAGCTAAGGCTTAAGTGTTATGATACTGCTTTAAATGTATAGTGCAGATGGGGCATGCGCCAGGCATCGTCACTACCAGCAGGTGAAGGAGCAACCCAAGGCATTTTGCTGCCTGAGACAAAAGGCAGGATGTGCCTCCCCATTCCATGTACAGAATCTGACCACTTACAGTAAAATTACTTCTTCAGTACTGATGCCGGGGTATCCTCCTCCACTGTACCTGAGGGCTGCAGGTTGCTTTACAGGGCGCAGAGCAGGCTAGTTGATAGGACTCAGGCAAAATGGTTGTAGTGGGGCTGTTGCCACCCCAGCATTTCCTGCCTGACGTAGCTGCCTCGCTTTGCTTAATGGTAGGACTGGCACTGGAGCAACCAGCTCCTGTCCACATGGGCATCTCTTTACAGTGCCTGTGAGCCTAAATGGGATGCTATCCCCATGCTGGTTACATCTAGTAAAAGGAGAGGCTCACTAGCTGAGGGTATATCCAATATTGGCTCACCTCAGTCTGGCGGGACTTTTGGTTCTTTCCCCTACACCCATTTAAAAGGTGCCCTTTCCACTTTGATCAGCCTCTCTTGCTGCCTCGTGCTGAATGCAAATCCCTCTGATTGGCCCATTGCATCACCTTTTAGGGAAATAGAGGCAGGGCTGTTTTCAGGTCCTGAGTGAACAGGACTTGCAGGGTCAGTTCCTAGCATCACTGGATCTGCAGAATGTTCCCAGGTGGCATGTTTTACCTAGATAGGAAGAAGAGTCTGAGACTTCCTATAATGGGTTCTGCCTGGCTTCAGTGTTGGACTGGTTGGCTTGGGAAGAAGCGGACACTGTCAGGCAAATGGGAGTGTGTGTCTGTGTGTAAATGCACTGTGCTTGCTCTTTTGGTTTGCCAGACAGTGTCTACATCTGTGTATCTGCCAGGCAAACCCTTTGCTTTGACCAGGCATGTGTGAATTTGTCTGTGCTTTGCTTCTGTGTCCACCATGCTACACTAACCCTTTGCTTGCTGACTGTGTTTTTGTCTGTACAGGGGGAGTGAGCTAAGGTACTGCTTGGCCCCTGGGCCGCTCTAGCCAGACAACTTGGGCAGTTGCCTCTGCTCCCAGCGTTGACTGAACAAACCAGACTGGCAAGGCTTGGCTCCTGCCCCCACCCACTGGATGGCCAGCGCCGAGACTCACCTGGACCCACAGGGCCTGGCTGCAGCTGGAGGAGTGAGCCACTGTGGGTGGGAGAGTAGTTCTGGGCTGCCCTTAGCTGCGTGAGCTGAACCAATCTGTGGCATCTCCTTAGTGCGTGGGCAGGAAGCCTCTCTGTACAATCGAGTCTCCATGTGATCCACTCTAGGGCATATAATCTCAGTGGTGGGCCCTGTGCCTGTACCCAGGCGTTACACCTCTAGGTGCTGATGGTGTTTAATCCCCGTGCCGGCATCCATTTCTGTCTGGCCTGAACTGTGGCCAATGTGTGGTGCTCTCTGTTTCTTCCATGTGTCCATGTCTTCTTGCCCCTGTTTGCACACTCCTGTTTCCAGGGGCCTGGGGCAGAGCACTAACTTGTCTGCTCCCTGGCCAGCTTCTCTAGAGGCTTGTGCTGCTCACCCACGGACCACACACACTAAAATGAGGCAGCTTTGGAAGGAGGAGGCCCAATCTAGGCCTTGCTTTCCCTCAAATCCAAGAAGGTGTCTGTGGGCAGAAGACTACATGCTCAGCTTTACGCAAGGCAGCGTCCTTATCTGCACGAAGTCTGGACAGCACAAGCTCACTGGGAAGGGACCTTTGCCCCTGAGTTGTGTGGGATGGAGGAGGGCTCAGGGAAATAATGGTACCCCATTAGACTTGAGCCTGCTGGGCTATGGAGCATCTTTAATGAAGGAGGCCAGGGATGCAGTCTCTTACTACCATTGTGCCCACCCTGCTCTGGGAAGGTCTCACAGGGGCTGGGCTACAGTGAACCCCTTTTTTGTAGAAGAAATAAAGTCTGTTTCGTTTGGTAAAAGTGCTGTGTGGTTTGTTCCTAGCGCAGACCCCTGTCTCCCTCTTTCCCACGTCCCCTTCTTACCCCAATATCCTGCTCTTGTGTTCTCCACACCCCATCATTCTTTCATTCACATTTAATTTGCTTCTGAATATGGCTGCCTTCCTCTCTCCTGCTACTCATTCCTGGTTGCAGTGGTTAATGGGTTGCCAGCCTCAAGTAGTATTTTGTTGAAGTATTAAACACAGTACACACAGAAGTATTTGCTCGGATTTGTCTTAACTTGGTAGTTTGAAGTGTGCAAAATTTACAGGCCGTTGGTTCCCTGATGTGTGGAGGAAAGATGACACTGGGCTATGGGGGAAGCAACTTATTCCTTCTCCTTAGTTCTTAGTCTTGCATCCTGGTTTAGCACTAGAACTAGAGTTATTGCATCAGGTTTTTCCATTCTGCATTTATCGTGGCTTTGGGTGTTTGAGATGTAGGGGAGGAACAGGCAGTGCAAGATACATATGCTTCCTCCTCCTTTGCATCTTGAGCAGCTTAAAGTTATTTGTCAAGGTGATGGTATTAGTTACCCCCAGTGAGTTGTGCAGCTCTTGTAGAAAGTTAGCCATGCCTCAGAGCTACTCTGGGAGAGTGCAGAAGCCCTAGGGTTTTTTTGTTCATTATACTTATACAATTGAAGAAACTAATAGACATTGAACATAGCCAGAAGTGCAGTGAGTGAAGTTTCAGCATACTGAAGTCAGTCATTGCTAGTTTAATCTAGCTTAGCATTATTCTTATGAGAATATTGAACCAAAGGAATTGGAGTACTGCATGACACTTAACAGTAGGGATGGGGAAGGAATCGCACCCTTTACTCTTGTTGGCAATCAACAAGATGTTGGCCAGCTTGGCAATCTCACTTAGCCATGAATACTCACAACATGCTTCCCCCACCTTGTGCCCTGCATCTTTTCCTGTTTTTGTTCCATTGCTCAGAGACGCATCTTTCTTTCTCTCTCTTTTTTTCCGTTTCCTCCTCCCTTCCCCCTCCCCTCCTTTTCCCCAGTGCACCCTGAGACCCAGTCCTTGGCAGTGCTGGCCCCCCTGCAGGACGTGGTGGTGGGGGCTGGGGATGCAGCTCTCTTCGAGTGCCTGGTGTCTGGCCCACCTGATGTGGATGTGGACTGGCTATGGCGGGGGCGCCTGCTCCAGCCTGCTCTGCTCCAGTGCAAGATGCATTTCGATGGGCGCAAGTGCAAGCTACTGCTTACCTCTGTGCATGAGGATGATAGTGGTATCTACACGTGCAAGCTTAGCACAGCTAAAGGTAAGGAAGGAGGAAAGGCTGCACTGGGAGAAGTCAAGGTGGTCCAGGAGCAAGAAGGGGATGCTTGTAACTGGCTGCTCACTTTCAACCAACCATTGTAACAGTGCCTTTAATAGCAGTGTGATGAACATATATAAATAGGTGATGTTTATCTCCATCCCTTGAAACCCTTAACCTGCTTGTTCCTCCATATTCAGGTGCTCTTACAGGCACGAGAGCAGGTTGGGCTCAGTTTTTTTCTGGTCAGCTGGCAACCCTATTTGCAACAGGGTCATCACTGCACTGATATAATTGGGTGGGGGGATGGTGTCTCTGTGATGCTGAAGTTTTAAGATTCCATAATTATTTGACCATTCAAAATAGGCACACATGTTTAAGCAGGAAGCATGAATAGCCTGCTGCCATAGGCCCTGGGGGCTGGCATGCCTCATTAAACCAATGTAAGAACCTTCACATCACCCTATCTGCTTCCTTGCCACCTAGAAAACGCATTGAGACTGCAATCCTAGGCGCACATTACTTGGGAGCACTTGATGGACTTTCTTCTGAGTAGATTTGTTCAGCTGGATAGCTCAGTTGGTTAGAGTATGGTGCTGATAATACCAAGAATGTAGGTTTGATTCCTGAAAGAGACAACTGTATATTCATGCATTGCAGGGGATTGGACTAAATGACCCTGCGGGTCCCTTCCAACTCTATGAGTCTATGTACCCATTTGAGAGAAGGTCCTACACATTAAACTCAGTGAGACTTGTTTCTGAATAGATGTGTATAGTGGTGTATCCATCACAGATTTAGTAAATCAAATATATATATCAAGGCTGGGGAAGGGCAACTGGATTGGATAGGGGCAACTGCAGAACAAATTTAGTTTAGTTTACTTATGGACATCCTGAAGTGACTTAAAATACAATAACAAATTCAATAAAAACAGTACAAATATAAGAATACTAAAAGTGTTCATGCAAAGTGGGTCGTGGGAGTGGAGAAATTGCCTACCAACATGAAATATGTCCCCACTGCCATACGGGGTGAACAACAGCAGCTACCAGAGCCCAGCCTGCTGTCCAAATGGCCAAGGGTTATACAGCACAAGTTAGAGCCAATCCACACTTTTCTTTGTCCCATGATTTCTAGTCACAGGTCTGAGAGGTTTCTTTTTTGTCCTGCTGCTTTCCCTGGGAAAACCCGCTGTTTCCTGCTGAATCAGAACAAACGTCAAACTTCAGAAAACCAAATAAACAGCACAAAAAATATAATGGCATGTTGTGGGTAATTCCCTTGCCAGTCTTATTTCTATGCTACTAGTTCATTACAATTCTCCTGCAAGGACCAGGCACCTGGTTGTTTTTAGGGTGTGGGGTAGAGAAGAGCTTCCCTATTTCCTTTCGTGTGCAGAGCTATCTAGGGCTGAGTAGCCACCATACATTTAAAGCACATGTATTTCCCCCAAATAATTCTAGGAAATGTAGGTTAGCCCCATAGAGCTATAACTCCCAGCACCTTTAACAAATTACAGTTCCCTGGATTCTTGGTGGGAGAGTGAAGTCATTTGTTTTAAATGTGCTTTCACTGTAGAGTGTGTGCTCAAACATGGTGCACTTGAGTTGGCGTTAGATAAAAAGACATTCCAGACTAATGAGCTGAGATAAATTCCTGGGCAATTTATGGGTTGGGGGCAGGGGGTCAAAGGGGCAAGAGGTATAGTAAAGGATGCAACTATGTGGCCGCGCCAGTCCTCTCTGGGTTACAATCCTGGATTTGAGTCCCTAGCTAAGAGTTGCTTTCTGGACCTGTATTAAGGGACAAGAAGCTTCAGCAGAGAAGGAAAGAAATATATTAATATAGTAGGCCTTATACCTTAGGTATGTACCGAGCTTCTGAACTGGCAGGACAAATAATACAGCCAAGAATAACCTCCACAGACCTGCTTGCTTGCTTTTATGTGGCCAGGCTGAAAAGGTCATTTCGTGCGTGGAGAGGTTACATGCAGAGCAGCTAGCTTGCAAAAGTGGGCAAAGGGAAAGCCCCCACCCTATGCTCATATGAGCACACAGTTCACATTCAGAAAAGAAGGCTGTGTACAAACCATACTTAAAGCACCTTTCCTTCACCCAAAGAATCCTGAGAACTGTAGTTTGCTAAGGGTGCTGGGAATGGTAGCTCTGTGACGGTTCCTTGAATCCTTGGGATGTGCTTTGAATGTGCTTTAAAGACACGGTGTGTATGTAGCAGAAGACATCCAAGCACCATTTTTTTTCCCAGGGAAGGGGATAGCCATAACTCTTAAAGAGTTTGCACCAAGTCTTGAACCTGTTTGTCGCTCAGATGCTATGTCATTGTGCCCTCTAGCACCCAAGGCCATACACAGCTACTCCGCTATCAAACAGTTGCAATAAGGAACTCCACTGGTGCTTTTAGCTAGGCACCAGAGTTCTAGCCCCAGGTTGGGAGTTCCATGAGAGAAAGGAGCTGAGCAGCCCTATTTGACTTGCCTCAGACACACCCCAGACCCCTTTGGAATCTGTTCAATGGCTTGGATGAATTCCCCAAGTGGTGTGGGATTAGTTAGGGCCTGGAATGGCATTGCTTGTTACCCATTTCTTGCCACAATCACCTCTTTGTGGCAGGAGCGGTGGGGCTGGCTTTAAAAATGGCACCTTGTTTGAGTGCAAGCGGCTTAGCAAGGTGAGACAAGTTATATTGGCACCTGAGGGAAAAAATCCCCATAAGCAGTGGAGGCTGGTCCAATAGGGTGAATGGAGCACTGGGCTGCCAGCCTCAGTCTGTCCTCAGCCAATCCCAGGGGCAAAACTGTCTGTCGGCTTCCTCCTCCTTAGTCTTAACAGGGTTTCCCTTGCAGAACGAAGCAGGGAGGATGATGGGGGATTTGCTGACTCTGCCTGTTATTGGCTCTGGTTCCACTGATTGCTGGGCCTCCTTCCCGTCTGCCCCACCAATACCAATGGGAACCAGCCAACACTGCCCAGAAGTGCTTATCACTGGCAACAAAAAATACAATTTTACCTTTCAGGGTTGTACTTATCGCCAACAACCTGTTTGCAAATTAAACCCACTGGTAGTGCCCAGTGTCTTAGTAATGATGACACTACAGTGGCTGTCACTATTAGAGAGGCCTGCACAGTAGTAGTGGCAACCTGATTAGGGAGGCAAATGACTTTTATTTACATTCTCCTCTCTCCTAGTCTCAGACATGCTCAAGTACATCCTCTGACGGCCCTGTCAGATGACAGATTCAAAGCCAATGAACAGATGTTGGAGGGAGTTGCAGAGGAGGGGAGGGAAACTGGCAAACCTGACGCCTACCCATACAAAGGGGCTTAGATTCTGTTACCTTAGTGATTTGAACAGAGGCTGGCAGCTTTTGCAGGAATGTTCTAAGGAGGGTTGTTGCCACTTTCTCCTCTTACCCACACCCTAGCCTGTGCCTTTAACAGCAACCTGACATGCAGAAATTCAGCAGCTGAGGATTTTTGTGGTTTGGAGATAAATCTGTGTGTGTGTGTGTGTGTGTGTGTGTGAGAGAGAGAGAGAGAGAGAGAGAAGAGAGCACCTTTCCCTGTTTCATTTCTGTGCATCATAAAGAGTGGCATTCAGTGCAGAAGAGCAGAACCATTTAAAAAGTTGGATAATTCATTCATTCGCCTGCTTATTTGTATGCTGCTTTCCCACAAGATATTAGCCAAAGTGGCTCAAGGTGTTATCAAAAGATGAGCAAGAATTTTCACAAGGAAGAATAGCAAATAATTATATTGCATTAATAAGTAAATGAATCATAAAAATAACCTACCTCCAAGCATTAGGATCTAATGGTCACAAGGAGAATTGGAAGCCAAGGTCAGCTTTAAGACAGTGCCCAGAAAGAAGCAGGAGCAATTAGCTTATGAACTCTCCTCTTCCTTAATAACTCCAACCCTATGCCCAAAGAACGTCCTTCCTGCTCTTTTGCCCCCAACGTTTCCCTTGCTCACAACTTCTCACAACCGTCCCATGCCCAAGGGTATAGCCGTCCAGTCACACAACCTGCTGCCAGCTGCTTCCCCTACTGTGCCTCCCATCCATGGCACTGAGACTGCTTTCAGAAGGGAAGGGAAGATTTCTCCAGGGCCCTCCACTGTAGCTGACCCTTCGCTGTGCCTTGCAGATGAGCTGACATGCAGTGCCAAGCTGACGGTCTTGCCCTCGCAGCAGCCACTCTTCACCCGCAAGCTGGAGGCCGTGGCTGTGGTGGAGGGGCGGATGGCACGGTTCGACTGCAAGATCAGCGGCAAACCCACACCAGTTGTCACCTGGACACGCTTCGGTAATAGCCTCCATCTCCCAGTACAGGAGGCTCTGGGTAACAGGGAATTAAAAAATCAGCTTTTGGGGGGTTGGGAGGACAATAGAGTGTGGGATCGGTGCCCATCTATTCATGGTGGCCTTGATGTTGCAGAGAGATCAGGCCGCAGGGTCAAGCTGCTCCCCACTCCACGTTCCTTTTTGGAAACCATGACAACTGGGAGGAGGGGGCAGGGGCAGACCATCAATTAGCTTCTTGAATTGAAACCAGTACATTTGATGATGGTCAAATGTGTCCACCTAAGGACTGGGCACAGAGTCCCTACCTCTCAGTATCTATGGTGTTTGGCTGGGGTTGCACCCATGTACATGCCTCTGTAGCATTCTCTTCACTGTCTTGTTGGAGTGTCCACAGTTCTCAAGTGCACAGCAGGCCTTTCTGCATACTCTGTTTCCAGCTACGAACTCGGCCGCTGCTCTGGATGACAAAGTTGATCTACAAGTTTTTATTCAGGATCCTGAGCTGTGCTGGATGCCGCCCTCTTCTTCAGACTGGGAGCTGGTTGCTGGCAAAAGAGCTCTCCCACATTTGTAGCAAGACTAGCATGTGTAGGGCAGTGTGGCCTACCTACCCCATGTCATAAATTTCGGTATAGCTACTCTTCTGGGGTGGGGCTGGGCAAGGCCTCTTCCTCTTTATTTCTGTTCCCTATCGTGGCCCAAGGGATAGAGGGATGCCACTCCCTGTTCTAGGCCCTAAACCAGTGGAAGGCTTGGTTTCGTTCAGGATAAAGCATGCCTTGGTTCCTCTTGCTTTCGGACCAGGGCTCTCTGACTGAGATGTGTCTGATGCAGGCCAGCCTGTGCAAGAGGGGGAAACCATGCGCCTGCAGCGGGTCGGAGGGCTGTACTCACTGCTGCTCCTGCACGTGAGCTCCGAGGACGAGGGCCAGTATGGAGTCAGTGCCAGCAACAAACATGGCCGAGCCGAGTGCACTGCTGAGCTGTACGTGGAGGAGCCGAGACCAGCAACCAGCTCTCAGATGTGAGTATGAGGAGAAAGGAAGGGCTGAGGATGGGGCCTAGGATATCCCATTAAATCAGGGGCAGGGAACCTTTTTTCCAGCTCAAGGATCACATTAGCACATAGATAACCTTTCAAGGGGTGAAAGGTTCCATGGGTGGTAGGTAACCTTTCTACAGTAGGCTTCGTTTCAGCCACAGAAAAGTCAGAGAGTGTTCTCTCTCTTTCTCTCTGCACCCCCAAACACACACCCTTCTCCATCCTCTCTCCAGGCAAGCAAGGGACATTTCTACAGTTCAGGAACATATTCCAGTCAGAGGGAGAAAGCACTTGGGGCCTGAGGAGTGGGGTGGTAGTAGTCTGGGGCGAGACCCAAGGGCCAGATAGAGAACCTGGAGGGCCACATTTGGACCCTGGGCCTGAAGTTCCCTACCACTTGCCTTAGGTGTTGGGTCACAGTCAGTTGTGGGCATTTTAATATTTCTTACAGCCAATGTTCTGGCACCAGCTATCTTCCTGTGCTAATTTGCTTATGCGAATGTACCCATGGCCTCCTAATTTGGCTTGCACTGTGCCCTGGCACTGCATCTTTTTTTGTGGGGAGGGCACATTTAAGGCCTGGGCCATTTTTAAACCGTCCTGACCAATGGAATAAATGCTGTTTGTTTTCTTTGGCTTTTGACTACACAGTGTGGCTTCTCCCCACCCCCAAGTTCCATATTAATGTCAGGCAATAAAGAGCTAGAAGTTGTTTGTCTGTGATATTAACTTCTGTGTTTCAAATGCATTGCCTTACTGACATTTGTATATGAGTGGTGATAGCTGCTCCCCACCCTGGCCCAGCAATCCTAATATGAGGGGGAAACTCCTCAACCTGGGAGTAATTCTGTATTCATGAGAACCAGACCCGGCCTCTGTTCTCACTGACCCAAGCTCACAGGAAGCTCCCTGGAATGCAGGCCCCGTCACAGCCTGGCTCGTTGCCCAAACCAGAGTGGCCCTCAAACACAGTCACTCTCAGAGGGCTCTTGCTGTCTTCTTGTGAGAATCAGCTTGCCTGTGGCCTTACCAGTCTTTCCCAACATACTCCGCTCTTTTATTCCTGTTCCAGGTCTTATAAGTGCACATGCTCTTTCAGAGCACAAATCCTTCGATGCATCAGCAACTATAATTAGCATGCTTAAAACGAGGGACATTAGCCAGACAAAATAGAGGCATTTTATATTAAGGCCAATTGAACCGATTACATGTAATATAAAAAAGGACCGGGAGAGTCAATCTGTTGTAGCAGAATAGCAGATATCCCTGGCACTACATGCAAACAGGCAGTTATCTGGTTATTCCAGGGCAATGAAAAGCATTATCCCTCCCCAGAGCCAAGCTGTTGGGTTGATTGCAAAGACATCTCAACTTTAGTTAAAGGCAAATGTTTTTCCATTCCTCTTTAAGCGTGGACAAAACCCTGAAGCGATTGAACTGGGCTGGGTTCAGTACTGTATATTATTACCCAGTTTATTACCCAATATATTACCTATTTCATACAACCAGCAAATTTTCCTATGGCTATCAAAAACTGCTCCAAGAAAGTATGGCGTTTCCTGCCTTATACACCTACGGTTTTCTGTTTGTGAAGCAGGAGGAAATATGTTTGCCCACTGCTTTTGCCTGGTTGATTTCTCCTGGCATGGTTCCTTATCTCTGTATAGTCACTATCAAACTCAAGTAGTTAGGGATCCTCATTTCCCAGCCACACACTGGATGATATTGATCTGTTATTTCCCCCTGCAATCACTCCATAATCCACATTTGTTTCATACTTCCGCAGCTCCTTTGGGTTCACTTGATCTCCCTTCTGTAACAATGGAAGCACTTCCCAATCCTCATTTGCCTGCTGCTTGTTTTCCCTGGGGAATGTTTGCAAGAAACTCCCCTATGGCTTTTCTCCACCATGCCTGCATCTGTGAAACCTGATCATGGCTTGCCTGCGGAGATGGCTTTTCCTGTTCCAATAGGATACCTCTGACTTATCATATCTGTGGCTGTGATCCTTTGTGAGATGTGGCTGTAGAGTCCCATGAGCAGGGCAGCCCAGTGGCTGGGCTGGCTGCTTCGATTGAGACCTCTCTTTTCTCTCCCTTTTTTGCCTTGCAGCTCCAAGCTGGAGAAGATGCCCTCTATCCCCGAGGAGCCGGAACAAGGGGAGAGCGAAGTGGAGCGCTTCACCATGCCTGACTTTCTGCGGCCGCTGCATGACCTGGACGTGGTGGAATCCAAGGAGGCTGTGCTCGAGTGCCAAGTGGCCGGGCTGCCCTACCCAGCCATCACCTGGTTCCACAAGGGCCGGCGCATCGAGAGCACTGATGATCGCAGGATGATGCAGTGTAGGCTTCTCCCCTTGCATTCCCCCCATGCGCATAAGGGAGCTGCCTCATGAAACAGGGCCAGATCCAGAGCAGGGAGGCCTTGGACCAGGGAGCCTCTGTGCACTGCAATCACCTCTTTCTTCCTCCTCCTCGTTGTTGCGGTGATTGTAATTTATCTCATCTGTGAGCTGCTTTGCACAAGAAACAGGTCCCCTCCAGACTTTTTTTGGGAGGGGGGATGTACTTCCCCAATAAAGAGCTGGAGGATAAGTGGCTATGTGAGCAGCTTCTTTTTTTCTTTCTTGCCACCATTGTCCCTTGCTCAGCTCACCCCCCTCTGGGCCAGAGGAAGGTGGCTGTGGCAAGGAGGCCAAGGGGAAAGGGCCTGAGTCTCTTGGCAGTGGGACCTCTGCAGAGCCATAGGTCGCGGCGGATGCCCGACTGTGCCAACCTCTGACACTGGCCTTGATACAGAAGCACCAGCTGGAGCTGGGGGGCAATTTGCTGAGCCCTTCCCAGTGAGAATAAGGCAGGGTTGCACCAAAACATACTGGTAATTGAAGTGGAAAATTGGATGATCCCCCCTCTCTTAACAAATTAACATGAGGACGATCCGCCAGGAAGTTCCCCATCTCAGGCCTCACAGGAGCTGTGCTGTGACTTGCACAGTTTCCCGTGATTTCCAAAGGGGCATATGCAGAACTGTGTCCAGGTTAACTCAGATCTCTTTGTCTCCTCTTAATGGTGAAAGGTGGCTGGGACCACAATAGGTGGGTGTCATTGCCTCCTGCCTGTGCCCATCACACCTGTAAGGCAGCACGTCCTTACCCCAGCAGCACCTGCAGGATTCTACCTTCCCCCCCACATTGCTACACCTTCCCTCCTCATGTCCCTAATACCATTTCCCTAGCAAACATGTCAGTACCTGTATGCTTTGGCTCTCACTGGTTGTTCCTTTGTACAAAGATTGTAACGTGTTCTCTGTTCCCTCCCTGTCACCATCCATTGCAGACAAGGATGTGCATCGCTTGGTCTTCATCTCTGTCAGTCACGCCCACGCCGGGGTTTATAAAAGTGTCATTGCCAACAAACTGGGCAAGGCTACCTGCTATGCTCACCTCTATGTCACAGGTAAGGATGGGGAAACAGTGGGAGGAGCTGCTGTTCAGCATCAGCACCCCATGAGGTGCTTTGCTTTGGGCCCAGGGATGGTGAACCTTGGGCCTGAGGGCTGACTATGACCCTCTAGACCTCTCCAGCCCTTGGGACACTTCCCAGGCCACAACCCTCACTTGCCCTGTTCCCACCCTCAAGTGCCTTTGCATGGCTGGAATGTGTCCTTGAACTATAACAATGCCTGTCACTTGCCTGGAGTCATGAGGGTGGGTTGGTGTAGAATGTTTCGACTTTTGCACGGCTGGAACGCAGCCTATTTGACAAAGGTAAGAGCCACATCTCTTGATCTGTCACTTTTGGCTCTGGTCCTGTTCTCCTTCTGCCTCTGGTCATGCCCATTGCAGGCAAGCAGCCCCACACATCTTCTCTCTCTCTTTTTTTAACATATCATTTTCAAAAGCAATTAACCATACTTTTACATCTTATTCAAATTTTTGACTTCCATCAATCCTGTCTGAAAATTTTCCAATCTAATCTCTCAGTATGCATTTCTTATCTTCCCTATTACATTTCAAACTCATAACCAATATCTCTATCTTTTTCTGCTTTGTAACACTTCATATATTTCTCCTTACAAAACTTCTTGTAGTCCTACTAGCGTAATTTGTTGATTACAGTTGCTCTTCAAATAATTCATATGCTTCTACCAATCTTCTGTAAATCTCTGGTCCCGCAGGTTTCGAATCCTTCCTGTCATTTTGTCCAATTCTGCATAGTCCATTAATTTCGTCTGCCATTCTTCTTTCGTTAGAATTTCTTCTTGTTTCCATTTCTGGGCTAACAATACTCTTGCCGCAGTTGTTGCATATAAAAGCCCCACACATCCCATAATGATGGCTGACTGGGAACAGTTGTGGACCACAGGCATGAAATTTACGGCATGTAATGCCCTAAGAGAGAATATTATGAAAATGATATACAGGTGGTACATGACCCCAGTCAGGCTTGCAAAAATCTATCATTTGCCCGATAATAAATGTTGGAAATGTAAGGAAACTGAAGGTACATTCTTTCACCTTTGGTGGACATGCCCAAAGATTAAGGCTTTCTGGGAAATGATATATAATGAATTGAAAAAGGTATTTAAATATACCTTCTTAAAGAAACCAGAGGCCTTCCTCCTGGGCGTAGTCGGCCAATTGGTGTTAAAGAGGGACAGAACTTTCTTTATGTATGCCACAACAGCAGCAAGAATTCTTATTGCAAAGTATTGGAAGACACAAGATCTACCCACCTTGGAAGAATGGCAGATGAAGCTGATGGACTATATGGAACTGGCGGAAATGACTGGCAGAATCCGAGACCAGGGAGAAGAGTCGGTGGAAGAAGATTGGAAGAAATTCAAAGATTATCTACAGAAATATTGTAAAATTAATGAATGTTAGAATGATGTTCGATAAAAACTAAGTGGTTCTTAGCTGAAATGTTACAAGGGAAGATGAAAAAAGGGTTTACTATGTAATATGTAAAAATCTAAAAGTACAATATCTTTATGATTAATTATTAGGATATTTAAAAGAGGGGAGGGAACTGCTGAACAAAATATGTGAACTGGAATACAAAAAAGGGAGGCGCAAGGAGGTCGAGGAAACAAGTAAATGAAGGATGAGACATAGAAAGACTAATCTGTTTGTTTAACTGTTTTTATTTTGTATTTTGTATTTTTCCATTTTTATATCTTTTTTCTTTTTTTTAATCTGCTTTCTTTTTTCTTTTTTCGCTCATTTTTGTAATATGTTGAAATTTTAATAAATATCTTTTTTTTAAAAAAAAAAAAAAAGCCCCACACATCTTCTCAGTGCTAGTGTGGAATGCCCCTCTATAATATTTTGGATCATTCTCTCCCAGGATGGCAAATGTGAAGTCAAACGACCTGATTCGAGTCTTAATTGGTCATGGAGCTACTATCTTCTGGTGGAGCAAGAAAGTCAGCTATAGAGGGCTTCAGGTGTCTTTTAGCATTCTGCTGTTTGAACCTTTAACATGTAGGAGACCACATAATATCATTGAGTCCTGGAACTCACTCTAGAAAGAGTGACTTAAGCACCCACCAATTAAAAACATAGACTAGTACCCAAGCCTCAGAATCCCCTAAGGAAGGGGCAAATGTGATCTTGGTCAGAAAGCAGAGCATACTGTCTGTGTACACGCAATATATTTAAAGCACTTTTGAAGCACATTTCCCTACTCCTCAAAGAATTATGGGTACTACAGTTTACCCCTCACTTTGTTACAATTCTCAGCAACCCTTCACAAACTACAGGGCTCAGAATTCTTGGAGGCAAATAACATGCTTCAAATGTGCTTTAAAGGAATAATGTGTACATAGCCCCTGTCTCCTCATCTTTCCCTGTGTTCTTGATGGGTCCTCACCCACCTCCATGCTTGTCTTTTACAGATGTGGTGCCCACACCCCCTGATGGCCCGCCGGCTATAGCTGCTGTCACTGGCCGAGCAGTCACTCTGAAATGGAACAAGCCCAAGTGGCTGGATTCAGCTATTGGTAAGCAGGGCCAGGAAGGCAAGTGGCAGTGGCAGTGTAGTGGCAGCCGGGTGGAGAAGGAGCTGGGCTGTGAATAAATAGCTGCTTGAGGTGCCAATTGGGAGAATTTGGTGTCAGATGCAGGGGCTGGTTCCCCAGTCTCTCCTGCTGTAGTGCAAATGCATCTTAGAGGGCAGGCCATTCCACATAACTGGATTCCTCTGCTGGGCAGCCTGGCAGTTGTCACTGGGCAGGTGGGTGCACAATCTGGTGCTGCGATTGCAAGTGAGGCCCCCGCTCTCACTGACAGCTGCCATTGATGTGTTGTACAGCCCACTCTCTCTGCGTGCTGCTGGCAGGCAAAGGGGGCATTACACATTTGCATACACTGACTGGAAAATGTGTTCGCATTAGCACTGGTGGGTTGTTGGTAGGGGTGTATCTGCTTCTCTCTCTCTCTCTCTCTCTCTCTCTCTCACACACACACACACACACACACACACATCCCACACATACATAGCTGTGCCTCAGAAAAGCTGCATTTTGCAAATTAAGCCAATTTGCACAATTGCTGTTATTTTGTATACAAAATATGTGCAGGCCGGTAAAACAGTTTACCACAAATCTTATCCAGCTACCTGAAAATTTCAGGTGGTGTTACTCACACACTTCCAAGCATATCCTTCTTAGCCCATAAGGACTAGAAACTTACTTTGTTGTTTTACTTCTGTTGTTGCTGACCAAAAGCTGTTGTTCATGCGAACCTAAAGGGCATCAATTAGCTTTAAGGGGGAGAAACCATCCAGAGGGTGAGTATTATCCAGTTTTCCCAACAGCCTGCCATATCCTTGACTCACAGACAGGTGCTTGCCTCCCCAACTACTGTAGTATTGAGTGGGGGTGGCATGCAAGCATAGCATAAAGTCCTAACTCTGGACAAATGATGCATAGCCTCACTAGCTTTTTGCTGGAAGTTCTCTTCTTCTGTTCTCAGACCCTGCAGCTGTGACTTACACCATCCAGCAGCAGGTCCTGGGTAGCAGCCACTGGACTGTGATTGCCACGGGGGTGCATGACACCAGCTACATCGTCCTGGCTCTGAAGAAGGGCATCCGCTACATGTTCCGTGTACTCACAGCTACAGCCAAGGCTAATAGCAAGCCCTCTCCACCCACTGAGGCTGTGCAGCTCCTTGATCGTGGTAAGGCAGCGTCAAAGCAGGGAAAGGGGAAGAGGACAGGTGGCAGGGGGCGGGGAACTAGGAGGAGGGAAATGGAAAAGAAGCTGACACTATGGTAGTCTCCTCACACACACATACCCCAAGCTGGAGTGATGATGCCTGAGGGCAAATGAGATTTTCCCAGTCTCAGTCTGATGCTCTGGTGGTTAAACAAGAAACATATTTAGATAGAATCAGACAGAAGCAAATAGCCAAAGGCCCATAACAAAACAGAAGGAAAGGTTGCATTTCTAACTTTCTGCTCCTTTCTAGTCTTATAATTAGGCCGCAGGGTTTACTCGGGTTCTAATCCTAAATATAAAGATTCTGATATAATCAATGCCATTGTTTCTCCAGAGCCCATGGCAGAGAGCCATAAATGCTTTCTCCCTTGGGGGAACTGCTTGCCACCTCCAGCATCTTTGAAGTAGCTCCTCTGTTGAAGTAGAGTTGCTGAATCCTTTGCTTGGCATGTTCTCTATACACATTGAAAGTCCCACATAAGAACTGCTAGAAGTGGGTTTCCCCCTTGCGGCCAAGAGCCCATATTAGAGCACTTTTGGCATAATGCATATTCTGGGATAGAGGAGATTCGGCTCCGGGCTCAGTGTCTGGGTACAATAAATCAGGAATTATTCAGGAATGGCCTCTGGAATGTGAACCCCCAAAGTCAGGATTCCTGTTTGATGTGTCAAAACAGGAATCTAACCTAGCTAGCTGAGAACTTGGATATCTGTCCACTCCCCTACATACTGATGGTCCAGGGTGGGGAACCTATGTCCCCTCCAGAAGTTGGCCTCCAAGTCCCAATAGTCTCAGCCAGCATTGTCAATGGTGAGAGATTATGGGAGTTGTGGTCTAGCAACCTCTGGAGGACCACAGGTTCCATATTCCCGATCTAGAACAGCAAACTGACCTCCTTGTGTTGTCTGCTATGGTGGCTGTGCTTGCAGGGCCTTACCTAGCGGAGGCCCCTATGATCCTGGACAAGCCGGATGTGGTGTATGCAGTGGAGGGGCAGCCGGCCAGCATCACCGTAACCCTCAACCACGTAGAGGTTGCTGTCACCTGGAGAAGGTAGGGAAGCTCCCAAGTCACACTTCTATAGAATCCAGCTCACAGACTTGTTGGTAGGCTGTTGAGTCAACTGCATGTGCCATGACGATGTTAAGATCTGGGATGAGAACAGCTGCCTTGTATCTTTGGGAAAGGGAGGAGGAGGGTGAAAGGGAAAGAAAAAATAAACGAAGGAGGGATTTTTTCTAAGAGTGGCCTGCAAGGAAGGTATTTGGCTTTTGCTGTTTTTTATTTCATTGCTTGTTTATAGCCCTAGTCTCCAGGCTCAAGGTGAGGTAGAATAATTTCACCAGAAAATCTGATGTCGCTGAAGGACTCACAATTTAAAGGCCATTTTGTCCTTAGCTTGGAGCGCAAGCCTGGGTTTGACATCAAATGTTGAACTCAGCAATGGCAAACCATGACCCTTTTGGTAAGTCCACCTGTCTGATACAGGTCTTTGCAGTGGAGGCTGGTCCATTAGGAGAATGGGAGACTGCCCCACAATCCCAGATCGTCCTCAACCCCAGCCCCTACTTGCCTGCCTTTGTAGTTACAAACAGTCCAGGAGACGGTACTGGCTCTCAGCTTCTTCCTACTTAGTCTTTAAAAAAATAAATAAATTATTAAGGGTTTTCTTGTTTTACACCAAACCCTACTTAGTCTTTTTAACTGGAAGGATGGGTACCAAACTGGGATTAGTTAGCTCTGTCTGTCATTGCCTCTGGCTCTACCCACAGTTTGGGCTCCCTGCTTTCTCCCCTAACAGTACCCTAATGGGTCTCTGCAAACACCTGCGCGTCTCATGTTCCCACTTTCAGATATATGGCTGAAATATCTTAGGTGGACGCCAAGGATGAAATTGTCACAACTTTAGCAACCTACGGCACTGAGTGGGTTATACAGTGTTTGGCTGAACATACATTCTCACCATCTTTTAATTTATTGGAATATGCATGAAAAGGAATTATAACACATTTTTATATTGTATAACTTTAGTTTCAGGTGTGACTCAACAGCTCCTCATGCTGCTAATGTTTATGTTTCAAATTAATCAAAAGAGCTGTGTTATGAGTCACCCCCATGAAATATGTCATGCTTCTCATCAGGAGCTCAGTGTTAAGATTCTGAACAGAAGCAAGAGCTGTGCTCTTAATTGCTGAGGAACCTGGATTTGGTATGAAGCCACAGAGGCAGTTGGTGAGGCAAGGTGACAAGGAACTGCTAGTGGCAAAAGAGGTGCAACAGAGGAGGCTCCCTTATGCCGAGTCAGACCGGCAATTCATCTGGTTCAGGGTTGTGTATACTGCCTGGTTGTGGATCTCTGACAGGGAACATTCCAGCCCCACCTGGAGACACCAGGGAATGAACCTGGGACCTTCTGCATGCCAATCAGATACTCTACCACGGAACTATGTCTCTTCTCCGAAGTAGTGGGATTTATAAGGTGGGCTTCTACTAACTCCCATTGTGCTCCTGGCAGGCGCCTGACTTAGCGCTATGTTGAATACAGCCCTGAGCCTCCCACCCCATGCTCTTCTGCCTTGTCCCTGCCAGGTCCGGTGTGGTGCTGAAGGACAGCGATGCCAGCTGGGAGATGAGCATGCCCGATGATGACCAGCACGCCTTGCGATTCTTTCGGGTGGGCAGGGGGGATGTGGGGGAAATGACCTGCGAGGTGAGCAACCAGCATGGATATGACCACTGCTTCATCAGCTTGGAGTTGGCAGGTATGGGATGCCCAGAACCCCTGACATGCTCCAACATCGTCCCCAGTCTTGGCTCTCGGACGTGTCTCCGCTGATGACCATGCCCCACATCCTTATATATGGAGTCACAGCCTCGCCTATTGGGATAAAACTTGCCTTTAAGCTCTTCCCAGAATCTGGAAGCAGACTTAGGGCTCACCCAAGCCACAGCCAGGTATCACAAGAGGCAGCAGTCTGCTCTCTGTCCTAGGCTTTCACATAAGCTGGATATCACAAGGCCAGCGGAGAAGGTCTTCCCCAGAGGGAGGGAGGGAGGAAGATATGCAGCTTCTTTAGTGAACTAAGCTGGGAAATTTATTTATTTTGGGGTCACTTAGGGAGGGGAGGGGATCTTCCCTTGCTTCAACAAATTATGTGTTTCTGTCCCCAGAGGCACCCCGCTTTGAATCGATCATGGAAGACATTGAGGTTGGGGTGGGCGAGACGCCACAGTTTTCTGTGGTGGTGGAGGGCAAACCCCTCCCGGACATCATGTGGTACAAGGTGAGTGTGGGTCTTGGTCTTGGGGAGGCTGCCTGTGACTGAAGAATGTTCCTAAGCTTCAGTCTACGCGTCTACTGTGTCCACCCTGTCAGTGGCTCTCAGTTTTAACTCCTAGGGCCCATGATATCTCAGCCATGGCCTTCTCCTCAGTGGAGCAGATTCCCCTCAATCCTAACCAACTCAAGGGCTTCTTGGCCTGACGTGAGATACTCAGGAGTCTCTGAGTGGCTAACTGCTTGGAAGTGGGGCATGTGCCTTCTGTCCTTTCACGTGAATAGCCAAGGCCCAATGGTGTGGAATTAAGGCCTGCCTAATATTCTCATTCCCTGCATCTTGAATAATACAGCTAAGTAGAGACATGTGGGTTTGTTCAGAAAGAGAATCAATTGAGGAAAGGGCCTTGGACAGGGAGTCTCAAAGAGAAGCTCGATCCTCTTACAGTTTCCTGAAGAAAACTGGGCCTGTAACAGCACAGTAAGAGAAAACCGTAAAGGAGATTTCTTCAACCTGTGCTTAGGGATGATGGGAGTTGTAGTCCAAGAACATCTGGAGGGCAACAGGTTGGGGAAGCCTGCCACATGAAATGGTTCCGCCTACCTGATGTTTGCAAGTGGCTTGTCTTGATGAAATATCCCCAATAGGATGAGGTGCTCCTGACGGAAAGCAACCACCTGAGCTTTGTGTACGAGGAGAGCGAATGCTCGCTAGTTGTGCTGAACACTACAGAGCAGGACAGTGGGGTCTACACGTGCATCGCCCGCAACCTGGCTGGAGAAGTGTCTTGCAAGGCCGAGCTGGTCGTCCATGCAGGTACGTGATATTGTGCTAGTCATAAGAGCTGCTGGGCTTTAGTTGGGTGCCAGGACTGCAAAAGCAGTGTTGGCTGTGGGTCTCCTAATGGACCATGGTGGGTGCCAAGGCAAGGCTAGAATTGCAACTGGCAATGCTCAAATCTCGAGATGGCATGTGTGCTGCCCAACCCAGCATCTCTGAGGTCATTTGGTGGAGCTGGAGGCTTTAGTACAACAGGCAGAAGATTCCATTGACTTGACTAGGCAAGGGCAGAAGGCCAGGCTCCTGTCATACTGAGAGTGATCCTGTCCAAACCAGAGACTGCCTGCCCATCACAGGAGGTATATTGACCATCTCTGCTCTGTTCCAGCCTAAGAACCCTACATGGAACATTGGTAACTGGTTTATACAATCAGACCAGTTTATAAAATCCAGCACAGTATTGTCTACAGAGTTCTAAGCAGGTGTCTTCCCCTGATCTATCTAGAGATGCCAGGAACTGAACCTTGGACCTTTTGCATGTGGAGCACATACTCTACTGCTGAGCTACAGCGCGCAGTTGGCCACTGTGAGAACAGAGTCCTACCCCAGATGGTTCTTTAGCCTGATCAAGCAGGAGCCTTGTCATGTTCTTACGTTCTCAAATGTGAATTTGGAAGCACACCCAGAGTGTGAATGAGGATGCTCATCCCCTCCCCAACGATGTTTAAGCCAGGGATTCACTCATACAGGTGATCCGTGGTGTGTCCGTGGATTTGTGGTTGAAGATGGGGAATGGCGCACCCATTGCATTAAATAGTGATACTGATTTTTAATTGTATTTGTACTCCTTCTATTATTTCTCATCTTGTATTTTATTGTATTAAAGTTTGAATTCTATGGAATAACAACATATAAGAAAGACATCATAATTGCTACACGAGGCAGAAAAATGATTAAGTGGTCCAACAAGACGCTCTGAAATTTTCCAGTGGTCCATGGTGAAAAGATTTGGGAACCACTAATTTAAACCCAAGTCCATAAGGGAGTCCCTCATAATGGACTTCCTACTAAAGATTTGCACAACCCATAAAGATTTGCACAATCTTTATTCCTCTCATAATATTGTACCAGTGTGGGCCAATAGGATAAGAGTCAGCTCTACATGAGGATGATGAAGCTTCCCAGGTGAATGTCAAAGGGGGACAGGAGGAGTCATGGTCTTGTGCTGCTTATTCCCCCCCCCCAATACCCCTGATCTATCACTGCTCCTCCCACTGTTGCTCTCTCTAGCTGTGCCAGATGCTGACGCCGCACGGGCAGAAGAAGCCGCACACACAGCTCGTCGCCTGGCTGAATATTACGATGTCCACGAGGAGATTGGCAGGTGAGGGAGTCCTCAGGGAAGATAAAGCAGGTTATACTGGGCCTTCCTCTTGGTGTGAGGTGGCTCAGGCTTGAAGGCTCCTTAAAAAGGAATGGGAAACCTGTGACCATGGAGATGTTGTTGGGCTCCATCAGTCCCAGCCAACATGGTCAGTGATGGAAACTGTAGTCAAACAACGTCTGCAGGGCCACAGGTCAGTCACCCTGACATGCAAAGGAACGGATGCACTACTTGCCCACAGGAGTTTTGTTGGACTTACAAACACAGGTCCACCAATGGGTTGACCAGGTCTGTCCCCCTGGTGTACAGTTTACTGTTACCTGGGGTTCAGTGCAGTTGTCAGAAGCTCACACAGTAAGGCAGTGGCAGCATCTTGCTGCTTTTCCACCTTTGCTCACATATGGGGATTTAATCTGAATCGATTCTTCCTGGGGGGAGGGGGGCAATTGCCTCTCACTCCCAAGTACGTGGAAGGATGTAGCAGACACCTGCCTGTACTACCACCTTGTCCCTGAACTGTGGCAAAGCCTTCCGGCTTCCAGAACACTCTGCTGGTGATAGTGGCACAGCCTCAACCCTGGGAGTTTGCTCTGGGATTAGAGCCTTTCACCGAGGCTTCTCATGTGGCTTTGGTAAAAGCCTGTGCTTTACCAGCATTTAATTGATATACTAATTGGAGGCCTCTCCCTTCAGGTTTAGAACAAGTTTTCTAGAGAGGACTAGAAAACAGCAGGGCTGGGCCCTTTGCTTCTCCATCACTCCTCCATCTTCACAGGAGAAGTCACTCTGCCATGCCCTCTGACCTCTTTCCTTAACCAGCTGGGTCAAGGTCAAAACAGGATGACCATAACTCAGCAAAACAAGGGGAAGAGCAAGGAATGGGTCTGGGTGGTGCCTCATGATGACCTGTGCTGTTCCTCAGGGGAGCCTTCTCATATGTGCGGCGAGTGACCCAGAAGAGTTCCGGTTTGGCCTTTGCTGCCAAGTTCATCCCGTGCCGCGCCAAAGCTAAGAAATCAGCACGCCGTGAGCTTGGCATCATAGCTCAGCTGGACCACGAACGCATTGTCTACTTCCATGATGCCTTTGAGAAGAGGAATGCCATCATCATTGTCATGGAGTTGTATCCTCTATTTGGGAGATCTGGTGGTGGTTGGGAGACCCAGTATCCAGCGCAGTAGGCCATTTAAAAAATATATGTTTTATTTTTTGGTAATGGTTATGAGGGACTCCTAGGTGGACACTGCTTTTGAGAAGCTGGCAGGGTGGGGTCTCTACTCACATGACATTTCCCTTGACGGACTATACAGCTGCACAGGAGAAGAACTGCTAGAGCGGATTGCGAGGAAGACCTCTGTGAGCGAATCTGAAGTAAGAGCAGGCTGCTGTCATGGGAACAGGCCCTCAAGGCCATCTTATCTTCATTGTCCTGGAAGGGCTTCATTTCTTAGAAAATGTATTAACGCTCCTTTTTCAGCCTGTATGGCTTTCCTATTAGTTTATATGTAATAATAAAAAAACCACAGCAAAAGAAAACAACTGTATAGGCAGTGAAGCAGCAGGTAAAGTAAAATCATAAGAGTTTGAAAATGATTGAAAAGCAATAGATCTTAAAAATAAAAATAAAAACCTAGCTAAACAAGTACCAGGGACAAGGACGAGCAGATTTCCATAGCAATGACAAGTTGGTGGTTTGGGCTCCAATCCCACCTTCTGTGTGTGTCTAATTGGATGTCTCTCTGTTTGACTGTACCTTACTCTGACTGTTGCTGGGTTACTCACCTGCAGATACGTTGCTACATGCGGCAGGTCCTGGAGGGTGTCAGCTACCTCCACCATCATGGCATCTTGCACCTTGACATTAAGGTGAGTGCTCCCTGGCGTGTCCTGCTGTGGTCAGCCTTGGCCCTCATCTGTATTCCCTGAGCATTTGGCTTAGCCCGGTTGGGATTCAACTCTTCCTTTGTACAGACTGAAATCATGGGCCCCATCATACATTTAAAGTACTACGATACCACTTTAAACAGCCATGGCGTCCTTCCCGCAAAGAATCCTGGGGAATGTAGCTTGCTAAGGCTGCTCCCCTCACAGAACTAGGATTTCTAGAGTAGTTTAACAACCAGTCCTTCCCAAGGAACCTAGTGTAGTGCAGCAAAATTATTATTCCTTATTCTTTATTAAATTTATATACCACCCTGTATCCACAGGTCTCAGAGGAGTTCACAAGATAAAATTACAAGATAAAAAACACAAAATACATAATCAAAATATCAATAGAAACAGCCAAATAACACACCCCAACATATAAAAACAGTTTTAAAAATTTACTTTTTTAAAAAAACACAATTAAAAAGCAGTTTAAAAGTAGTTTAAAAGAATGTAAACAGTACTCTCTGCTGGGCAGCAGCAGTTCTTTTTTCAGGCCCTGTCCTAGGCCTGGTGGAGAGAGGCAGGAGCAGGACCCTCAGACTCTCAGCAGGTGTTCCTTCCTTCCTGGGCAGCAGTCCTTTTGTTGTCTGTCAGGCCCTGCCCTGACAGGGAATGGCTAAACTAATATGATCTTTGATGCTGTGGAATTAGACTTTGCTCTAGAAATGTGTTGGTGAGAGCTGCTATCCTGTATTGCAGAAACAATTGGAAGGCCCCAGGCTTGTCTCCCTTGCTTTTCAATTCCCTAACATCCTTGGCTTTCCACCAGATTTCCACTGGGCCAATGAATGGGCTGCAAGGAGGTTCTGGGAAGCTTATGGAGTAAGAACCAGCTTGGGTAGCCAAAGGTATCACACTGCCTTGTGAGAACAAAAATTCCAAATAACCTGAGGTTGATGGCAGAACCCCCCTTATAATATATGCTTGTTAAATAGTGAGTGATGTTCTCAAGGTACCTGTAATCTATAGTATGTTGTTGTTGTTTGGTTTTTGTTTGTTTTATACCCTGCCTTTTCCCCTGATGGGACTCAAGGCACCTTACAGATTAAAAATAAAAAACATAGGAAAACATCTGTAAAAAAACAACTAAACATTGATAGAATTAAAACTATACACATATATAAAATCTATTAAAACTACAGTAAGGGTGAGCAGAAGGTGGACTGGGATCTACTAGTAGATTTCTGGGTGACTTGATGTAGATTGGCAAGGATTTCTGACTCCCCAATTGTTTAACAATGACAGCAACAAAATTATTATTGTCATCATTGATTTATCAGTTGCCTTCTGAACAGCTGTCTCAAGACGATGTGCACTAAAGATAATTAGAAACAGTTAAAAACACAAAAAAGCAAACACATTTAAAACAAAACTAAAACTGTATAATGTAGACACTTGTGGTAAAGACCCATTTATCCAGCTGGGAAAGCCTGTCTGAACAAAAATGTCTTCAGTTGTTTCCGGAAAGTGCAGATAATGGGTGCCTGTCGCATCCCTCCCTTAATTATACTGCTGAAATGAAGGAAAAAACATTTTTAGGGTGGGAGGATAACCAGGAGTAGATTTTTGTGTGAAAGGATTGTGAGCTCTGTTTTGTTCTCTTACTCAAAACAAATTATTGGGTCTGTTCTTTTATTCTGAGAAACACATTTGAGATTTTTCAGGAACCATACAATAAAACCAAACCAACATGTAAACCAGCACACATAGTACTTAAATGTACAGAATAGTATACAGAGAACCCCAAACAAGGGAGAAAAGGAAAGAATGAACCCCTCCATCCTCTGCCCAGAATGGGAATAACACCAGGAAGAAGACACACCTTGTACACAATCTCACCATTAGGACACACATATCACAAAACAATGAAAGAAAATGGGGGCAGGAGGTATGCACATTCTATGGGACACGATAAGAAATGATGCCGCCCCACCTACGATATCACAATTCACCAGAAGAATTGATGGCAGAGAGATGGCCTGGGCTCCCCCACCCTGTAATTATTATAAGAGGAAAAAAGGAACCTGCCACTTTTTAGTTCACCTCTGGCTGGGTGCGTTTTTCAGATAAAGCTTCCTGCCATACCTGGTTGTGCCACCTCTGGAGGGTAGGTTGTGGTTCACTTTTCCAATCTCCATCCATGCAACCTGGAGGAGATGGATCATTAGCATGGTGTTGAAAATTTTAATGTGACATGCTGGTACAGTTCTCTGGATTTGTGCAAAACTAAGGGATCAATAAACACACACGCTCCTCCATTCAGGAGATTGCTGGAAATAGTTACAAGCATGCACAGCATTGAGGAAGTAGTGGACATGAAAAGGGGCTAGACACCTTTCTGAAGACCACAGCATAGCTCACTGGTGTGAATAATGCAATGTTGGCTGTAGGGAATCCCCTGGAGAAGGGAATGATTTCTGTAATCTGTGCCTATTGTGGGTGAGTATCTGTCACGTTTCACAGTTGTGAATTATTTTGCTTACTTAGCAGCTTTTTCTCGGGGGGCACCTCCTTAATACCTTTCCACTTTCCTTTCCCACAGCCTGAAAACTTGCTGCTGGCTGAACCCAGCAGCGATCAGGTGCGGATCTGTGACTTCGGCAATGCCCAAGAGCTGCTTCCGGATGAGCTGCAGTACTGCAAGTATGGCACCCCCGAATTTGTGGGCCCTGAGATTGTCAGCCAGAGTCCAGTCTCCGGTGTCACCGATGTCTGGTAAACAGATGCACCTGCACAATATGATGTATGCCTGTGCACACACATCCCTGAAATGAGCACCAGAAAGGAGGAATTAAAAGCTAAAGGGGAATTCCTGAACTTGAGTATTGGGCAATTTCAGGGAGGAGGAATTACTGGGATAGGCCCTTGCTTAACCTGTAGTCCAGAAGATTTTTCTGGGACTGTGGGATGCCTATTGGAAGAACAAACTCAATTGGACCTGGGCTTGCAATTGCTGGTTTGCATGGGGCAGAGTCAGCACAAGTGAGGTGTCAGGGTTGCTCCCTGTGCAGCTTGCTTTGCCTTGACTCTTGCAGATCAGCCCATGCTGTTTCCCCTTAAAGACAGTGCAAAACACTTTTGTATAAGTCTTACTTGGGGAGTGTGAGCATGATGCACTGGCTCATTATTGCCCATTCTACTGTAGTGCATTTGTTTCAACCTTAAGTTGGATCCCGACCTCTTGCAGACCCTAGAATGCCCTGGTTCTCTGGACTCCCTGATCATGGAGCCATACCATTTGCTAGCCAGGGGCTAATCTAATCTATCTATTGTTACATGCACCCCAAGGCTCGAAGCAGTGAGAACTCCAGGGGTGTGTCATAAACTTGATTTCTGAAGGCTTGTTTTTGTTTTGTGACATATGGTTTATTTTCACATGCATACAGTACAAGTTGAACATAGGTGGAGTTTCACAGCATTAAACACACACCAGCAGATGCTTCTCCCTCATCAGATTAGGGGGGCCACCAGCAATGTAGTATTCTTGCAGAGAGCAAAAACAGAGGCATATGAGTTAGCACATTCCACAACTGGGAGAGGGAAGGTAAGCCCCCTTCCCAAAAGGCTCTCTTCTGGCAGAGGGGTCTCCAGCCTATAGCTCCTGTAGAAACAGATCACTTCTACTTGACCATCTATTTTGCAGAAAAAGCCACCACACCTTATCTGACAACTGAAACAGCCCTTCTGTTGTCCAGACCCTAACCCTACAATCACAGAATCATTGAGTTGGAAAGAACCTCAACCAGCTCAACCCCTGATACCATCATCCCATTTAATCTATCTATCCTTAAGATCACTAAGTATAGGTACCACCTGGATCATATAACTTAACTCCTCCTAGAGATGTCCTGTCAAACCACTGAAATTTTGTCTGTTCTTTCTTTACAGGCCAGTGGGAGTAATCACATATCTATGGTAAGCCTCAGCTTGGAGGACTGTGCTAGGACTGTTCAGGTTGTTCCCATCTCCCTTGCAGCTCTACCATATTATGGTAAAGAGAAGGCACAATGAGAAATACCAGGGCTCTTGCTTGTCCTGGAAGCAGATAATTCCACCACTATGCTTTGACATAGTGTTCCCATTCAGCTCTCCAGAGAGCCATGCTCTACTGTCTCCAGGGTGTGAATTACGGCTTGGGGAACCTTGAAAAGCTACCCCAGTAAATTTCCTCACCCCATCGCTACATCCTTGCATGCAAGGGCATGGGAAACCCAGAAAGCTTGCCCCAAGCCTGCGAGCCAATGATTTTCTGACTATTCCCTCTCTCAGTCTCACAGGGATCTCCCCGTTCGTGGGTGAGAACGACAAGACCACACTCATGAACATCCGCAACTACAACGTGGCTTTTGAGGAGAGTATGTTCACAGGACTGACGAGAGAGGCTAAAGGCTTTGTTATCAAAGTACTGGTCAATGATCGCCTGTAAGTAATAGGGTATATTAAGGGTCTCCCTGAGGATTAGATAGAGGCATTTACCTGTGTGGGATGCAAAGAGGACTCCCCACACACATACTCCCTGCCCCCATGGCAGAGAGAGGGGAAAACAACTATAATTATTCCTTCTCTGAGAAAGGGAAAGCTATGTGTCCAGAGGCACAGAAAGAAAAGCCACCTTAGAGTGGGGGCCAAAGAGAGTTCCAGGCCTCCCCTACCAGCAGGCTGCCAGGGCTTTGCAGCGAGAAAATTATGCTCTAGGGCCCCTCCAGACATCCTTTTATTGTGTGTTGGTGATGATTTGTGCTCAGGATGCTCTCAGGGTGGCCACACGTGATCCTGTGGCTTCCTGCTGAAATCCTGCGACTTTTTATACCACAAGGATTCTGGTATACTTTTGTTCAGTTTTTGTAGTCTTATAGCCCCTACAGGTGGCAATAATGTGATAGCATTGAGGAAGCATTACAGAAGTCAAAGGAAATCAAAATAAATCTCTAATGGACTGTTATTGTGCCAAGAACATATTGCAGAACACACACATACAATAAAACAACTGCCCAAAGGGGCCAACATGTACTACATCCACTTTAACACACCTTTTGCACTTAGGAAAATTACAGAGAAATGCACTGGAAAGTGTGGGACGAATGAATGGTTAAGGAGATATAAGAACCTCAAACTAGCAAATGAGGATGAATGATCATTATTGTATAACCTCCCCACAAACAGATCGGAACGAATGCTCAATGAAGACCAGACATGGCATAACCTCTGTCTGTGTAAGCTTTGTTTAAGCAAATCAGGATGACAGCTCAGTAAACAGGTTGTCTGAAGTAGCCGAAAGACACACAATGCTTGGGGACAACCCCCACCCCACCAAAAAGCTTTGATTTCCCATGTGATCCTCTCACCCTGACTTCCATGTCTACTGTAGTAGCAAGCAAGTATAGTGTATTATTTATTGATGTAACGTATTTTAATCCTACCTCTTGAAAAAAACCAAGGTGATTGTGCAAGAGTGATCCCACTCTTTTTAAGCTGTGAGGTTTGTTAGCCATTCTAGAAAGCAAGGAAATGCTCTCACAGTCCTTTTATTCAAGCCTGGAAAGAAGGAGCATTGGAATGCAAGTAATCAGAGGACACCATTCTGCTTTTGGTGGGAGAGAGGAGAGTGATTGGAGGTGGGCTGGAGGAAGCAGAAGGAAAGGAAAAGGACATGCTAAGGAGCAGTGTGTGGAAGTGTGGGGTGTGTGGGCTTTAGCCGCAGCTTTCCTCTGTGCTAGCGAATGCTGTATTGACTCGTTCTTGTTTTCCTTCCCAGGAGACCCAATGCAGATCAGACCCTGGAACACCCCTGGTTCAAGGTAAGTCCATTTTCTGATGCCTCTTTAGAAAGAGAAGTGGGGCCCATGTTGGGTGGTGGTGCCTTTCTCTAGGCAGGAGAAAATCTTGGTAGCTCAAAGTGGGAGAGGTTCCTTCAAGCAAAGGCTTCTGCCACACATGCAGGGAGCAAAAGCAACTCTTTCCGGCTGCCTGAGCCAGAGGCATCTCTTTGGCCACTGTGGGAAACAGGCTGGACTAGATAGGCCTTTGTTTTGACCCAGCTACAGAGCTCTGCTTGTTCTTCTGACCCTGCCTGCTTCCACCCTTCCTTTCAGACATTAGCCAAGGGCAAGAGCATCAGTACAGATCATCTCAAGCTCTTCATATCTCGCCGGAAATGGCAGGTAAACTTAGTACCTGACAGCATGATGGCAATTTATTGATTGGTTGATTTGCAGTTGTGAATTCCCTCCAGCAGCAAAATTAAGGAGGGGGTGGATGGTAAGGTGGACACCATTGTGCAGAAAATGCTGCCGTGGAGCACAAGTGGTGTGTGTGCAGTTGTGAGTGTCTGTGTGTGCATATGACCCTGACAGTTTTCCATGGTGCTCTTCACATGTTGTTGGTCAACCAACGTGTCCAATGGTCAGGGATGATGGAAACTACAGTCTGGCCTCATAAGGAGGGTGGGCAGCCAAGCCTGTGAAATGAGGTGTGGGTGGAACAGAGGCTCTCTGGGTCTTTGCTTGAGCTCCATCCCATTCTCCCCTCAGCGTGTGCTTTCTTTCCCCAGCGCTCCCAGATCAGCTACAAGTGCAACATGGTGCCACGGCCGATTCCTGAGCTCCTAGAGGACACATCCAGCCACTTGTCTATTGCTGTGCCTCGCCTCCTCAAGGAGACCTCAGTGTTGTCCTCCTCTTCAGATTCTGATGACCCAGAGGAGTTGCCCTACATTCCCATGCCCCATCAGCCCGAATTTTCCGGCTCCCGCATGTCGCTCACTGAGATCCCAACAGATGATGAGCCTCTCAGCCCTGAGGGGGCTCTAGCAGATGAAGAGGGCACATTGATGGAGTGGCAGGATGATGAGGGGCAGGGAGCTGTGGTGGATCCCAAGAGAAAGGAAGAAGCAGAGCTCTCTTTCAGGAGGCAGAAGGGCACGTTGCCACGGAAGCGCTCCACAGAGGCTGAGGAGCCTTGCTCTTCTGACGAGGAGACTCGCGAGGCCCAGAAAAGGCCAGAGTACCCCAGGAAGGCCCTGAAGAAAGGCTCCAGCCTGGATTCCCCAGAAGCATCTGACAAAGCCTCGCGTAAGGGGGAGCTGCGCCGCGGCAGCTCTGCTGATAGTGCCCTGTTGCTTAGTCTCCCCTCGGATGAAGCGGAGCCCCACTCCCGCAAACGCCTGACCAAAGCAGCCTCCATGGAGCTGCCCCGTCGGAGCCCCAGCCCCGGCACATTGTACCGCAGGAAGGGCGGGCTGCCAGAGGAAGAATACACCCAGCGCCTGGAGGTCATGCGGCAGCGCCTGCTGCATGGCAGCCCCGTGGACGGCAAGCTGAGCGGCTTGCGGGGGCCGCTGCTGGAGACCCTCGGCCTTGAGAAAAAGGGCTTGAGGCCTCCCAGGCTGGAGAAGCAGCTGTCCCCCGGGCACAAGATGGTGCGCGCAGCCTCCAGCGAGACGGCTCCACAGCACATGCCCCCTGAGGGGCGCCTCCTCCAAAAGAGCAGCTCCTTCAGCCAAGGCGACGGGGAGCCTGTCACCCTGCACCGCCGCTCCGGAGCACCGCTGGAAATCCCTTTAGCCCAGGCCGAAGTCCAAAGGCTGAAAGAGACGCCGTCCCTCTCCGCTCTGAATGAATCCAGGCCCCACACGCCACACGAGGTTCCCTCCAAACCGCCTACCCCTGAGGCGGAGGCGGGAACAAAGCCCATCGGCAGGGCTAGCTTGAGGAGACCAACCGCCAGGGGACCTGAGGAAAAGACGTTGGCGAGATTGTCCGAACCTGACGCTCCAGAAGCTGTGAAAGCCATAGGCTCTCCAAGGGAGTCAACAACTCGCACACCCATCTCTCCCACCCCAGGCAGCTCGGCCCCCAAGCGCTCGGCCTACGCTGATGTCATGCAGAGCCTGGCTGGCGAGTCATCCCAGGTCCCTCACAGGGAGGCCGCAGAACCTTCTGTGGCTGCCTCAGAAGGTATACCTCAAACCTTTCCAGCTGCAACACAGTCCCACCCCACTGCTGCCTTTGCCAAGAAGGCTGCGCAGACCCCCAGCAAGGAACCCTCCCCCCAAGTTCGCTCCTCCAGTGCTGAGCACATCCTGGACATTGACTCTGAAGAGGTCTTTGAGGCCAAATTCAAGAGAGGCAGGGAAGGCTCCCTCAGCAGGGGCCGCAAGCTGCTCTCCAGGTCTGAGGAGCGGCAGCTGGCCGGGCCGCGGGAAGAGGGCATCTACCGGCCAGGCCCTGTGGGTGCCCCGCTGGAGCTGTCCAAGTCTGGGGTCTCTCGACACCTGGGCGAGCGCTCTCGTTCTGTGCAGGACCTGCATGAAGTGGAGAAGGAGGGCGGCTTCATCCGCAGGATGTCGATGCGACTCCGACGCACGCCTCCCGTCGAGAGGAGGAAGGCCAAGGAGGAGGAAGGAGGGGGAGCGAGGCTGTCTGGGGGCCTGGCTTCCAAGGACAAAAAGGACTCGGACAGCCAGCAGTCGGAGCCTGGCTCCAGTGAGTCGCCCGTCATGGCTGTGCGCAGGAAGATTGGGACCACCATGGGGCGCCTCTCCACGCATCTGCGCAGCCACTCGCAACGTGGCGAGGAAGACCAGGCAGCTGCTGCTGGTGGTGACCGTATCAGGCAGCCTGAGAAGAAAGCTCCTTTCCTCTCTCACCTGCGCCGTGCAACTTCTGAGGGGGAAAACCTGCGTCAAGTGGGTATCCCGCAGAACCAGCTGGCAGCCCAGTCTGCAAGTGTCCCTTCCACAGAGTCCTTCCAGTCTGACACATCCACAGGCAGCGGTGAGCAATGGTCTACAACCATTTCCCACCTGGGAAAGTGTGTGTGTGTGTTATGGTTGATGTTTCTCCATTGAGGGATCATGGCTCCTCTGGGCATGTTTAAAGGCATCCTTTATAAGTGCTGCATGACTTTTAACGGGGGGAAGGGAGTGAGGCTTACAAATTGTAGTTCCACCAACTTGTTGGCCACTTTTTTGGTTGTGGTACAAGTTCCAGGAAAATGCTGGAGGAACTGGGGATCAAGGAAGAGAGAAAAAAGAGAGAATAATAAGTTGGATGTTTTAGAGGATGCTAACACGGCTGAGGTGGAGGAGTGTGTGATTTGAGAGTGACTAATCCTGCTCTGGGCACACCACACATTCAGTAGAAGCTTCTTCTTTGGCGATCACTTAGCCGAGTAAGATTGTCTTCCATAAACACGGTTTTAACAATGAGTCTGTAAGTGACTGTGGAGGCCAATTCTGGACCCACACATCCTTCCACAGTGAGGATATTGGTTTCCGGGCGGGAGTTGATCACGGTGTGGATTTGCCAAGCGTGCCTTCCTCCTACCACGTTTCTCCCTTGCGTCCTGAGTTTGAGTGTCTACAAAGCCCATGACACCTTTGGTAAAGGCTGTTCTCCAACTGGAGTGCTCGCAAGCCAGTGTTTCCAGGTTGTCAGTGTTTATACTACATTTTTTTAGATTTGCCTTGAAACAGTCTTTAAAGCAAGCACTGCGTCACTCAGGCCCCCCAACCATTTCCCAGGATTCTCTTAGCTTGCGCAAGAAAGAGCCCACCCATATCTGTCATTTTCACAGGTCCTGGTGAAAGCCAGCGGCGCGGTTCTCGCTGGGAACGCTGGAGCTTGTCCAGATCCAAGAAAGACAAGGTTGCTTCACAGCCCAACATTCCTGCCAGCCTGAGAGGGGACGGTGTTGTCATTATGAGTCAACCCTATGTGCTCAGCGAGTCAGGTATGCCCATGAAGAAGTGTGGGGCCAGAGCTGCCATTGAGATAAATTCAGCCTGGTGTAGCTGGCCAATGGAAGCCTGAGTTGCTCTCACCTGTTCAGCTATGCTAGAAAGTTCCAGCCGCCGGGGCAATTACAGTGGGCCGTTCTAGGGAAACGTGATGGCGAAGGGCTGAACCTGTGTCTTCTCCACTCCACTCTATAGCGCAGGGGTGGGAAACCTTTTTCAGCCGGAGGGCCACATTCCCGCGTGGGCTGCTTGTCAGTGGTGGGCACAGCCAGGGCAAAACTGAGTGGAAGAGGTGGGACTCCTTAGAGCAGGCCAAATTCCAGTCAAGCAAAAGTCAGAGGTTACTCCTCACACCTCTAAATGACCAGGCAAGGAAGAGGCATTATTACCATTCAGGGACACATTCTAGCTAGGCAAAAACACTCAAGGAAATAATGGAGCAGGACCAGTGAGGAGTGGAGCATGGGAAAAAGGGGTGGAGCCTGTAGAGAGAGGCATTGTGTAGAATTCTGAGGGCCAGGCAGAGAGTCCTGTGGAGCTGCAATTGGTCCCAGCCCTGTTACGGGGATCATTTCTATGCTGGGGATGGAATTTCTGCCAAACCTTTTAGCACCATCTATGTGGTACTTGGAAGCAGCCTCGGATTTACCCCTTTTATTCTTTGTCCAACGCAGACTTCCCTCCAGTTTTCCACATAAAATTGAAGGACCAGGTATTGCTGGAGGGAGAGGCAGTGCAACTCTGCTGCCTTCCTGCAGCCAGCCCTGCCCCTCACATACTGTGGATGAAAGGTAAGCATTGTGTCACAAGGAGCGTGTGTGTCTGCATGTTGGGGCAGGAAGAAGCAATATAGTTTCTTGACTCTCAAGATCAGAAAGGTGGAGTCTGATACCTGCCGAGTTGTTTCCCAGTGTGTGATTCCTAACAGGTATCCTACCAGACAGCCATGATGCAATGCCACCCAAGGCAGGTTCAGCCACAGAGCTAGGAGAGGTCAAGCCCAGAACTGAGCTGCCATTTGGGCATCCATGCTGACAGACCTAGCTGCATACCCCTGCATCACCATGGTGCAAATTGTGTATCCTTGCACTGGTTGCCATCCACATGGTTACATTCTCTTGGAACTCAGAAGTGCCAAACTCTGTTGGGATAGGGACCCCTTGGGTTCAGCCAGGAAAAGAGGTACTCCAACTTCTGATGAAGCTCACATGTTTGAGTAACTGAGTGGCAAAGATGCATTAGAGCACAAGCTACAGGAGGAGGATGTAAGGCAGTGTGCGATATTGATATACCTACAGTGGTTGTACGGATCGGTTTTCTTGTCCTCTGCAGATAAGAACACCCTGGTATCAGAGGGTGTTCTCAACATTGTGGCATGTAAAGATGGCCGCCAGCTGCTCACCATCTCCAAAGTCTCCAAGAAGGATGCAGGCTTGTATGAATGCAACGCTACCAATGCACTGGGCACTGCCACCAGTTCCTGCACCCTGGCTGTAGCAAGTAAGTATAGAAAAAGAGTGCGCTGTGGTTCCCCACCACCCCAACCAAACATCTATGAGCTTGTTGCGGCAATATATCTCATGTAGCAATGGAAGAGAAATATGATTCAGTGTGCATTGACAACCGAATCTATAAAATTCACCTATTCTGAAACAGCTATCCCTTTACATTCACACTCATCTGAATTCTGAAGTGCAGTTCTCCAACCAAATAATCTTTACAAAAATGCATGTATTATAGGAATATATGCATAAAAATGAAGATATTTGTGTAAATACGTGTACCTTAGTTTTTAAAAAAATGCATGCAGAAATTTATCAAGAGAAATTTGTACTGAAATGATGGTACATGAGTTTTGTTTTTTTTTAAATCCACAAATTCCTGCAAAATGTGGAGAACTGAATTTAAGACGGGGGGGAAATAGAAACTGTGAGAAATGAAATCGACAGATCCTTCCATCCCATATCTCATTGGTTACTATCTCATGCTTTTCCATTCATTTCTCTTTTCTCAAACCTGTTCCTAACAGAAATTCCTGGGAGACCAGGCACCCCAGAAATCCCCCAGAAGTACAGGAACACAGTCCTGGTGCTATGGAGGCCAGCAGATACTCAGGCACCCTGCACGTACACGCTGGAACGGAAGATGGATGGTATGAACTGGTGGGATGTGGAAAATATTGCCAGCTGCTTTCTGCCCTTTCCTTTGCAGAGGCTCTAGTCGTCACATGCATTCCCCTGGTTCTTTGTGGACCTTCTGGGGCTCCATATCCACCACCTCCATGTTCGCATGTGCAGAATTTTTTATTCTTCTAATAAGGCTACAGTGCAACTTGCAGCCATCTTCTCATTCCTACTCCTTTAGTTGCCTGCCCATTCCCAAACAGCTGGTGGTACATCAATACCGAAAAGTATTGCTTCCTAGCAGTCTCCCTTCCCCATCCTCTTGCATTATATGCAGTTCAGTTACAGATTCAGTCCAAATCTGAGGACAAGATGCGGAGTTCATCACCTTTCTGTAGAGATGGGTGTTTAGATTCAATCTTCATGCAAGGCACAACCTCTTGCAGTGAGCCCTCCCCCCTCCCCCCCCCGGAGGCAATATCCAGCCACTGTCACACATGTTTTAGTAACATGATCCAGATTAGCAGATATGGTGCACGCCTTACGTGGAGCTGATTCTAGAAAAGAAACTTCTGAAGTTCAGAAACTTCAGCTGGTGCAGAATTCAGTAGCTAGGATGGTGCTTATCAGAGCATATGACTCCAATATTGTTCATTTGCTAACTGTTCCTAATTCAAAATCCTGGTTATGACTACAAAGCCCCAAAACAGTTTGGGACCAAGCTATTTACAGTCCTGTCTTATTTGCATTCTTCCCCATGCTTTGTGGAGCTCTCTGCCCTGCCCTAATCAATCCTCTCTTTACCTGCATTTCAGTCTGATACCAAATCTTTTTTTCTTGTACCGGGTTTTCATTTGATCCCCCCCCCCCCCTGCATTCTGTGGTTTTATTTTTTTGTTTCTGGTTTTCAGCATTGGTTTTGTTTGGTCTTTAATGTGTTATATTTACTGCATATAGCTTTAATTGATGTATTTCTTCCCCCGCCCCAGGAGAGCATGAGTGGAAGTTGGTCAGTTCAGGCATCGCTGACTGCTACTTCAACGTGACAGATCTCCCCGTTGCGAGCAATGTCAAGTTTCGTGTTGCCTGTGCTAACAAGGCCGGACAAGGCCCCTACAGCAACCCCTCGGGGAAGGTCTTCATTGAGGGTGCAGGTGAGGACATTCCCACCACTACCAGGAATCCTAGGAGCTGTTGTTTACCCCTACAGGACCTTTAAAAAATTACAGTTCCCAGGATTTTAGAGGGGGGATTTGTTTCAGATATATGGTATGCTTCAAAAACTGAATGGTGTGTATGCAGCCATTGTGCTTGCAAGTACTCCACAAGCCATGTCCTAAATTCTGGCTGCAAGCCCACCTCATGGTGTCAAGGTGCAGCTGCCCTCGGTAGGGAGGATATTTCTTTTATTGAGCTGGCTCTGTCATAGTTGGGATTCCCACTGTTTGGTAGCTGAGAGGGGTTCCCTCTATAGATTTTTCCCTTGCCTTCTGAAAAGAGGCAGGCCCTCCACTTTTGAGCCTAAATCAGCCTCTTCTCCTCTCCCAGAACCCAAGACTGCCTTTTCAGCTCTCACTGCCAAAAAGAGTACAACTGCCCTGGAGAAAGCCGCTTTCACCAGATCCACCCAGACCCTCACTGACCAGTCTCCCCAACCCGTGCGCAGAAATACAGGTCCCCTGCCGTCCTCCCCTCCCAGGAAGCACAAGGGGGCAGTGCCGGCACAAGGGGGGAAGGCTCCTGCTGCCCCCAAAGTGACTCAACCTGAGGAAAAGCCTCTGGCCACGGTGAAGGCCAAGCTCCCAATTGCGGCCCTGGTTCCATCCTCCAAGGAGGCCTTGTCTTCCGAACCTCCAGCTGTTGCGCCATCCACCTCTCCAGAGCCAGACTCGAAGCCTTCCAGAACAGCATCTTCTCTCAGCACCCACAGTGCCTCAGTGCCCACCAGGGTCTCGCCTGCTGCGGCATCCTCCCCTGGCTCTTCCGTCTCCAAGTTTTCGCCCATCTCTCCTGCCTTACCAACCCCCGCGGCAGACTCGCCAGTGACCGTCTCCCCGAAAGCTGTTCCCTACATGGCCACCTCTTTCATCTCCATCCCACCAAGGGCGCCCAGCACGACAGAAGGTGCACACAGCCAGCCAGTTACCCCCAGCCCAGAAGAGGGGCCTTCTCACACTCGCTTCCTGAGCCGCAGCGCTACCCCTGGCCGGGACGCTGGGAGTGGGGCTCAGAGCAGGCTCACTTCAACTTCCAAGGACGAGTCGTCGTTGCGCCAAGGGGTCCCTCAAAAACCCTACACCTTCTTGGATGAGAAAGCAAGGTAAGAGATCTTTCATAGGGACATAGGAAGCTGACAGCCCAGTGCATGAAGTGGTCATTCTGGTCCACTGTTATCTAGCTGTTGGTGCTCCAGGTTCACAGGAGAAAACCTTGTTCCCAGCCCTGCACCTAAATATGTCAGGGTCTGAACCTGAGACCTTCTCCTAGATAGTGTGCAAAGCAGCACAGAATGCCTCCCTCTAGTCCATTTCTGGACCAGGAATTTCTCAGCATTGGGTGCAGCAACCGACCTTCTCTGATCCTGGATGTAACCAAGGGCTCTCATGTTGTAGCCATAGCATTAGCAGCCTCCCTTGCCCCTGTCCAGTGCCTCCAAAGTATCTTCAGAGATTTAGACCCCACACCAGAAACCCTCCTTCTCCTCTGTGCCCAAGCGATGCTAAACCCCCTTCCATTCCCTTGTGGTACATTTCAGTCATGCACTTGACTCTCCGACTCTCATCTCCACAGGCCCAATCACACAACCATGTTTATTGCATGAAAATGGCAAGAATCGTATGGCAACTGTTTCATTTCAACTAAGCCGACGGAGATTAAACTTGTCAAACAAATTCAAGAGCTCTTTCTACGCATTATGCAGTTTAAAGTAGTAGACCAAAGTGGTAGAATTCTGGATAGCACTACTTCATACTGCTGTGGCTGGGCAACACATATCTTTGAATGTTCCCTCCAATGCTTTTAAAAAACCTTATATGTACTAAACTAGCTTGTCAGAAACATTTAGTTATAAACTCTCTTCTTAATGTGCTTGCTTACTACATGCAATGAACTTGTTACAAGATGGAGCATTCAAAAATGTGACACCTTCGCGGCTGTGATCTGTAGTGGTACTGTCCAAAACTGTACTATCACAGTCTTATAGTCTCACTCTGTAAAGCAGATGGGGAACCTCCAGCCCACAGGCCAATCTTGGCCCACTCTGTCTTAGCCAATCCTGGGTAATTTAGCCATGTGAAAACTGTTGTCATATCCATTGAACTCTGTGGTTACATGTGCAGTGCTGTGTAACAGAAGCTATGTACACTGTGCCTTAGCTTTTGTTAGGCAGGCCTAGCAAGCATCCAGACATGCACTTGGCATGCTCCATGTATATATGTGCAGGGGCCGGTTTGGAGTGATTCGGGAATGTAAAGAGAATGCCACGGGCAAGCGATTCATGGCCAAGATTGTGCCCTATGAAACAGAAGGCAAGCAGAGCGTCCTGCAGGAATACGAGATCCTAAAGGGCCTACACCACGATCGCATCATGACTCTGCACGAAGCATACATCACCCCCCGCTATCTGGTGCTGATAGCTGAACACTGCCCCGGGAAGGAGATCCTCTACCACTTTGTTGACAGGTTTGTTGGGGGGTAGGTTGGGAGGCAGGAGGGGGTTAGGGGTGGGACTCCAGGATGTTAAGAGGAGAAGCTCTGTGTCTGAGGGTCCACAGAGGGGTTTGGCTAACTAGCAAGGTAACAGAGAGTTGCAAACATAAAAACCAGGACGAGACAGAAGTGTTGGTCTAGTCACATGCAATGGGAGCATGAATCAGTTTGTGGGCCTGAATCAGTTTTAGTTGACCAGAAAATCCATGGCAGAGGTGATAACTTGGCAATTGAAGAGGGCAAACTGTGCCACTGAGTCAGAATAGTAGAGCTGAAGGGAAATAAAAGTAACACAGTCCAGATACCTCCACTCGACCCAAACATTTGAACCTATTCCTTGTCATCTTCTGCTTTATAATGTGGAACAGCAAGAGACAAGTAAATTATGCTATGCTTTAAGACACTGTAGGACACCTTTAGTAAAATACATCTAGATGGTTCAAGGAAGGGCCTGGCTTGAATGAAGAGTAGTTAGTGACTGAGGACCACATTATACAGAGGAATTTTTTTCCTGCAATCTTACTTCTGTGAATATGTAAAAGATAAACGGATATAAACCTTTCCTGCGCTTTGATGTTATGAGATTGACATGAGCGGATTCCTGTGAATGTGCAACTTGATGGGTTTACAGTCATTAGTTGTTAACCCTTGCCTCTCCTATTCCTCTTGTGGCTGAAATGCATAGTATATGTTCCTTGAGGCAAAGACCTTTTTTGTTGTTGCTTTGCATAAGAAAAGGGGTGAGGGATTCATTGTCCTCCAGATGCTGTTGAATTCTGCCTCTCATCAGCACAGCCAATGGCTGAGTTGGTGAGAGTTGGGAATCCCAAAAACATCTAGAGGGCCACTGATTCCCCACCCCTGCTACAAAGCATCATGTCGATTGATGGCACTGCCATCATGATCATATACTGGCAGCAACCTCAGATCTCTGAGTGCCAGTCCTCATGTAGCCAAAACAGTGCCACCCATGAACAAAAGGCTCAGGGAAGCCCCAAGGTTTGCAAAAGTACAAAACATTTGTGGGGGTGGGGAGACCTAAACAGCCCAATAAGAACTGAATGTGCTCAGTGGGCATAGAATGCAGACCGATGGGTAGAAATGGAATGCAGTATGCTGACAGGAGATACTGTATTTTGTCACGTCCCACATGTATAAATAGTAGTATACTAATTAGTAGTATATCATGATAATAATGATAATAACAAATTATTATTATTATTATTATTATTATTATTATTATTATTATTATTATCATCGGATCATAAGTGGCTTTCTGTTGTGCAACTGATACTCCTTGCAACACTTTTAAGTGGAATTTCTTTTTTCAGAAGAGTCTGTATAGAGCACAGGTTTCCAGAGCCTCTTATTTTAATTTTAGTGCATTTGGCAGCCAAAATGTCTATGTCTCTGTCCTGGATATAGCACTGTTCAATATTATGACTAATGACTTCAGTAAAACATTAGATTTTGCTGATGATACAGAACCAGAGTGGGTGGGGGAAGGAATTGCAAAATGTTTAGGCTATGATTCAAATCAGAAAGATCACAATCAGTTGGAGCATTGGGTGGGCTGGGGGTAAAACACCCAAACCCAACAAATGGATAAAACACAGGACAGAAAACCCCAAGTGGACACAAGACAACTAGAGGTAACTGCTGCCTATTTCCCTAAAGGGTTGAGGGGCTGCCTCGCCCCTATGTTTCAGACTCCATGTGATTCTTCAAACCCTGCTGTGGTTCCAGCAACCTGATAGCCCTCTCCTCCTCCATGAATTTGTCTCATCCTCTTTTCAAGCCATCCAACTTGGTGGCCTTCACTGCCTCCTGTGAGAGCAAGCACCATAGCTTGGCTGGTGCTGCGTGAAGAAGTACTTGGTTTTGTCTGTCCTGAATGTTCCAACATTCAGCTTCAGCAGATGTTGACGAGCTCTAGCATTATAAGAAAAGGAATATGGTGGTGGTATTTAGTCACGAAAAGTGGAATCTACAGCAACATGTTGCAGTGTGGAGTGCTTCTGTTCAGTCAGCCCCTCGTGCCTTTGTTCCATTTTCCATTCCACCCATTTCTCTGATGTTCCTCCAGCCATCGGTCAAAATTCCATGGCTGCTAAGTCTGCTTAATCCTCCCTGGGATGTCCTTTGGGGCGTTCCTGTCCTGTCCCTGTCCTCCCTCCTGTGTGAGGACAGTGCTATTTTGATTGCACGTGCAAAGCCTAAGCAGCAGGAACAAAGGAAATTGCAAAGTAATCTAGAGCAGAAACAGGGTGGTGGTGAAGTGACTGAAAGTAAAAATGAAAATAAGAAAATAAGAAACTAACATATTGATCAGCTCTTGACCATTTAATGTCCCCCGTTGTCACACAGCAACACACAAGGATGAGGTTGGGGTGGGGTTAAAATTTTAACTTCCAACCACTGTCAGCAAAAGACATCATAGGTGGGCTTTGAATGGGATTGTACAGACAGGGAAAAGTTTTTAAAGAAAAGATCAGTTCAACAAATGTATAAAACAGAAACAAAAATAGATGTATAAGCTGTTTTTTAAAAAAAATAAAATATAATCATGGGTTTGCACTGTGTATAACATAAACTCACCAGTGTGCTTATTTAGGAGTAATGGTACCATATTGTTGTTTAATTGTACCAGTACAAGTGTAAGTGCAAGGGAAGGGTTCTTGTGTCCTTCGCTCTATCCTTTCGATGACATGCTTTACTCTACAGGTTCCGTTACTCAGAGGATGATGTGGTGGGGTACGTAACACAGATCCTCCAAGGACTAGAATATCTGCATGGACGGCGCATCATTCATCTTGACCTGAAGCCTGATAACATCATTGTCAGCCCCACAAACACATTAAAAATTATTGACTTTGGCAGTGCCCAGACCTACAACCCACTGGTGTTGCGCCAGCTGGGGCGTCGTGTTGGCACACTGGAGTACATGGGTGAGTATCTTTATGGAATTGGCATACCAGAAGATTGGGTAGGGGAGGATGTGCGTGAGATTTTGTGGGCAAAACAAACTGCTTGTGGAGTAAGTTTGCCATGGAATGAACATACGTGGTACCTATAGGCCGAGCTATACATGTGGCTAATGGGTTGAAGTTGCATACCATTTAATTGACAAAGGGACTAGCATCAAAGAGTGGAGATGGCAGAAATGGGGGGATTCCTCCCTCCCCAGAATGTTAAGTTCTTGGTTTCGTAGGCTACTCTTTTGCAGGACTCACACTAGGAGATGAGGACAGAACTTTAAATCATAGAGTTGGAAGGGACCCTCAGTATCATCTGGTCCAACCCCCTGCAATGCAGGAATATGCAGCTGTCCCATACAGGAATCGACCTGCAACCTTGGCATTATCATCACCATGCTGTAGCCAACTGAGCTTTCCCCAGACACTTTACTGTTAGGTTTGTGTTTGTGTGTGTGTGTGTGTGTGTGTGTGTGAGAGAGAGAGAGAGAGAGAGAGAGAGAGAGAGAGAGAGAGATTTGCTGCTCCAGGCTTAGAGCTGTTTACTTTACACAGTTTTGTTCACCTCCCAGGCTAGACCACAGATGATTCACTTGCATCTTAACCATAGAGTGGCAGAGGATCAATCAGCTTAATCCAGTGGGTCTCACCAGCACAACAAACAGAAGCCCCTCTGGGCTCATTATGGCAATTTATTTATTTATTTTTGTATAAGATTTATTGCCCACCATTCACCATAAGGTCCCAGGAAAGCTTATAAAAATATAATCATACAATTATAAAAGCAAGTAAGGCAGTTTATACAACTATTAAAAAAACACAAGTAAAACCAGCAGTGAGGTGGCATGGAGGGGCAGAGACACCTACCTGACTTTCTGGCATGTGATCCACTGCCGTTTACCAGGAGAGAAAAGGGGGATGGGAGGGACACTGGCATGGTGCAAACACACCAACTCCCAAATTTGCAGCCAGCTCACCTCTCCAAATAAGCAGTAGTGACTGACCTATCAGGAGGTCAGGTATACACTTCCCCCCACCCCACTGTCCACCCCTGAGTAAAAGAGTTCCAAATAAAAGCAGCACAGTATAGGTTAAACAAAAAAACCTTTAACTGTCAAAGGCCAGGGTAAAGTGGTGCAGCTTCTATGCAGGGAAAGATATGACCCTTCACTGTTTACTTTGCAGCTCCAGAAATGGTGAAGGGGGATCCCATTGGTTCGGCAGCTGACATCTGGGGCTTGGGAGTCCTCATATACATCATGTAAGTATGGCTGAAGAGGACGAATGTGGGAATCTGACAAGCAGGGGAGAAGAGGTGGAATTAGAAATGGATGTCCAGAGCCTTCTTTTCTGACTCACCTGACCAGATTCACTTAAAGGACAGGATTATCCTAGACTCCTGCCTGCAGTCATATATCTCTGATGCACCATAAAAACTTATCCATAAAAACTTCAGATCGGTACCTCTGATCGGTATCGTGGAGGTGCTGTTCCTCCCTTGCAGCTGGGAGTGCTGGTTTGATGGACGAGTGATATTGTGCATGTGTGTGCCCTGCACTTTTATCTTCTATTTTGCTTGTCAGGCTCAGCGGACGCTCCCCATTCTTTGAGACGGATCCCTTGGAAGTAGAGAGCAGGATCCTGGCAGGGCGTTATGATGCCTTCAAGTTGTACCCCAACGTCTCCCAGAGTGCTGCACTCTTCATCCGCAAGGTTCTCTCTGCCCATCCATGGTGAGTGAAAGGAGTGAAAGGCCTTGGAGGCAACGCCATGGGATGGGTGGCGAGGAAAAGTTGCCTTCGTAAAGAGCAGTGGAACAGACAGATCTAGAATCTGGGGGAGCTTCAAGGCAAGACTCAGATTACTGAGGTTTCTCTCTCTGGTGGCATTTGGGCCATGGGAATGGTGCTATGGCCATAGCCCCTGTGTCAAAAAAGCAGGTACTGCTTAGTCTTGGATTAGTCTGGAGTTCAGTAATAAAGTCCTGAGAGCTAAATGAGCTGCTGAGGTTGAGAATTCCTGAGCAGATCTTTCCAGCAGTAGCAGAATGCAGTCTGAGTCCAGCATCCCTGAGATCACCATCACCCTTCATGTTTAAAGTGTTTGTACCAGGGATGGGGAACATCTGGCCCTATAAATGTCCTTTGACTCCCATCAGCCCTAGCCTAAATGGCCAGTGGTCAGGGATGGTGGGAGTTGCAGTCCCTCTGGACTAACAATACTAGGACCTGTAATTCCAAACCATGCAACCCTAGGCATGTGTGCCTGGAAGTAAATTCCACTGTGCTCAACATGGTGTACTCCCAGGTACTCCTGGTGAGTGAGAATGGGCTGTTCTAGGAGATGAGAGTCCTGAGCTATATCCTCAGTCCCCAACTTTTCTGCTACAAATGTTTGGGGAAGGACTGTTGCCCAGTGATGGAGCTTGTGATTATGTTCTGCATGCAAAAACCATGGCTTAAGGAAATATAGCTTCCTTGGCTTAAGGAAATATAGCTACAAAAGGGAGAATTCCTGGTTGTCAAGATCCAGGTTTGAGGCAAGTAAGAGAACCCCAGCAGAGATTTAAAATCACAAAACACGCAGCAAATTAAGGCGTGCCAAGATAGGCTGTTAGACCTTTAAAATGTGCATCCTTTAAAGTGAGTTCCAAAGTTTCCCTCTTCCCCTAACATAGAAAAAGACCACATTTGGTATGTTAAAAATGGTTTACATATAAACTCTTCAACAGTCAGATTCATGTGCTTTAGAAAACTGCACAGGCAGCAAAACTTGGCTTAGTTACAGTGGTGATGGTTCCTAAATTATTGGTATAGGTAGAAGTCAAGAGTGGCTTGTGAGAGCCATTCAGCTAAGCTGGAGCAACCAGGTTAGCCTCTTCTCAGGTGGACCGAAGGAGAACAAAGGCTTGAATGCCCAGTTCCTCCCAAGGTGAGCTAAGCCTGGCAGGACAGCTTACTCTATGATCTTAACCCTTTAAGGCATTAATTAGACTTAAGAACATTGCCTATATGAGGCTGGTTAGCCCGCAAAAACTCCTAGGTTCAGTCATCTGAGTGTCCAGGTAGGGCTGGGAAGGGCTGCTGCTCCTGAGCTAGATGAAGCAATGGCCCAGCTCGGGATAAGGCAGCTTCCTGTATGTTGTCCACAGCTCATTCCTCCAGTCATGTTCCTACTTCCTCCTTGTTCTTCTGGGTCTGGGGAGGGGAAAGGCAGCCTCATCCTAATATCCCTTGGCCTTGCAGGAGCCGCCCAGCTCTCAAGGACTGCTTTGCCAACCCGTGGCTCCAGGACGCCTACCTGATGAAGCTGCGTCGGCAGACCCTCACCTTCACCACCAGCCGCCTGAAAGAGTTCTTGGTGGAGCACCAGCGGCAGCGCAACGAGGTGGCCACCAAGCACAAGGTCTTACTGCGCTCCTACCATGGCGCCAGCAGCCACATGCCCTAGCCGCCTGCCCTGCCGGAGGAGCCACAGAACATTCCAGCAGGGGGCGTGATGGGCCAAGTACCCACCCAGCCAGCCAGGGTGGGACTTGTTGATATACCTCATGGATCAAGAAGAGTCGTCAGCACTGGCCGCTGTTCTTTGCTCTACCTACCAGTCCTGGAGGTAGCCTGGCCCAGAGAGAGGGAGCCTGGGGGCCGAAAATGGCAGATTGACAAGATTCGCTGGGGTTGGGTTCAGGGAGGTATGAAGCACTGTGGGCCATGAAGCCATGCTGTTCCCAGGCCAAGGTCAAGGGGGGAGGAAAAAGCCTTGACGTTTCCTTGTCTAAATAAACTCCTCCTCCCCGTGGGGATGCCAAGGGCCCTTCCTGTATTGTGCCTCAAGGGCTGCGTCTGTACCCTGCGTAGGTCAGGTGCAACCAAGCGCTCCCATTGACTTAACAGCAGATGCAAAACATGCCGGCTGCAGCCACTGAGCAATGGGGCATCTCTTCCTTACATGCCAGGCTGAGCTGGGAAGATGACAATGAAGGATCAACCCGGAAGTACTGCAGATAAGGCATTTCAGCAATGGAAAACTCCAACCCCCCACCTGTGCAGCCAACATATGCAGTATAGGGAGTATAATGGATGTTTCTGGCCCCCAAGGCAGGGGCTGGGAGGGAAGGTGCACATTAAATCCACAGCACCCCTACACTTAAGACAGCAGCTAATAACAAAGACTGCTGGAGTCAAGGGCTGATGTTACTTTCCCTGGGGTTCCTCTCCACTCAGCTCTGCTTGGGTATCCAGAAGAAGCCAATCATGTGAGGCACCCACCAGTTTTCCCCTGTTTACATACCTACCATCCCACAATGCCTCTTCTTTGCTGCTGCCTTCCTTGTGTTTTTCTGACACGGATACACGCAGCCCAGTCCTACCTTAAGCTTCAGAACCAGTGCAGAAGATAGATGCCTTCTCTCCCTGCATGCCTTTCTGAATCAAGGACATGCTTCAGATACACCACCCCCTCATACATTTGCCTACATGAACCCGCCTCTCTTCCAGTGCTCTTTTGCCATAGCCCCTTCTGGCACCTACAGAACACTCACAATGGCACAGAGACAGGCAGAGGTCCTCCAAACAGGCACCTTCTCCTTTTGCAGTCAGGCACACATGTGACCTTACATGGCCTCTGGTGGTGGGTGGGTTGAAGAGGACAACAGGGTGGGTTCTAAGTCCTGGGATGGGGGTAGTGGCCGTTTGTTTCTCTGCTCTTGACCTGTGTAGTGTCCATAGCAAACCAGACCTGACATACCCCACTGAGAATGGTGGAGGCCATTTTGAAACTGAGTCTACAAGTTTTCACAGCTGCGCCTTAGGGCAACCCAGGAGGGACAAACCTGGATTTTGTATGGGTAGGGAATGAAGAGAATGTACCATTGGCGCAGAGTTGAAAGCAGACCTACCAAATGAAGCAGACCTACCTAACCACCCCCACCTTGGCTGTGTGAATCCATGACCATGGTTCCCCATCTCAGTCTTTTCACCCCATGCCCCAGTGTGTTTTGATTGTGAAGATGCTCGTTTCCCTGTGGCATGGAGCAAGCAAAGCAAACCAGGACTGCTTCCAGATGGGTGGCTTCCTAGCGCTAATAAATCATTGCTCTTCCACTGTAAGGTACAAGAGGAATTGCACACTATCAGGGATATTGCACTTTTCTGTATGTTCATCCTGCTATGTTCCATCCACACCAGTGGGTGTGACAGAGCTCCTGGGTGGGGGAGGGGGAGGAAAGATCTAATTCACCTAAGTGGCCATTTGAAGAAGAAACCTGAGTGATTCTTAAAAAAATAAAATAAAAATCAGTTATTTATTTAGCGCTAAGCACTTCTTCATTAAAGTGTGATCGCCCATGATTGCTATGAAAGTGTTTCATGTTTGTTTTGAACCAGAAGTGAAGATTGGAAGTGTATAATTAGGGCGGAAAGCACATTGCTAAAATGGTGGTGACTAGAAATATTTTCCCCCTTTTATTTTTAAAATTAGTGTTACAGCACTGTAGCACTCTTTAAGAAGCATGCCAATATTCACATCCCTATCCTAATACCCCAACAAACCAATAATGTTAACAATACTTACAACATTGTTTAAAAACCTTATGCCCAAAACAAGTGCCACAACGGCGCTTGACACCGTCTCACTGACCCACCCCTATTGCAAGTGAAAGGGAAGACGGCCTGTTTTCAAAGAAGGAGCTCCATGCCAGCTGAGACGCAGGACCAACTGGCTGGGAGCCAAATGGTCCAAGCAACCCCAAACACCTATGTAACTGCATGTAGGCTGCTTTCTATAACCTACCCACCAGTCTTCAGCCCACCCCTAACTCTAACCCCACCCACCACACTATATGTCACCACAACACACTAGGTTCAATGGACAATATAAGGTGAGAGACAGGACAACCCAGACGGGTTGACAGGGAATCATCCTAAAAAATAAACATACCAAATGGCTAGCTTAAAAGCAATTACACTAAATGTGAGGGGATTGGAAACCCTGTTAAAAGAAAATGCATCACCTCGTATGTAAACACCATGAAACCACACAATACCTTCCTACAGGAAATACACAACCCCCACCCAAAGGAAGCAAACTCCTGAGCAAATCCCACTTCAGTCATGGGTGGCACCTCACTCAGGAAAGGCCCACAGAATAGCCATAATACTTAGTAGAGACCTAAATTTCCAAGTCACAACAGTGCTAAAAGACAAAAAAGGCAGATTCATTTTTGCTAAAGGGGTACTAGATGGCAAAACTAAACTTGACAATTGGCTCCATATATGCCCCAAACACAAAACAACTGGAGTTCAAACAGAAAACACTAAACAAATTCCTCTCCTCCTCTGAAGGGGAAGCAATCCAAGGAGGTGACCTCAACCTAAATATGAGAGGCACCTTCCTAAAGGACATCCATCCTACAACCCCCTGGGCAACCTAGTCTCACCGCCAGTCACATCAAAGTGAGAGACAACCTTGCTGCCACTAAGGTTGTGGGAGTGTGTACACATCCTAAGACATGCCTTGTTCCACGTTACAATTTATATTTTAATGTCTGGCGCTGAGCAGACAAGCTTCAAGCCTGCAACACAAAACACACACTTTGCATCTGATCTAGTACTTACCAGAAGCCATATTTTAAAATAAACAAGGAGTGAAGGGATATCAATCATCTGAGTTGAAGCATCAGCAAAGCGCTGCTTAACCTTAATGCCCTCCTCCCCAGCATGGGCAGCAAGAGAAGCATTAACAATTCTCTCCTGAAGCACTTCAGCAGTGCTCAGCTTTGTAAGGGGCTTTCCCAAAGCCTTCCTTCTTAGCTGTTCACAGGGGAGTGGGAGTAGATCATAGCTGTCAAGTGTCCCTTATTTGAAGGGACAGTCCCTTATTCCAGCGCCATGTCCCGCTGCTGTCCCTTATTGATAGATGTCCCTTAAATGTCCCTTAAATGATGTCCCTTAAATTTCAAAGGAAGCAGCTCCTCTCCCTCCCTCCCTGCCGGCCAGGGAGGAGGGAGGCTCCACCTGTGTTGCTTGGCTGTGTTGCTCACCCAATAAGAAGTCTAAGAACGACTGGGGGGTGGAGCTTGCATGCCTTGTGTGTGGCTAGTTAATGTAAGCTGAGGGGTTTTTTGAATGCTGGACGCCACTTTGTTGCTCGTGCTGCTGCAAACTTTGCAGTGCAAAGCCAGGCTGGGGAGCCATCTTAAGTTGAGGCTGCATAGGCCTTGTGGTGCATGTGATTCAGATTCTATTCAGTTGAACCTCTGGTTACAAAGTTGGTTGGACAGTGTTCTCGAAGCTACCAGCATGAGTTTGACCAGACTGCTGGAGGACAGGAAGACTGGAGTGCCAGGAACAGGTGAGGCTGCAGGTCCCTTATTTTGGCTGCTGGTCCCTTATTTTCAAGGCTGCTGGTCCCTTATTTTCAAATCTGTAAGTTGACAGCTATGGAGTAGATAAAGAGCCCCTTCTCCTTTTCTTTGGAGAAAGGTGTGTGTGTGTAAATATATAAAAAAGCCTCAACCCTCACCCAGTTAATTAGCTCCACTCCTTTTTCTAAAGAAAAGGAGAAGGCTCTCTCTCCCTCTCTCCCTCCCTCCCTCCCAGATATTGCCGGACTACAACTCCCATCACTCCTGACCAATTGGCCTCCAGCTCCCACATCCAACAACAACAATATGAGGGGCGCCATTTTCACCACCTATCCCTGACACATCTGTCTGCAGCGTCTACTTTTCCTGAAACTGCCGCTAGAAATTCAGCATAAACCTCAGATGGGGATAGAAAGATTCCTGACTGAATAGGCACTGCCCTAAAAGATAGATAAAGTCCCCTCCCTGGCAAAGGGGGGGGGGGGAATCGACGCCTTCAGTTTTCACTGAGTGACTCACCGGTGCTAGAGTCAGGGATGGCTGTACTAGTAGGCCGAGCGAAACTTCCTCCCAGGCAGCTGATTCAGAGTTTGCTGAAAGGGCAGCACATTTGTAAGTTATTTAATTCATTATTGCATTTATTTATTTTTTATTGCTAGGGAAGCAGGGAGGTGTAGGTCTGGAAAAGACTCCTGCCTGAAACCCTGGAAAGCCATAACCGCTGCTGGTCAACACAGAGAATCCTGAGTTACATAGGCTGACCAGTGGTCTGACTCTGTATAAGGCAGCTTCCTGGGTTCTGTTGTAATTTATGTTGCAGTACTGAGGTCAGAACTGCTTGCTTGTTTCCTCGCAACAACGTGTGTGTGTGTGTGTGTGTGCGAAAGAGAGAGAGAGAGAGAGAGAGAGAGAGAGAGAAACCCCAAACTACTGGGATAAGAAATTGGAGATACTTCTCCCAAGCCCAGGTTGCTGCTGTTAGAACATTCTCTCACATTCCGGGATGGATGCCATTCTGGAAACTGTAGTGCACTTGACACCTCACTAACTCCCCAGAGACACTCGAGCTACTACTGTACGTCCTTCAGGTTTCTCTTTTAAACCAGACATCATACTAGCGAGTACCAAAGAAGCTATGCAGAAGCTGTGAGACTAGAATACAAGTCCTAAAGCATAATCCAAATTCTTTTATCAGGTTAAACGTGAAGGAAAATGCATAATCAATCAGATATTGTAGCCAATCGGCAGTCCAGAGACGTGGCCATGCGAGTCTGTTGCAGTCTTGTGGCACCTTAAAGACTATCACTTTATGGCATTGGCCTGCTGTAGAGAACCTCATGTCTGGGGGTTGAATGCAATCCTTCAGGTCTCCCTATCTGCCCCTCCTCAGGCCACTCCCCTTAGGCCACTCACCTCATCTTTCTTGTCTGGCTGGAATGTGTCCTTGAACTCTGACCATGCCTCTTGACAATGGATGGTCTTTCCCTGGTTACTCATCCTCCATTTTATCATTTTACTGATAAGAAATACATTGGAAAACAAAAAGAAACAACTCCTAGCAGTGCTTGAGTTATGCACAGATCATAGTTGGGGCCCTGACCTGGACTCTGTACCCCACTTATTGATGGCGCTACGTAAATAAGAAATGTGGCATCATCAACAACAACAATAATAATAATAGTAATAATAACTGAGCAGAATATTTGGGTTTATACAACTGTGCTCCTGCTCTGGATAATCCACATTCAACCTACTTTCCCTATCAGGACAACTGGGCTGTGGTTCAAAGCACATCCATCTTTGGCAGCCAATTGTACAATTGAAATAAACAGAAGTAGCTGCACAGAAGTGGTATGGAAGAAGCTTTCCCAGGCTTGAAACCAGGCAACAGAGGAGATCTGCTATTGCTGCAGCTCTATAGCAGAAGTTAAATAAATCCTAAACTCCAAAGCAAGGCAGCAGTGTTCAGAAAAACGCAATGTGGAAAACATGCTATGATGATGGAACCCTTTCTAAGAATCTTGAAATAAACAGGGTTTGGTTTTTTTAAAAAAAGATTTAATTAAAGATCAGATCTAATCAGGACATAATATACCGTAACCCATGTTAACAAGGAAATTAAACATTTTAAAAAGAAGCTACAGGGAGGATCAATATCTACAACAAGGGAAACAGATTTCCTGTCTTGCACGTCAAACTAGTATTTTAATAAACTAAAATTTTAATAAACTAACGTTTTAATAGCATTGGGACTTTCCGTGGTGTAGTGATAAATTCTGCAGGAGCTCTTCATGATAACCACCATAGCCACATCTCTTCAAGATTATACAACAAAAATGAATAATTGGCCAAAGCAGACATAGAATCATAGAGTTGGAAGGGACCACAAGGGTCATCTAGTTCAACCCCCTGCAATGCAGGAATCTTTTGCCCAACGTGGGGCTCCAACACACGACCCTGAGATTAAGAGTCTCATGCTCTACCAACTGATAATGGTTGCAATACCAAGTCTGCCTTTTCTCCTCCTATCCCCCCCACAAAAAAACCTACTTTTGCTCAATGTCTAGCTTGAAGAGGAGTTCTTCTGGTGGACTCAAAAGCTAGCTCACTATTTTGTGTCCTTTCGATAGCATAGTAAAGGGAATCATCTATTTCCCCACCAAAATCGAAATGGCTTTTTAACCCTCAGTCATGCATGCTAATCAGTGTGACCCACCTCTTTCTCTGCTCAGCTCATTTGGTGGGTTTCTCTTGGAATGGGAAAAGCTTATTTATTTGGCACACAAAGGACTGGCAAATAGAGCCTGCGTATGGATCAGAGCCCCAGGAGGTGACATCATTGTCCCTGCTGCGAAACAAGTGGGGAGCAATTCCTGGGGACGTTATTATTTTATTGGTTGAAAAAATAATAGCCAGTGCCACCTTTTAATTTAAATTAATAGCATATCCTACCTTTCCATTCAGAAATGAAACGAAGATGGATAACAAGGCTAATCAGCATTCTGTCTACTCCTGAGCATGTCAGTGCAGTTAAACTGCTTCAGGACCTCATGGTCAAATGGGCCTATTTGGAATGTGGATTGAATAAATCCATAAAGATTTCTGTACAGTAGAGTTGGCCAGCATTCTGGGGCCTGTGGACACATTTGCAAGCTGGAGAAGGTGAATGATATGTTTAAATTGAAATGTACTATGTAAAACTTAATAAAAAAATATTTATATAAAAGAAGAAAAGGAAGTGTCTTGGGCACCACACGCACACACACCACAACCAAGACAATGGAAAGCTTCAGTGGGGAGGAGGATCCTGCAGTGCCATGGAAGGCCTCTGTGGGCACCTTTGTGTTGGCAAGCACCACACTGGCATCTCCTGCTGTACTGTACAGTCACATAACTGCATCAGCACAACCAGGGCTTCCAAGTTGTCCTTGGCCTTGATCCTAGGCCAGTAACTACCACCAGAAATGCAGAAATCAAGCAGGTGACTTCCCCCCATTATTCTCTTTTCACAGACCCCCTTTTCTTCTCTTTAAAAAAGTGCTAAATATCTTCCATACTATGTAGGACAACTGCGTATCAGAGGTATAGGTACATCCGTTTCACCAAAAAGCAAGCGAATCCAGGGGCATTTTAAGGATTAAGAGCTTTATTTTGGCATAAGCTTTCATGGACTATAGTCCATTTCATCAAAAAGTGATAGTCATGCCTGAGGTAAAACGCTTTGCTGGAGAATTCCACAGGAGATATTGGGGAGTGTGTTCACCAACAACGGACATAACTGCTTTTGATGGATGCTCCTATTTTTCTGTGTGAATCCATATGTAGTCTGCTTAATTTCACTCATTATATGATTTGGAGATGTGTGCAGCATTAGGTGAACTACTGGCTGGTGTCATAGGGATGCGGGAGAATTTTGCTTCTGTTTGCATTTTAAGACAAACCTATTTAATTTGCATTTCCTGTAACAACGTGCAAAACAAAACACAGCCATCTTTCCCTGAACTTTGTGGTGAGGTTCTCCACCCAAAAGTGATGTACAAAAATGCCACGATTTAGGAGAAACTACCGTATTTTTCGCCCCATAGGACGCACCTAGTTTTTTTGGGGGGAAATAAAGAAAAAAAATTTATTTCCCCCCCAGGTGCGGGACTGGGGCGGGGGAAGCCCGAGCTTCCCCCGACCCCAGCACCCAGAACAGGCTGCTATCCCACGTAGAGCTAGCGGAGGGCTGCGCGAAGCCCGAAGCTTGGGGCGTGCTGAGCTCAGCGCGCCCCAAGCTTCTGGGTGCCGGCAAGCTCTCCGCTAGCCATGGGAGAGCTGCGTCTCCCACGGCTAGCGGATAGCTTCCTGAAGCCTGGAGCGAGAGGTCGGTGCGCACCGACCCTCACTCCAGGCTTCAGAAGCTCATTGCCCATAGACGCACACATTTCCCCTTCATTTTTGGAGGGGGAAAAGTGCGTCCTATAGGGCGGAAAATACGGTATATGCATATACTCAGGGATAGTGTAAAGAAAAATGCACACATTAGTGAAAATGACATATAAAAACACAATAGCGAAAAATTGTACGTTAAGCAAAATTGGAAATGAATCAGGCGTTAAAATGCCATTGGAGTTTTTGGGAGGGCAAATTCATGCACTAATACAGAAAACGTGGCAAACTGAATTTAAGATGGTGGAAATGAGGAACTGAGGGAAATTAAAACGGATAGATTTGTTCCTCCCTGGATGAGGGTGTTTCGAGTATACCAAAGGGGTTCATTGTGATGACTGTGGATGATCCACTCAAGCAGCTTGTCCTGACAATACAATATCCGCTCATCCAAGCAAAGCTCCAGCTCTTCCCAACTCTTGGGATATCCTCTGATCCTGTTGCTTGCTACTCCAAACTGTTCTCATCCCTTCCAGTCCTCCTAAGGCAGCGTGTGCGTTGGGAACAGCCCAGACAGCGGAGCCTCGCCCTGCCACTCTGTCTCTCAGCCAGAGGGCAGGAATGGTTGCAGCTGCTCCATCTGGGTCCCTCTGGGCTGTTCAATGTGATTACACAGCACCGGGCTGCAATCAGTGCAGCCCCAATTCTCACAGGTAGCTGGCAACAGGCTATATAAGGGAGCGCCCAGGATCCCCGTCTGGGCAGGGGGGACGCACCCCCCCCAGCCAAAGAAGGAGACGTCAGGGCAGGAATGCATCTGTGGGCATGGGCAGACCTGGCTTCTCCCCTGCAGAGATATAAATTTGGGTGGGATGAGGGGCCTGTGGCCTTTTCCAAGACAGCGGAGCTGCATTGGTGCTGTCTACGGTAAGAGAGCTCAACCTCATCAGCAGAGCAGGGGGCCCCTGAGAACTCATGCCCTGTCCCAGCCCTACCACATGCTCCAACAACACCCTACCTTGGGACATGCCTTGGGGATTGGGAGAGCTGCCTCTTAACTCTCCTTATCTGAGGCACTTTGATCCATAAAAGTCATGGATCAAAACAGAACGGCTCAGCTGCTCGCCAACTGGACAACCTCTTCCATGGCCCAGTTGGTAGAGCATGAGACTCTTAATCTCAGGGTCATGAGTTTGAGCCCCACCTTGGGCAAATATCCCTTCATTGCAGGGGTTGGACTAGATGACTGTCTCTTCCAACTCTACAGAGAGACTGGTCTCTTCCAACTCTACAGTTCTGTGATGCTATGACCCTCACCAGGGTGTGTCTAAAACTGGAGATATAATAATGAGGGTGTGGGGGCGAAAGCACAACTTTACTCTCATCCCACTTCAGTGGGTCTGGACTGATTTGCTCCAGAAGAGTGAAGATGACACTCACTGAAGTGTCTTTGCAGTTGGATACGTGGAGCAAGACAGCATGGGTCCTCTTGAGATGGTTGATGTGCGCCTCATGTTAGAGTGGTACTGGCGTTGGGTGGAAGCAGGAAGGAAGAGGGTTGGACTCTGTGCTATGTAGGAGCCTGTTTCTCTCCCTCTCTCCCCCGCCCCCAATATTGAACCTGCTACTCCTCCATCTCCCCACAGATGTCAAAAGCTGCACCCAAGAAACCAGCAGCAGGTGCTGCAGCCCCTCCCCCTGCAGGATTTTCCCTGGACATAAATGACCCTCAGGTGCAGAATGCTGCCATCCGCATCCAGGCTTCCTATCGTGGGCACAGGTGAGGGGGGTGGCAGGTGGGAGGATGGGACTGTTATCAGGGCTGGGCTGAAAATGCACCTCTTTTGTCCCTGCTTTTGACACCCAAGAGTGGGTCCACCCTGCTCTTCTGGTGGTAAATCATTTTAACTTGTTTTCATCTTGCATGTTCATATTGTTGCAACAAACCCTATGGTAAAGGATGGGTAAAAAAATCTAAGTATTATTATTATAGTAGTAGTAGTAGTAGTAGTAGTAGTAGTAGTGTCCAGTTGTGTTGAGAGCAGGAGAGCTTGTAGAACTGAACTTCAAGGCTGATTATGTCTCCAGTGGTATGTGGTATGGCTGTGCAGAGGGGCTCAGACCCATAACATCTCCACCCCATCTGCATACACTATTCACACTTCCTCTTGTTCTGCTGCTCACCCCCCCCCCCACTGCTGCTGGGTTCCCGCCAGATTGCCATTTGTTCCAATATATCACTTAAGAGCAGCTTTTCCACCAAAAAGGAGCAAGGCAAGCGGGAAACTTGGCACAGCACAAGTGGAAGGGTTAATGAGCCCTGACCTTGTTTGGTGGTAAAATCATCAGAGGGAGCTCCCTTGGTTGTTCCACTGTCCTCAGAAGTTCAAGGGGTGGTGGCCTGGAAGAGGACATTTTCCATGTGGGGCATCCCTAAATTTTGGAGTTCCCACTCTGCAGAGGTGTGCCCAGCACCTTCATCGCATTCTGAAAATACATCTCTTTACCTTGACCTTTGAATATTTATATATCTGTCTCTCTGTGCTTCTGACAACCCACCCTATTCTTGTGACTCTAATTTGTTTTAAACTGCTTTCAATATTGAGTTTTTAAATTGCTGTGGCTCATCCCTGGGCGCTGGGTAATAAATCAAATAAATAAGGCTTAAGAGTGTGCTCATGAAGACAAAGGGCAACCTGAGCAGTATTTTGAGAAGCTGTGGTGGTTCCAGAATATAGTTGTGCAGTGGAAGAGGGTGCAAGAGACGGCAGTCATGAAATGGATGAGGGAGAAGGGCAAAAACCAAGGAGGAGGTGAGCGAAGCAGCCAGAGACTTTGGGGAGGCAGCAGGTGATCTGGGAGAAGAGGCAACAGAGGACTGGCTTTAGGCATGTAGCAATGAGGGGAAAAACAAAACTCCAGCACATGTGAGAACTGCAGGTTTGTCCTCTGCCATTCTTATTACAGCCCAAAACATTGTCTGGAATTGGGAAGTTTGGCTGCATAAAGATTCCAAAACTTTCATGGGGAAGGGGAACTTTGGGGATGGAAAGAAGGTGGACGGATGCCTTGCTTCACTGGGATAGTTTCTCCTTTGCTCCATTTAACTAAAATACTTAAAATGTAGCACTCCTGGCAGCACACTTAGGGCTCACCCACACTTACCTTTTGCCCTCGCCTTTCTAGGCACATGTCCACATTTTAAAACGCCGCATGTGAGAGTTGTTGTGGCCCCCCCCTACTTTCCCCAGGAAAACTTGCTCTTTAATGCTGAATCGGAACAAACAGCACTTCAGAGTTTCTGTGGATTGCTGTTTGCTCCAATTTAGTGCTAAAGAGCAGGTTTTCACAGGGGAAGAACCACAGCAAAAAAGGCAGGGCTCAGATATGGAGGTTTAAAACACATACATGTGACTAGAAACATAGCACAAAAGGAAGTCTGGATGAGCCCTGACTCAGGTGGCCTCAAGACAGTCAGCATCTTGCAGGAAGGATTGAGGCACATACAGAAGTTTGCACAATGGCAGTGCTATGTTGCTGTAGCACAACATATCCACTTTTTAAAATAACTGTCTTTTGTGGTTAGGAAGTACACTGTAAAGTGTGGGCTTAATGTATCGTTAACAGAAAGACGCACACACTCCTCCAAAGTAAATCAGGATGAATGCCCATTGCCATAGAGCTACCGCCACAAACAAATCGCCTCAATGAAAATCAGGCATAAGCATTAGCACCTTCAAATGCAGTGAAGTCATTTCCCCTTGCTGCGTTTCAAGCCACTCCTGCACACTGCTGTACACACCAGAGAGTGTGCAGGGATGCCTTCACCTGATGTGCATCACCTCTTTGGTTTTCCTGCGTCTGCAACACACCCACCCTCCAGCGCCAAATTCTGATTCAATGAAGCAGTGGTCTGTGTGTGCCAATGGGTGTCTTGCATGTTGGTACCTCATCTTAACCTTGGCTTCTGCTTGCAAATCGGATGGAAAATGGTTTGAGGGAAGATGCATCCAACAGCAGAATTTCTCCAGAAACTACAGGATAGACATGAATTGTGGCTAACATCATGTGCTGAGGGCTTCAAACACCAGCAGTGGGAGCGCACTGGAGCCAGAGTAAATGGTAATGAGTACACAGCCATAGTCTAACCACCAGGTGATCTTTGTGCAAGAAAATCAGGTTCACACCTCAGCTCCTCCATTCAATCCAGTTTCTGAACTACTAGCAACCTCTTCATTGAGGATTCATTCGGATTTGGTTGCACAAAGTTTGTGAGCAGCTTATATGGCATTGGCTGTTTATTTAGCATTCATTTTGATTTGTTTGCCGGGAGGTTACATGATGACATGTCAAGGAATTGTTATCCCATGATTTCTAGTACGTTTTCTTGTCCCTTCCCCAACAATAATAATAATAACCTGGTTTTATTTTATTGGAAGCAGGTTTGTTGCACCAGAGAGCTAAATCCACATCAATTGCACAATCTGAATTTTCTGGCACGCAGTTGACTCTTGTGTGCAAAATAGCCACAGCCTTGGAAGCACCCAAATCTCCCACCACTCTTGCTCACCACTCTCATTTGCCTTGGAACTATTGGCACAAAAGTTTAAGGAGGTAACTCCAACATCAAAATATAAGCCAATGACTATGTTTTCCTCACTAATTTTACTTGTTTTTATCAATTCTGTGGAGCTGAGGAGAAGAGGGATTGAGTAAGAAGAATTCTGTTGGAAGGTCCCATTTTCCCAGTCAATCAGATTCTACCCATTTAGCCACAGAGCATTTACTATCATCATAATATTGTTGATTAATTAGCTGCAGCTTGATAACATGTGGTTCTGAGTGGTTGGCAGGCTGGTCGGTGCTTGGCTGCTCCTTCCAGGCTGCCCAGTTGTGTCACAGCTGGTGGCTGCTGCTGTTATCTCCTGCCGTTCTTCTGATCTCTGTCTGGTTTGTCCCTGGGTACCATTAGAGGCAGAGCACTTTGCCACCTCATTCATGGGGGAGAGGAGCTCCAAGAGGAGCCTTAAAGGCCTGCTGCTTAACCCCCTCCTCTCCACTACCAGGTCCCGCAAGGAAATGAAGGAGAAGGGCCCCCCACGGGTGCTGAAGAACCTCACGGACGTGATGCTGATCGAGGGGAGCGCAGCCAAGCTGGAGTGTCGCATCAGTGCCTTCCCCGACCCCTTCATCCGCTGGTCCAAAGATGGTGCGGAACTCAAGGACGGGCCCAAGTACCGCTATGTCTTTGAGGACCCAGACATCGTAGCCTTGGTGGTCCGTGACGCTGGCCTTCCTGACCTGGGCAAGTACACCATCTCCGTGAAGAACCCCTTCGGAGAGTGCTTCGACTCGGCACGTCTCCTCGTGGAAGGTAATACGGCCTGCCTCCCTTCCTTACATAGCCACACACCCCTTCTAAACTTAGCCACGCACATCCCCTGGGAAGCCAAGCCCTTCTTGCAAAGTTCCTCATTACGGGGAGATCTCAATTTGGCACATCTCAGGAGGGGAAGGTAATAGCACTCTCTGCTCTGCTCCTTCAAGTCATCGGCCCCCCCCATTCCCTGCCCATTTCTATTCATAGCCTTGTGTCTTGCGTAGAGAAAGCCAAGCCCCTTCTAACTTTAGCCATGCCTCTGCCAAGACGTAGCCTTCTTCCTCCCTTCTAGATCTCATCGTGGCCCTACCTAGCTATGATGCCACACCTGAAGGAAGAGAAGAAAGGCAGGGGGAACCCTCTGATGGCAACACAGGATAGTTTAGTCAGTCATCAGGAAAGGAGGCTAATCCCTGAGAGTTCGGCCCAAGAGGACAGTCTCCTTTCACAACACCTACTGCCTCTAGGCATGGGTTGGAAGGAGGAAACTGCAGAGTCTACATCCCTGCACAGTATACAAAAACCTGCATAACAAGAAATTGTTCTGACTCTCAACTTCTGTTCTACAGTGAACCTGGTACCTGGAGAGCTCCTTTGTAGGAATTTATTTACCTCGTTTCCCCAAGTATACCTATGGTGCAACAGGGTTTGCCAAGTAAATAACTGGAAGATATTCCGTGGCCATCAGACAGAAATTCTAGAACACCTGGAACAGGACACAGCACCATAACAAAACTCGCACCCCCAGCATTAGGTCCTCATGACCTAGCAGAGGATTCTGCCGCCCGTCCCCTTGGCAAAAGATGGCTAAGGAAGGGCCCTTCCTCTGATCTCACCTGCTCTCTCCCTCTGCAGTGCCTGCCAAGATTCAGAAGGGCCCAGACAGCACAAAAGCCAAGAAAGGCAGCACAGTCAACCTGACAGCCCACATCAGTGGGGAGCCCGCACCGGATGTTGGCTGGGCCAAGGATGGCGAGGATATTGAAGAGGACGATCGGTGAGTGAAATTCACCACTGGTGTAATAAGCTTCATAGCACCAACACTGCTTGGGCAGGTGGGCAGCAAGGGGAGCCCAAGAACCAGGTCCCCCACCCCTTTCTTTCCTGATCCCATAAAAACTACTCATTCGTGTTCAAATCAACAGGGCTGATGCAATAGCTTGAATTCTTGCATGGGGAACGCGATAACATAAGCTTTCCTTTTTGAAAGAAAGAAGGAAGCACGTAGTTCTTCTGGTTATTACAGAGGACCTTAATGTGTAAGAATCAAAGGACACGTGTGTTGAGTCAGGATAAGTGTGATTTCTTCATTTAACACAAGTCCTGTTGATTCCTATGTTCTCATTTGTATTGGACCAGGATGGAACTGACCTGGCAGAGCTAAAAGAATCAGGATCAGGGGCTTCCTTGCCTAGTAGTTAATGGGGAGGAAGTGAGAGAAAGATCAGCATCTGTAATTGCAGTCATTCTGAAATTCTTCAGTTTTGCAGCCCCTCAGCAACTTCCCCCCCACCCTGCAGCATTGGTACCATTCTCAAAGCCAGCACTGCATTTTAAAAACAGACTTTAGGTCAGGCCATCAAGAAAGGTGCTTTTAATTAGTATTTTGTTATGGGGACGGAATTAGTAGACTGTTCCAGTGCCATAATATGAAAATCATGGGCCTTGGGGTAGAGTCTTGTTTTTGATAAGTCCAGCCCAAGTTAAAACAGCCTTGACCTCCATTGTCAAAAATAAAATAAAATAAATCAAGTGCAAGGCCGTATTTTTGCTGGTTCTGCAGCCCAGTTTGTCAGCCTCGCCCAATGGAACTGATGGACTGCCAGTGGTCCATGGGTCAATTTAGCAGCTCCTGCTTTGTGTCCCAACACCAGCTGTCTCCAAGGGCCCTGACTTGAGATTTCCACCTTTCCCTTCCCTGCAGCATATACTATAACATCGGCAGTGACTCAACAACTCTCACCATCAAAAAGGTGTCGCCGGCGGATGCTGGGAAGTACGAGGTCTTTGTGGAGAACAGCCTGGGCATGGACCAGTCTTTTGCACGCCTTGATGTGATCTGAGCTCCTGCCTCCCCCTGCCTCCTGTACAGTTCCCCCCAAAAAAGAAACTCTCTGTCATTGCAAAGTATGGTCCAGGGCCATTGTCCTGGAGAGAAGGCTGGGGAAAGCAAATTAAGCCCTGCAATGGCGCTGTAGGGATATCCTGTCCTGTCCCCCCTAAGATGCAATAGGGAGTCCTTCTCTCATTGCCCCTTTGGCTCTCGCCAATGTCATTCTGCCATACCTTTCCTGGCAAGAATTCCCCACTGTGCCCCAGGGCTGAATCCATTTCTTGGGCAGGTGGGTCCCATCTCCTTGCAGGCTAATCACTTTGTGCAGCCATCGCTGAAATGCCTCCACTCCAAGGACGCAGAAGGGCTGTGCAGTCCTCCCATCGGCAGCACCCACTTTCCCCCGGGCACTTCAGAGATTGTGAACCATCCCAGAAGCCTCCAGATTCTTCCTGACCTGTTTTCTTGCTATATGAACTAAATAAAACCAGCTGGTTGTACAGAGGACTTGTGTGTGCTACATGCAATTTATCAGCAGGAAATTAAAATCCTGGGAATCTCATTTGTGTGCTGCAAAGGTGGGGTGTGGGAAGAGTTTCTAGCTTTTTTTCTTTCTCAGATAAAACCTAAAGTCAACAAGAGGGTTCTGTTGGTTCAGAGAATAGGTGCTCATCCTTTTGTCTGTGCCATGTTATCTAGGCACCGGTTTGTAATTTCTAGGTCTGGGTCTGAATGGGGTTTTAGTTTGTCCCATCACTTTCCCCAGGAAAACCAAGTTCAGTGGTGCCCCACAAGACGAATGCCTCGCAAGGCGAAAAACTCGCTAGACGGAAGGGTTTTGCGTTTTTTGAGTCGTTCCGCAAGACGAATTTCCCTATGGGCTTGCTTCGCAAGACGAAACGTCTTGCAAGTTCTTGCGAGTTTGTTTCCTTTTTCTTAAAGCCGCTAAGCCGTTAATAGCCGCTAAGCCGCTAATAGCCGTGCTTCGCAAGACGAAAAAACCGCAAGACGAAGAGACTCGCGGAACGGATTAATTTCGTCTTGTGAGGCACCACTGTTTACTGCTAAATCCAGCAATCCATGCAGTTTGCTCCAGTTCAGTGGTAAACAGAGGGATCAGACAAAAAAACCCCTGCTCCAACACAGGCCTAGAAATCACAGGCCTATGCCTTGAAAGCATAGCACAAATGGAAGTGCAGATGATTCCTAGGACTGCTGCAGACTAGAAGGCCCCGTGAGTCAAGCTGGTCCCCTAATGGGTCCTGCTAAAAAAAGAAATAATAATCTTACGTCTTCATTCTGGGTACCTGGCTGCACTGAACACAGTTAGGTCTCTCTCCTCTCACATTGTGTTTCCTGAAATGTAGTTCTTCTCAGTAAGTTCTGGAACCAGGACTTTGCCCTTATTCCCTTGGCAACACTGCCTCTTGCAGGCACTAAGGGGCACTGCAGGACCCCTTTCCCCTGCCCCACAAGCAAGCTGTTCTGGAGATATAAATAGTCCTTCCTGACCATATCAGGGATTGTTTGGGCTGCACAGCTGCTCATCTTATTCACATGACAACAGTACACAACGCTGTATGTCTATCTCTCACAAATGATGCCATGCCTGGCAGGGCTCAACACTAAAGCATGTTCTAGGGAATAGTAATGAAGAGTGCTTCTGGGTACGTGCAGAGTGCTTTCTACAAATGAGCATCTTGTAGTTGATCACAGTCCAGCAAGTGTAGTGGTAAATTTTGAAGTACAGCAGCTCGTCACAACGGCCTCCATAAGCAAGACATCCCAGGAAAAGTCAAAAAATGGCAGACAAATGTGTTGATCTTGATGGATTATTGTAACACAAACACCAATATAGAACATAATGCTAAAAGTTATTAGGATTAGAATGCAATTCTATGCAGAGTTTCCTGGGACTAAGCTCCATTGGATTCAGTAGTGCTTTCTTGCAACTGCACCGGTTCAGCTCGTAAAACCACAGAAAGCTTTAAGAAAAGATCCTCAATCAGTAGCCCTTCTTTTAATCAGAAGTGCAAATCATCCTACAAATAAGTAAGAAGCCACACTCACCTGCCCCGCACCCACCGTGTATGCCAGACCTGGCTTAAAATGTGCTTGTACCTTGCAAGCAAGGCAGGAATTTACACAAGCTCCAATAGGGTTGGCTGCCATTTGAGCTCCCAAGTGGAGTCGCTCTTTTCCGAAAAGGGGTTTTTGCAGGCTCTGCCGATTGGTGGCTAATCCTTGCACTACATTAATGGTGAGGGCTGACTGCACTTACTCAAATGGAGAGAGGAAGCCGTCTGCACATGCTCAGTAATCTGCATTCTCTCTAGAATCACTTCGCATGGTTCAAGCCTGCAATCTGAGAACTGATTCTTGGTTCCGCCCTCGAAGTGCCATCCCTTTTAGCCTGGGCAGGCAGAGCAGTTCTTCCTGCCCTGTTTTGCAAAAATAGGCTTGGGGCAGGATGCCGCAAAGTGAAGCACCGTACGAGTCCTGTTTGAGCAGGCCAGTGGCCCATCTGCTCTCAACCCGATGCCTGTGGAAAGAAGCCCGAAAGCAGGACTGCTCTTCTTGGGGCAGCGAAGAAGGACCAAAACCGCCCCACCCCAAACGCCCTAGCCTTCCCGGACAGCGAAAACAGCCAATCCAGGAGGATCCGCGTCAGCGCTGCCGGCCGGCTTCTCCCGCGGCGACGCGCCGACTGGATCGCTCAAGGCCCGCCCTGCGCGCGGCGGCGGACCCGGCCAGCGGTGACGTGGCATTCTCACGTGCTCGGAAGCAGAACTCGCCGAGGAGGGGACGCAGGATCGGCGCTGCGCACGGCAGCCTCTCTCGTCGCCATCCCTCGCGGGACGCCCTGCCTTCCAGTCTTGCGCGCCCCGCAGACGAAGAGGGCGATGCTGAAAGCCGTGGTCCTCATCGGCGGCCCCCAAAAAGGTGAGAGCCGCCAGCAATCCTAAAGCGGCCGGCCGAGCTTTGCTTCCCTCCCGCCCGGCGCACCTGCCCATCGGAGCAGACCCGCCGCCCCTCCCTTGCCCCACCTGCGGCGCCCATGGGGGTCAGGCGGAGGGACGTGGCCTCTGTCTCGAGGGGCGGGGGAGCCGAGTCTAAGGTCAGGGAGAGAAGTGGGGGGCAGGCTTTCCTCCTGGAAGCCGGTTCCCCACATGCTGTGGGTGTGCGAGAGGGAGTTGACTATGTCGTCAGACCTGGGAGACCTGTTATCGAATTTCCATGCAGCTCACTGGGTGACCTTGGTCCAGTCACTTGCTAACCTACCCCACAGGGTTGTTGTGAGGATAAAATGGAGAGGGAGGGAACCATGGATGCTGTCTTGATTTCCCTGGCGGAAAGGTGGGATAGTAACTCGGTGAGGGACTGACACCCTGTGTGTGTTCAGAAGCCTGCTTGTTCCTTATCCCTTCCTGTATGTGAAGGGTGAATTCTACCCTGCTCTCACATGAATATGCCTTCTCTGCCCCTCCTCTGGCCCACCTGGTGTCGCTCCCATTCCTCAGCCTTGGCTTCAGTCGTCTGCTGCTCTTCAGGAGCCTCAGAGTGACATTGGCTTCCCTTGTTCCTCTTCTGGTGGCAGCCATTCCTCTCAAGGCAGCCCACGATTTGTGTGCCTCCTGGCTCATTTGTGAATTTGGTGAGCGACAGCCTACAATTCTGTGGTAACCTTTTCTCTTGCAGGGACCCGCTTCCGGCCGTTGTCCTTTGAGGTGCCCAAGCCCTTGTTCCCTGTGGCAGGAGTGCCTATGATACAGCACCACATTGAGGCATGCACTAAGGTATGGAAGGGGAATTAAGCTGACACCATGAGGGGAGGAGTTCATAAAAACACCAGAGGAGCCCGCTGGATCAGGCCAGTGGCCCATCTGGGCCTCTGTCCTCTTCTCCCAGTGGCTGACCAGATGCCTGTGAGAAGCCTGCAAGATGGACATGAGCACAACAGCACTCCGCCCACCTGTGGTTCCCAGCAACTGGTATTCAGAGGCATAATGTCTCTTGACAGGAGAGGCAGAACACAGCCATTGTGGCTGGGAGTCCTTGATGCCTTTTCCATGAATTTGACTAATCCTGCCTTAAGGTTGGTGGCTATTACTGCTTCCTGTGGAAGTGAGCACCGTTGTTTAACTTTTACAATACGATAATCTTTATTGTGATGCATGAAGGACTTTTGTCTGTCTTGAATCTTCCAACATTCAGCTTCATTGGATGTCTGCAAGTTTTAGTGTTAAAATATGTTACAAAATGTTTCTCTGTCCACTTTCTCCATGCTGTGCAAACTTTTCTAAACTGATTTCAATTCACCTCTTATTCGCCTTTTCTCTAAAAGAAAAAAAAGGTCCGTAACGCTTCAACCGTTCTTCATAGGGGAGTTGTTCCACCCCCTTGGTAATTTGGGTCATCCTTTTCTGAACCTTTTCTCACTTTAAAATATTGCTTTTGAGGTGAGCTGACCAGAACTGTACACAGCATTCCAACTGTGTTTGCACCAATAGATTTGTATAGTGGCATTGTGAAACTGACAGGGTTATTTTCAGTCCAGCAAGTTGCCTTGTGCTCTAACATGCAATAAACTGAGCAAGTAAGAATATTTTAGTTCTCCTGCTCTTGGCTTCATATGCCAACCAGTGGTTGCTCCATCTTCCTTTCCCTTCTCTGCAGGTGCCCAACATGAAGGAGATTCTCCTGATTGGGTTCTATCAGCCCAATGAGGCCCTCAGCCGGTTCCTGGTGTCAGCCCAGCAAGAGTTCAAAATACCCATCAGGTGGGTGGTCACAGTGCTGGCTCAGCCACTAGACATAATGAGGCGGCCACTTCAGGCAGCTGATGTTGGGTTGCATGAAAAGGCAGCAGATTGTTTGGGTATTTAAATGCATTGATTTTTTTTTTCATAATAAATGCAGTGGTGGGGAGGCTTTTGCTGAGGAGTGGTGGTGCTTGTGGGGTTTTTCTGCCTCAGGTACCAAAATAATTTGCTCATCCTTGGATGCTGTGCAACAGGACAGAGGAAGTGAGATAGAGCCATTCAGTCTTCTGTCTTAGACAGCAAAATGCCTTGGGCTGGTGGCACTGCTAAAGAGAGAGGAAGGGGCTCCATCTTTACAACCTGCCATTCAGGTCCTGATTCTGCACAGCCTTTGGAAAAGGGGGGTATAACTCTGGTAGAGCATCTGCTTTGCATGCAGAAGATCCCAGGTGCAATCTCTGGCATCCCTAGATAGGGCTGGGAGAAACTCTTGCCTGAAACCCTGGGCACTTGCTGCCAGCCAGTGTAGGCAGTATTACGATCAATGGACTAGTGGCCTGACTCTGCCTAAGCCAGCTCTCTGGGTCCCTATGCACCTGTTGAAACAGCCTGGCGCATTTGGCCTAGTAGACCTTGGCACAAGCAATTCCTCCCCCTGCAGTGAAGGGCCTTAGCAGCCTCCTGTTTTGTGTAGGTATCTGCAGGAATATGCTGCGCTTGGCACAGGCGGCGGCATCTACCACTTCCGGGACCAGATCCTCTCGGGTAACCCTGAAGCCTTCTTTGTGCTGAATGCTGACGTCTGCTCCGAATTCCCTCTGGGCGAGATGCTCAGCTTCCACCGGCAACTTGGCAATCCGGACAGCTTCCTCATGCTGGGCACCACGGTAATGGCACAGCCCTGGCCTCTCATGCTGACAGCGCTGTGGGCTTGGAAGGAGGGTGCTGCTTGGCACAGGATTGTGTTTGGATTTTGGATTTGGATTTGATATCCCGCTTTATCACTACCCTAAGCAGTCTCAAAGCGGCTGACATTCTCCTTTCCCTTCCTCCCTCACAACAAACACTCTGCGAGGTGAGTGGGGCTGAGAGACTTCAGAGAAGCGTGACTGGCCCAAGGTCACCCAGCAGCTGCATGTGGAGAAGCAGGGAATCAAACCCAGTTCACCTGATTACAAGTCCACTGCACTTAACCACTACACCACACTGACCTTTGGCTCTCTTAATACTTGCTGGGCTACCACTCCTATCATCCCTGACCGCACTGATTTTGCTGGTGGGAGCTGGAGTTTGGTCGCTGATGGAGAGGTCCCCCTTCCCTGGCTTGGGAATGCAGTTTGAGGGCTAGCTGCAGGTTCCTAGCCTTTGTGGGGCAAAATGGTTGCCTTGCTAGGATCCCAGTCCCAGTGCTCCTGGCAACCCTGTCCTGCAAATTCTTCTCTAATCCCTCTCACCCCCCGTAATGCTCCTGTGACCATTTTTCTTTTTTGTCCCTAGGCCAACAGAAAGCAGTCCCTGAACTATGGCTGCATTGTGGCGAACACTGAGACGCATGAGGTATGTGGAGGTCTGGAGGGAAGACTGGGCAGTAGGCATGCCCCAGTAGAGAGCTGCTCCACCTGGGATGAGGAACCTGTGCCTTCCAGAGGCTGTCCGACTACAACTCCCATCAGCCTTGAGTGTTGGCCATGCTGGCTGAGGCTGGTGGGAGTTGAAGAGCCAAGACTGTCCACTGTCTCCCCTATTCCTGTACCCCGTCCAGCACAACCTTCCTGCCTGCTGCTCTCTGGAGCCTGGCTCAAGCAGAGCAATCCCCAGCACTGGATGGTGCAATTCCCAAGACTCTCCCTTCTCTGCCCCACCTACATGTCCCCTTCCTTCTCCAGGTCCTGCACTACGTGGAGAAGCCCAGCACTTTCGTCAGCGAGCTCATCAACTGCGGCATCTACTTGTTCACGCCGGCCATCTTCCATCACATTGGCGCTGTCTTCCAACGGAACCAGCAGGAGCTGCTTCTGTGAGTGTCTTTCTTAGCTGTTCCTTCCTGCTTCCTGGGAGCAACATCTGGTCACTTATCATCTCTCTCTCTTTCTGTTTCTCTTCCCTCTCTCTGTGTCTCTTCCATCTCCGCTTCGTGCCACCCCTTGCCCACATTTAGGGGCGCATGCCTTGGGTAAGTGTCCATCTCCTCCTACCTCCTGCATTCCTCATCTCCCAAGTGCTTTTGTGCTTCTCTGCTCCATGGGACTTGGGCACTTAGGCTTAGAACTGGCTTTTTGGCTTCCTAGGGATGGGCAAACCTCTGTGGCCCTCAGGATGTTGTTGGATGGACTCCAATTCCCAACACGTCCAACCACCAGGGAGGGCCAAGGGCCAGAGATGATGGGAGTTGTAGTCCAGCCACCTCCAGAGTGCTTCAGGTTCCTCATCCTCAGTAGCAGAAGGATCTGCTGTTGCTGTACTTGAGTGGTTGTTTTCCCTAACCTAGAGATACCTTTTCTTGCTGGCCGCACACCATCTTTCCACTGAGTCATGTGGCCCCTAACCCTTTGTATGCCTTGTTCGCACAGGGAGGAGAGCACCAATGGCTGGCAACGAGCTGAAGCCATCAGGCTGGAGCAGGATGTCTTCACAGCCCTTGCTGGGCAGGGACGCCTCTTTGCCTACAAGACGGAGGGGTTCTGGAGTCAGATCAAATCTGCTGGGTAAGGAGGAAGTAGAGGGAAGTACAAGCCTGGGAGGTGGTTGTAAGCCTGCCTGTGAGATAGCCAAACATTGAATCAAATTTTTCTCTGTGGATCTGAGCTTTTCTTACCTTTAGCAGATACACGCATGCTTTTTTTGGAGGTGGGGAACCGTAAGAATATGGTGACAATGCAAAAGCCAAAGAGAAACTCCTGAGAATTATTTCTTATATTGGGAAATGGATGGGTTGGGGGAGCGCTGACGATGGACCCTGATCACAGCCTCTCTTTCCTCCTCTGTGACTGTTGTTCTGTAGTCACAAGCCCAGGGATGAGGAATTTGTGGCCTTCCAGAGGTTGCTGGATTCCAGCTCATCCCTGAGCATTGGCCATTCTGGCTGAGGCTGATGGGAGTTTGAATCAAACAACACTGGGGCGCGGGCACAAGTCCTCCACCCTTGCTCTCATTTGTGTGGATCCAAACTCTATATTCCTCCCTCTTTCTCTTTTCTCAAGTGCTGTCCCAAAGGCTGCGGGAGGCAGGGATCCAAACTAATAAATATGTGACTCCCTGAAGCAGAACAAGTGCAATTCTAATTTCCTACAATTTAGCTTTTGAGCTTAGAATTTGTGTTTCTGTCACATGGGTGGCCAGAGTCCAATTTTTCAAATGAAAGGCAAGAAAATTTGAACTCCCTGGGAAGGTGCAGAATTGGGTTTACAGGAGATACTGCCAGCTGAATGAGGCAGGATAAAAATGTCCAGTGCGCCATCCCAGGAAGAAAGGATTCTTCTTCTTTTGATCATAGGCTTTATTTTTTTGGTGAGGCACTCATTCATTTTCCTTTGTCCTCAAGAGGACAAAGGCATTCACGGACTTGATGCTACATTTGGAGGCAGGTGCCAGGTGTAATTTCTGGCTTGTTCTCTTTGCCAGGTCTGCAATCTATGCCAGTCGCCTGTATCTGAGTTGCTACAGCCAGTGTCACCCAGAAAGACTTGCCCAGAACCAACCTGGTGGACCCACCATCCGAGGTACTGGCTCCCTCTTTCCCCATATGGGAGACGAAAACCACGAATGCATGATGTTGGTAGGATGAGATAATTCTGCTTTTGTTCCACAACATAAAGGGGCCGTAACATCTGAAAACAGGTTTGCTGGGTGGAGGCCATATCGGTGGTACAGTTTCCAAGGGGCTTGGGTCATGCCTGCACGTCGCTAGACTCCAGCTACCATCAGCCACAGCCAGCATGGCTAATGGTCAGAAATGATGGAAGTTGTAGTCCAACAGCTTCTAGATGGCACCGGGTTCAGGAAGGCTGCTCCAAAGCGTGTGATGTGCCTCCTTTAAGTGTTTATCCTTTTTGCATTGCTTTTGAATAGGTTTACTAAATTGGGAAATGTTTGCCTGTTTTCTGTGTACTTCATGCAACCGTCTTCATCCATCTTCTGGTGGCTGACTTGGAGCTCTTAGACCTGGTTTCAGAGCCTGCCAGAATTATACTTGATAAAACAACATCACATAATTCACATCGAAGGCTGTGACAAATACAAAGAACAGCAAATCAGTGCAATAATACAAAGCTAAAATTCCAAATCCTGCATCAATACATAGAAAGATAGATAGAGATAGAGAGAGAGTGAGAGTCATGTAAGTACTTCTCCAATGACTCACCCCTCATTGGGTTATATAGACCCATCTAAAAAAATTTGCTATGGTAGAACCACATCTCAAATTTTATGTTGTTGTTTTTGTACTGAATGTGCTGTGTGTGGTTATTTTATTGTTCATATAGTTATATGTTATGACAAATCAGTAAAAATTAGTAAGGAAAGAGGAGATTGCAAGGGTACAAAGGAAGGGGCTTGAATACAAATTAAACATCTGTATCTCCACAGCAATTTTATCTATCTTGCTCCTTTGTGCTTTACACTGGAATTATTAGAAAACCATCAGTTTTAGCAAGAGCACTCCTTCTCTCCCCATAATTGTGCTTGGTGAGAGTCTTCTTTAGTTTTCAAGCTGCGCAGCTTGCAGACTTAACATATAGAATAGGAGAACAAGAAGAACATACATTTAGAGAAAATTGGAAAACGTTCATTGAATATATGGGGGAAATTGTGTACACTTGAAAACGTTGGCAGCATTAAGATAAATTCAACTGTGTAAATAAGTTTTGATGGATGTAATAATGGAATACTGAATGGTTTAGTTTTTGTAAAATATGCAGGGATTTATTATATGCAAAATGGAAAGAGAAGAAGGGAAGTCATTGATATTTTAAGGATGTTTAAATGAGTATTCTAAAGTGTAAAACAGAAAATTATATACATTATATGCTCTCAGTGTGGTGTAGTGGTTGAGAGCGGTAGTCTTGTAATCTGGGGAACCGGGTTCGCGTCTCCGCTCCTCCACATGCAGCTGCTGGGTGACCTTGGGCCAGTCACACTTCCTTGAAGTCTCTCAGCCCCACTCACCTCACAGAGTGTTTGTTGTGGGGGAGGAAGGGAAAGGAGAATGTTAGCCGCTTTGAGACTCCTTAAAGGGAGTGAAAGGCGGGATATCAAATCCAAACTCTTCTTCGCTCTTTAGTTTGTCCCAAGCTACTATGGCAAGGCAGTTATCTGTCTTTGAAAGGAGTCTCTACCCATCTAGGCAACAGTGTGTGTTTGGGTTATTTGCTTTACAGAGTCTGATGTGCACAGAGGTATTCAGCATTGCTGCTGGAAACCTGCATTGTTGTAGAAAAGCAGAATCTCTGCAGTGATGCTTTCAGAGGGGTGGCAATGAATCTTCTCCATTGTGGAGTAAGGAGAAGAACTAACTCTGTTGCTGCTTCTTTTCTATGCAGGGAATGTTTATATCCATCCTGCAGCCTCGGTGGATCCCAGCGCCGTGGTAAGTGTAATGGGCAAGGTGTACTCTGTGCCTGGCTCCAGCATGTGTGGGATAGATTTTAAGGAGCTGTGCATTTTGGTTTAATCTTTGGGCCCCTGAACATACCCCAGACTTAAGAGAGCATACAGATGAAGGGGGCTATTGGCCTGCGCTGGACCACTGACCACCCTGTGCCTTTTCCCTGTAGCTAGGTCCCAATGTGTCCATCGGGAAGGGGGTGACGATTGGTGCTGGCGTGCGTGTGCGTGAGTCCATTATTCTGCATGGGGCTTCTCTCCAGGTAGGTATTGCTCCGAAGATCCAATGGGTCAAGTTCTAATGTCTTGCATCACCTTAGGGGACTACTCAGACTATTGTTCTTAGTATAACAAATGTGTGGTTTTATTGCTCATTTGTTGCTTGGGATCGAGACACCTTTTCCACAAAGCAGAATTCAAACAGTGGTGTTTCATCACAGGGGAAAAAATAACTTCCTTTCTGCTCCAGCTGGTGCTGCCTGCGGCAGCCATGGCTGTGGTTGTATGAGTGTTGCAGCCCACCCATTGGATGTTGTCTGTGACATCACTTTGATAGGGCTTCCTCCCCATTGTCCAGTTGTGCCATTTTGATAAGAGACCCACCATCCCTCCACTAAATGTAGGAGTCTGCATGAAACTGTTTAAAATGCTTGCTTAAAAGTGACAGCTAGCAACAAGGTCCCTGCAGCGATGCCTAGCAATTTTAGGAACGTTTTCATTATTTTCTCCCCACCCCTCTGCAAACTGCACTTTTTACTTAATTATTTTGGCACTGCATGTAGGCTCAGCCCACCATCACCCATGTTTTACACAATGGCAGGATCGTTGTACTACTGCTGCCGGATTGGGGTTGGCACTTTGTAGCTCTAATCCAGGGATGGGGAATCTGTGGCCATCCAGATGTTTTCGGGAACCCCATCAGCCGCAGCCAGCATGGTCAGTGGTTAGGGATGGTGGGAGTCGTCATCGGAGAACATCTGGAGGGCCTCAGAAGTCACATCTCTGATCAAAGGCAGGAGGCTGTTTTTGGCTTAGGACAGCTCTTGCTTTGCTTCTCGTTGTTTTGCTAATGCCCTGCAGGTGGCACTAGTGCACTGCAAAGTCTGGTATTCCCCTGCTCGGTCTGGCCCCCACATACGGAGGTAATTTCATTTATGTATTATCAACGAAGACATACAAATGCAGCTGAAGCTGTGGATTCATGAGAGATGTAAAAGATTTGTAAATCTGTGGTGCTGCATCATTTATAAAAAAAATTAGCAGGGCTATTAAGAATTTAGGAGGGGAAATTATTGATACCCTATATCCTCCCCCTTTATTTTCTTGGTATGTCCCAACTCTAAAAGTACCTAGTATCTTGAGGACTGCAGAAGTCCTGACTGAAATTCTGAAGAGGGGTTGCTAGTCAGACAATAGCTGGATCAGTTGGCCTGATGTGCTACAAGGCAGCTTTTTCCATACATTTCCCATTAAATGTGCAGTACAATCCTAAGCATGAAATATGTCCTGCTGAATTGAATCAGATTTACTCCTTCGTTAAGGGCCAGAGTAGATGAGAAGTTAAGTGTGTGTTTGCATTTATCATGTGCTTAAAAAAAAGAAAATGAAAATAGCCATGGGAAGGGGGTGTCATAATGGCTATTGGCATTGTGGCAGGCAGGGAAGTGGAGTTCAGCTCTTTCCCCCCCTGCTGTGGCCATGATGAAAAAACCCACTCTTCCACAGCTGCTCTTTGCACTGGGAGGGAAAGCGGGGCAGTTTGGGAGGTGCCATTTCCATCACAACCACAGCAGGGGATGGAGAGGGTCAAACTCTCCCTCTGTCTCGATAAACTCTGTTTTTAAAAAGTGCACATTAAATGCAGAGATGCATTTAACACCGCTTCTAATTTGGCCCTGTGTTTCGGAGGGCAGTTTTGATATTTTTATGGTGCGGCTTTTAAACGCTGAAAGTGCTCCTCCACACATGCCTCCAGTAATCCTTGTTTAACAGCTCTACAAAGTTCCTGAATAAATAGAGGAGTTGTTTGTTCTTGTAGAAAATCAATTGAGTCAGTAGTTGGGGTTGTTAAAAGTGGAAAAGAAAGTTTGATGAGTGTCTGGGAAAAGCTACACTTCAGATTTCCCCACAGTGATCTCCACTTCCCTTTTAAGTGTTTTATAAGCACCATTTACGTCCTGGACTGTCTGAAGGATTAACACCAGTCTTAGTAGCATCCATGGCAAGATTGCTGAATCCCAGGGTGATGCCACCTGCAGCATACGAGGAATGCAGGAACTGTATTAGAGCGGTTGGCTTCTCCTTTAAGTAGGAAATGGTGGGGGACAGGAAGAAAAAGCCAGAATTGTACAGGCTCCTTTGTCCTCTCACTTAAAGGAGAAGCTCCTGCTCTCCTTCATCTGATGTCACAGGTGGGTGTGATTTGGGGGACAATGGCCTTGTGGCCCAAATGGGAACCCTTGGCAGGCCAGGATTGACCCAAGGGCTGGTGGTCCCCCACCCCCATGTTAGTGCCTCAGTTCTTTCTTTCCTATCCCCTTTCCCCAGGACCATACATGTGTGCTGAACAGCATTGTGGGCTGGGATAGCACCATTGGACGCTGGGCTCGTGTAGAGGGTACTCCCAGCGACCCCAACCCTAATGATCCCTACGCAAAGATCGACAGCGAGACTCTCTTTCGGGATGGCCGCCTCACCCCATCCATCACCATTCTGGGTAAGCGTCTGCCCACTTTAAACTCTCTTCTTTCCCCTGTACCTCCCTGCAATTATTATTATTATTATTATTATTATTATTATTATTTATACCCCGCTCATCTGGCTGAGTTTCCCCAGCCACTCTGGGCGGCTCCCAATCGAGTGTTAAAAACAATACAGCATTAAATATTAAAAGCTTCTCTAAACAGGGCTGCCTTCAGATGTCTTTTAAAGATAGGATAGCTGCTTATTTCCTTCACATCTGAGTGCGCCACTACCGAGAAGGCCCTCTGTCTGGTTCCCTGTAACCTCACTTCTCGCAATGAGGGAACCGCCAGAAGGCCCTCGGAGCTGGACCTCAGTGTCCGGGCTGAATGATGCGGGTGGAGACGCTCCTTCAGGTATACAGGACCTGAAAGAAGAATACTCAAAAGAAGAATACTCTCCTGCACTTCTCTCTTTTGTGTTGGCTACATTTTCCCTCTCACGCACCCACTTGCTGATGCCTCTTGCTGCTCCCTCCTCGACAGGCTGCAACGTGACCATCCCTGCCGAAGTTGTCATCCTCAACTCCATCGTTCTGCCCCACAAGGAACTGAGCCGCAGCTTCAAGAATCAAATCATTCTCTGAATGGGGCAGGCAGGAGGGGAACCTCCAGTTGCCCCCAGGTGGCGGAACAGAGGGAAACCTCGGACAGCGCTGCCCCCACCCTCAAGCCATGGCCTCTCTTTGGACCTAGCATGGGTCACCACAGACTTCCCTCCAGGTCTGTTCATGGAAGTGGCAGGAGGGGGGATGCGAGCTTCCCTCTTGGGCTGCTGCTATGTCAGGTGGCTTGCCTACTCCTTCTTCAGCTGCTGCAGAACCTTTCCTGGAAGCAGGAGGCTGCCTCATCCCGAGGCCGCAGTGCTGCCTTGCTACCAGCCAAAGGCACGTGGCAAGGAAAAGATGTGTGGATACGCTGGGGAGCCTTTATTAAACCTGAGGGCTGCATTCTCTCATGCGCAGTCTTACGGAGGCCGTATGCCAATGGGTGGGGTGCTAGAGCCCAAAGTGGGTGGGGCAACAGAGTCTTGCCTTTTGTAGTTCAGCCACGCAGTAAGAGGTTTTCATATACACACACCTGCCTTTATCAAGGCAAGGAAGAGGCAACATCGCAGTCAAAGGACCTATTCCACCAGGCAAATGTGCTGGTGGAGAGGGCAGAGCAGGGCTGGTGTGCTGTGGGAAGAGTCCCAAGGGGGTGGCTAGAGAGACCTGGAGGCTTCCCTACCCCTGGCCTAGGCCACTATGCATGCCATTTGGGCCTCGGGTGCATTCGTTCAGCACCCCACATTTCCATTAGCTGCAGTGCATTTTTCCTGATTCCCCTTAGTACAGTGGTACCTTGGGTTACATACACTTCAGGTTACATACGCTTGAGGTTACAAACTCCGCTAACCCAGAAATAGTGCTTCAGGTTAAGAACTTTGCTTCAGGATGAGAACAGAAATCATGCAGCAGCGGCGCAGCAGCAGCAGGAGGCCCCATTAGCTAAAGTGGTTCTTCAGGTTAAGAACAGTTTCAGGTTAAGTACAGACCTCTGGAACGAATTAAGTACTTAACCCAAGGTACCACTGTATGGCAGTGTGTGTCTGTGTATCATTCTCCTGCCTGTGCACAAAGGCACCAAACTGGGATTGTGGGGATCTGCCACGGAGACATGCTCTAATCTATTTGGCAAGCAGCTGTCCCTTAGTATGTGCACGCAGCCTCATGTTTCTTGCAGAAACTGGATGGTGGAGCCTAGAAGCAATTTGAGTGGGCAGCAGGGGGGGGCGGGGGGCCGGGAGGACAAACTTACTGCATAGCTTAACCTCCGCTGCAAACTGGAGCTTTGATTTTAAAGCTCCAAGACGAATGAGTAGATATTGGTTGAGGGATCAACTGCAGCTTGTTAGAGTGAGTGCATGTTGAGGAAAGTGCTTGAGTCTGTTAGTTTTTAAGTTAATGGGAACAGCTTTCCACAAGGGCTAGAACAGGAGCCTGCATTGAGCAAGGGGCTCTGGAGATCAGATGCAACAGGGACTCTGGCACATGCAAGCTCCCACACTGCTGTTGCGGTTCATTTGCCCTCAGGCTTTACCTTTCCATGTGCAAGGGCTGAGGTTGCAAGGAGAGGGGTTGTCTCTTGCAGAGGTGAAGAACTGGCAGCCCTCCGGGTGATGCTGGACTTGATCTCTCATCACCTCTGACCCTGGGTCTTGCTGGCTAGGAGTAATGGGAGCTGGAATCCAACAACAGTTGCAGGGTCAAATGTTCCTCTATTGATACAAAGTGCCCTGATCTGATTAGGTTCTGCTAACCTGTTTTCCTTGCCTTAATGGCAGGATTCCAACTCGGGGCTTGGGTGTTGGGGGATGCACTAAGCTGCACCTAAGGGAGGTGAAAACCCTGCTCCTGATATAATTCAGCACCAGTGAGGAGGGTTATGTGTTTACATTCTTGCTGATTGTGAAGCACTTTGAGAACATGTTGGAACATGGACATATCAATGTAAACAGCTATAGAGGATGTTCAGTTTCCAAAGCAACTCACAGCAAGTTTCCTTTCCAAGGTCTAAAGACTGGCTAAGGTCTGTTGCCTCTCTGCCTTGCCAAGTTCAGGAATTAGGACCCTACAGTGAACTGGTAAAAGCATCAAAGGAAACAGCTGACCCATCTCCAGCAGGTAGTGGGGTAGGGGTGAGGGTTATTTGAAACAGGATCTATTGCCTCTCTGTGCTTGCATCCATCTTAACATTGCAAAGGACATATTCTGTGGCTGCAGATCCCTTTCTAATTTGTATTTCTCCTGCCCCCATCAGATTGTGACCTGGGTGAAATTCATACTAATAAAGGCATTAGCAATTCAGCATTTTGTTGCTGTCCGGGTGGGGGGGCTGGCTGCATTGGTGTGCCTATTTTATCTGCTTGTTTTTTACTTGCAGCTTCTCCCATTAAAAAAAATGAAATAAAGAGATCATATTTAAATGTATATATTAATTATTCTTAACCTGCAGCTTTCTGTAAAGTAGGATGAGTGGATTGTGAGGATGAAGAAGAAGAGGAGGAGGAGGATTGTAAAATGCGTTGCATACTGCCAAGATTCAAAGTGCAGGTGTTGTTCAAAAACAGCATCCTTGGCTGGGCTGAGGGACGGGTCCAGGCCTCCCTTTCTCTGAGATGTGTCCTGCATGTCAGGCAGCTTGTTCTATCCAGTGGAACCACCCTGGCTTCTGTTTCTTGGTAATGCTAGAAAGAGATGGAAAGTTGGTTGCTTTTATATATACGTGCAGCAGATACTATTTCAGGAACAGAATCAGACATGCAAGAGAAATGCTAGCCTACCTCCCAACTCCGCAAAAAAATCGAGAGAGAGAATGTCAGTAAGTAAACGGAGTAAAGATTTGTGTAATTAGACCTTTTTATAACACAGGTTGTAAAGTCCCCAATCAAAGGCTCCTGCAAAAGGTTAAGTAGTCGTGGCATAAGCAGAGACATCCTTTTGTAGATTAGCAAGTGGCTGAGTGATAGGAAATAGCAGGTAGGCATAAATGGTCAATTTGCACAGTGGAAAGAGAGAAACCGCAGGGAGCCTCAAGGATCTATAATGGGGCCGGTGCTTTTTAACATATTCATTAATGAGTTGGAAAAGGGATTGAACGGGAAAGCAGCAAAATTTGCAGATGATAAATTATTCAAGGTAGTTAAATCTAAAGCAGATTGTAAGGAGTTCCACAGGGATCTTATAGCAGTGGGAGAGTTGGGTAATGAAATGCAGTGTTGATAAGTGCAACAAAGTACATTTGGGAGAAAATAGCCTCAGCTTTACATACTTGACTCGCTAAGAGTACAGAATTCCATTTAAAGACAACAGTCAAGCAGACTGGCACTAGGCATGCCAACTGGCAAGTCTGTGGCTGGCTCCAGAAGGCAGCAAGGGAGGACATTTGCCAGGGCCCCAAGACCAACAGGAGGCCCCTGAGGAAGCTGGACAGACCCTTCAAAGAAAAGCACTGCTCAGTTTTTGCTCTCAGTTTTTGGAGTGGACAACAGCAACTGCTGAGCTCTTGGCTGGCTTTTCTGCCACCTCTGGTCATGATGAAGAGGATCCACCCTGAGCTGGGCTGGGGGAAGGGACACAGGCTCCCCAGAATCCTGGAGCCTGGCCAGCTCACTATTTTAACATTACAAAGGTACAGAAAAAGCAACCGTGTGGGTCCTGTGTGAATTATGGAAGTCAAGATATATGCCAGGAATAGCTAACCCATGACCCCCCCCAATCTCCCATCATTCCTGACTATTAGCCATAGTGGTTGGGGCTGAGGAAAGTTGTAGTCCAACAATGTCTGAGAGGGTCACAGCTTCCACAGCACAGATAATATGTGGCACAGAGGCCTGCTGTCTGTCCACCTCCCCTGCCATCCTGCCCCAATGCTGTGTTGACTAGAGTAGGCCTGTTCTGCTTGCGACCAACCAAGGCAAACTTAGCTCACCTGGCATTGTACTGTGGCACACTCAGAAATTTAAGGAGAGGCTGGATGGCCATCTTTCAGGGCTGCTACAGTTCCAAGATTCCTGATCTGCTCAGAGGGTTGATCTAATCCCCCTTTCCAACTCAAATGCTTTGATTCTGAATTCAGGTGCTCAACAACCAGCTTTGCTTTTGCAGACTCAGGAAGGCAACCAAAACAGGAAATGTCGTGAAGCCTCTGGTAGACGTTCAGCTTGGTGGGTCGCAAGTTGCACAGGACTGGACTAGCATCAAAACTACGCCAAAGATTATGTGGCTTTGATTTCTGGCACGATTTCCAAAAATGCCTGCCTGCCACTGCTTTCCAGTAATGATTGTGCTTTGAGATGGGACCTGCCCGTGCCTGGGTGAGAGCTTCGTCTTGTAAACCGCTCTGAACTTTATAATGAGAGGAACCGGGTGCAATTTTTAAAAAGTCAGTAGTTAATCATGGTTGTGGGTAAGGTGGACTGGATTGTGACTTTGAACCGCAGTCTTCAAAAATATTTTGACCTTCCTGCCGCATTCACAGGCCCCCTTTTTGTGGGCTGCCAGGTTATTTGTGTGTGCATATCTGACTTTGTCAAGCCAGTATTGTCAGTGTTTCTATGCCTATTCAGAGGCTGTTGTTGTTGTTTAGTCGTGTCTGACTCTTCGTGACCCCATGGACCGAGCACGCCAGGCACTCCTGTCTTCCACTGCCTCCCGCAGTTTGGTCAAACTCATGTTGGTAGCTTCGAGAACACTGTCCAACCATCTTGTCCTCTGTTGTCCCCTTCTCCTTTCCCAACATCAGGGTCTTTTCCAGGGAGTCTTCTCTTCTCATGAGGTAGCCAAAGTCTTGGAGCCTCAGCTTCACGATCTGTCCTTCCAGTGAGCACTCAGGGCTGATTTCCTTAAGAATGAAGAGGTTTGATCTTCTTGCAGTCCATGGGACTCTCAAGAGTCTCCTCCAGCACCATAATTCAAAAGCATCAATTCTTCGGCGATCAGCCTTCTTTATGGTCCAGCTCTCAGAGGCTAGAGTTGCTCAAATAGTGTCTCGTGACTTGTTGTCATGTTTAAGTAAATCTAAATTAAAAGCTGGAGGTGGGATTCCCATAGCAAAGGGGATGTTTTTTCCATGTCAAATTCAAAGCAACTTTTAAGAATTCTGCCTCTTGGGAAGATAATATGGTGAAAATTGCAAGATTTGGAAAGAGGATGGCTGTGTTGGGGAAGGATTAGGACTAAAGGGCAAGACCAGAGTCTTCCAGTAGAGGGCACTATATGGATGAGTACAGAGGCATTGCTTGGGGAAGGTAGACCGGGCTCTTGATGGGGATCTGCATGGAATAGGAGCTGCAGTGCCCAGCAGGCTGAGCCATTTATTTCCTCCTTTGCTGAACTTAAGATACAGTATTGGTTTTCCGCTTGTGCAAAGGGTGGAGCTGAGGGTGGGAGCAGTGGAGGAGAAATGCAGCCCGGAAATCACATTAGATGTGCAAGAATCCATTAGTCCAGCTCTGAGTCTGTGCCTGGCTCCTGGTACCATCGTCATGCTGGGAGCTGAG